CGCTTGTTTAATAGGGTGATTTCGACACCAGGGTGCCCCCCCACTGTGATGTGTGACTATAGTTAAATTAACACTCAATTTAAAAATATTAAATCAGATTAAAATAATGACGTAACTCCAGATAAAATCTATGAATTTATTGAATCGAAAGATAATGATGATTAAAAAATAATCGAGATTTAATTTTTAGTAAGCAAATATTTTTCATATGCACCTAACAATTTATGAAATATCATTATCATTTATTAAAATATTTTCTAATTTTCGGTTTGTTTTAATGAACATAATAAAAATTATTTAGTCAAAAGTTAAAATTCGTAAATCTAAACTACAATACCATTCATTAAGATTGATCTGCGATACCAAAATCAGGCTTTTACAATATTGGATATTAAAAAAGACAGATCATAAAGTTTTGATTGCTTGTCATTTAAGATTGATCTTTGAGTTATTCAAAGGAGTTTAAACTGTGAATGAATTTAATACAGTTGATTGAAACGATGAAAAGACTGATAAAACTAGATTTTGGAAATTTTATTCTAATTTTTAGCGAATTTACTAATTTTCATTTTCATCATAATGATTCATTTTTTAACTCAAATTAAAAGAAGAATATTCCAATATCAAATTTAACTAATAGAATTCATTAATTGATTAGTGAGTGAAAATGAATTTAAGAAGTTTATGAAAAAGAAATAAGCTTTATTAGTTAATTAAATTGAAAAAAATTGAGAAGTTTGTTTTTGGGTTAGTGATATATGGATGAGATCATCCTTTGATCAGAATTGGTCAGATTTACCACAACAGAGTGAATCTTCTTTGTAATTATTTCAAATGCACTTCGTCCTGTGGTTTTTTGCCGAGATTCAAAATGAAGATAAATAATCATAATGAGAGTAGTTTGCTGCAAAAACAAGATGTAGGCGCAATTTACAAACAAAACTATTTTTATTAAATAAATATCAATCAATTTTTATATTCTCACTGCATATTATATAACATAAAAGATAAGTGCACTGATTTAAGGCTTAGGTCTTAATAAAATATTATGAAACCTTTCATTAATGAGCATCAATTGATCAAAATAGAGCAATTGAGATCAATTTAATTGTAATCAATTTTCATAAATATTAATATTGTATCAACCCTCCCTCGAATTACAAAAGTATTGAAACACATTTGGATATGGATTAATAATATTATCGTATTTTATAACTGTTCAACAACCAGCAATCCTTCCCAACCCTCTTTATGAAAGCCTTGAAATATTATTAAATCACTATGAATGAAATTGCTATCAATTATTAAGTTTTGACTCAGCAATATGATACATTAATTGAATGAATTGATCTGGAACAATTGTAATTCAAATTGTATTAATTTTCTGCTTCCTTACTCTATCATGAAATTAATTTATTGTTTATTATTATTTAAATTAAGAATGTTTAAAATCTTGATTTTGATCTTTCTGATTGTTTATTCTTACTATTAATAAAAATATTTAGAATTTATAGAGTTTTATCTTTAAAATCCTAAAAGGTTTCTAAACTCAAAATTTATGGGACTATTTTTCTTAAGATGTTCATTGAATGTAAATTTTATTTATTATATGAGTTAGATTAGTAAAAATAGTTTAATTAAATTAAACTTCAGTTCATAAGATATTTGGAATATAGCATTTATTAAAACTAGCATAAATTAAATGTGTTATTGTGTTATTGAGGAAGTTGAAGAAAGAATTTTAATATTATTATGATTTAGTTATAATTTAAGTAGTTTCTCTTATTAATTCCTTTCTCAATAAATAGTCTAGGATTGATACACATTTAACTATTAGGTTATGATATTTAGTTAAGAAGAAAATACTATAAAATCTCTTAGGGAATTACTAAGTAAAATTTCACTTAATCATTTGAATCGGGAAGGATAGCAATATATGCTAACAATTTAAGTTGAGGAAAGCTCATTTAATCAATATTGTCATTATTTATTTTAGTTAATACATGATGAGCATTAATTGATGTATTATTAGATATTTAATAATTGAATTTTATGAATTAATCTCTTTTCTCTTTTAACTTGAAAGCACTTTTACCTATGGAAAATTACTAATTAATACTTAATGAGTAAACAAGAATGAACAAATACATTCACAGTTAGAATACTATTTAGATTAAGGAGTTGGATTTAGAATAAATGACGAGAAGAAAAAGTTGTCATTGTGGTCAATGTGGGGCTCAAAGTTAATTTTAGTTCAAAACGATGAATATTCCTCTTAAGGTTAGGGAAATACCAAAAGAGCAGGAATTTAATATACCTGAGTTAATAATAACAAAACCAGAATGTATAAATAGAAATATTTTATAGCTAGAATGAGTACCTTCTATAAAAAATCTTCTTTTAAGAATTTGCAAATCTTAGAATCTAAAGATTAACCAAATAACACTTAATTGTCCTTAAATATTCATGGTCTTAAACGAGCTTATAATAGATAAAATACATTATTGAAATTAATAACAGATGGACAAGAAAGGTCTAAAAGAAGAGACAGCAGTGGATTATTTTCATCATCTGAGTTCCAATCTTTAAATTCTTTGAAATCTTTGAATATTACAACAAGTCCTACACATTCATTCTTATAGAATCAAAAGAACTCGATTTAGCCTAAAAGTCCTTTAAGTCTATTTTCTCCTAAAAGAAGACATAAATAGATTGATAACAAATTCTTAAGTGCAACCAATAAAAGGAATTATAATACTTATATGATAAATTCGAATAAATAATTATTGATCAAACCATTAAAGTTATAAACTTCGCTTTCCACCCTTGGAAGTTCATTTCCAAAACTAAATAACAAAAAGTAATGATTGTATTATATTAATAATTTTTCTATTAGATATGATTATAAATAGAATACAAATTGATAATCTTGTATCAATTATTATTCCAATTCTATTTCAAACAAGTATTAAATAAATTAATAAATTATTTTTATTTATTTTGGATATATACAGGTTTAATACAAATAAGAATATCCAAATACATAAACATGATTCTCATTTCGAAAAAACAATTAGATCTCTATGATTTTCAACTTGTTGAAGCAATTCATCGATATCTTAGTTGGGTACTTCCATATCCTAGGCAATATTTTTGAGATGGATCTTAAATTTGTCAAATTATTAATTTGTAATGTTCAGATTTTTGTGGACTTCAATTAAATCTCTATTTAGATTAAATTTATGTGAATACCTGCCAGTATATTAAGTATTTTTATCACCCATCATTTGAGAGAAGAATCGCTTTTATTGATACCTTACTCTACTCATGTCTGCCTTCAAAAATTTATCACGAAGAAGCTTATCAAAGAGCACTTTGTAATAGAATTAATCTATAAGTTCTGATACTTATTAGTCTCCTCCAAATTTTTCATACAAGCATTTTTTTTAATTATCCATTATTAATTTTTATTATCAAATATTCACTAAATATCCAACGCGCTTTAAATCTTCAATTTTCTTTCTAGCTTTGGTTGCATTTATTAAAGTTTGGTTTAGGTATAAGGATTTGGGCAACGAACTACCAGAAGGGGAATTTCTGACTAAAGAAATAAAATAATCTAGAGTCCTTTCAGTTATCATATTTGACGACAAATGTAGACTCTAAAAACACTTAATTTGTATTTTATACTAGATAATCCAATAACTTGCAGGCACCTTCGTCAGTTATTTTATTCCTCACCAATTTAAGTTGTTTAACTCTCTTCGATATTCTGAGAATATCACCAATAAATTATAACCCTTCATCTCCCAAGTCTAAGTTAATAATAATTAAAGATATACCTGCACTTGAGAAATCAGCTATTTCTAAATTATCATTTTTAAATGACTGCCAGACACTTTCAAATTTCTCATTGATCTTAAACTTTTTTTCCTCTTGCAATCCTAAATTTTAGTATTAGGACTAATTCCTTGTCTGATGGAATTAACCTATTCTATATCCCTCCTACCAGGGCTTGGTTATTAAAAAGATCCTTTTAATTTCTCTAAAGCCCTAATCTAAATTCTCTCTGGTTTTGTTGGAGTGGTTGATTAAATATTTTAAGAAACCGACACAGGTTAAATTTCTTTTAGTTCCTTCAACCCAGATCCCATTTTATTTTTAACAAAATCTTCTTATTCTAAACTACTTCTATTTGGACTTCTCACTTGAGTAATATTTGTGGTTTCTTCCATAAGACTCTCACTCCAATCTGCCATAAATATATCTTTAAGTAGCATTGGTTCATCTTAACAAAAACTTGAGAAAACATCCTAGCCACATAATTTACTAAAACTCTCATTTCTTTTAATGTCCTACAATAATGTTGAATCTGTTAAAGAATTGGAAGTTTTTAAAATTTAACTACTTTTGGTCATATTGGTGGGATTATTGACTCTACTCAATTATAATGTAATGGTAAAGAGATTATCAAAACTCTTATCGATTTCTGTCTTTTTGAGATCAACTCTTAATTTCTTTATTTTGATATTCTATAGTTTAAGATCTAATTATTTTTATATCTTCTCCAATTCCTCTTGAATTCCCTTTCCCTTGTCTACACAAGCATAATCTTGATTATTTAATAAATCTAAAGGCAATTCTCCATTTTCTGTTTTTGTTGAGAAATAAACCAATCGATCCTTAGCTGTAATCTTCCATAATTCCGCTTAAGATAATGAACTTTGCAACAATTCTTTAATTTACTTTTTTGTTTATTGTTCTAATGATTATGTTAATGTGGTTAATTATTCAATAAGTCTTTGTTCTTTGAGATCTAATAATTAATGCAGTTCTTTGAATTTTTCCTTGACTGTATTATGACTCTCGGCTAGTACAATTGAAAATCTTTCCTATAGTGGTTCAAAATATTTTGACTCAGTTAATTCACATTATTTTTAGAGTATCTTTTAATATATCTGCATTATATTTTCAGCTTTTTGGGTTATCTCTTTTACAACGTCATCAACAGAACGAACCTCATGATGTCGATGTTATCCAAATAAAGCACATCTTGTACAAATTCTTACTTGATCTGTAAAACATACTATTTCCAATTTTTCTAGATGTTCCTAGCATAAATCATTTGGAATATCATTTGAAATTAAGTTGTTCAATTAGAGTTGATAACCTATATCACTATCGTCATTTCTTGCTGATTATCTACTTTACTAGTATTAGGCTTTATGTTTAATGACCATTTTTAACAATTAGCAGTTCTTTGGAAATTGTGAGATGTCACTTTTATTTTTAGCCATGATACTTTTATAAATAATCAGTTTACCCATCTTCTGGACACAATATACTTTTTATTAATTAACATTTATTTAATACAAATTTAACATATTGTATGTCCACAATCTGGAAGCATCAATGGTAAATTGTCATACTCATTAAACATCATTTGGCATTCTGGACATATAAGTTCTTCTATTTACTACATTTTTGAATTCAAAAACAGTTGATATTAAATTATATTATATATATATTATCATGTACTAATCATAATAATTACATAAGCCTTTAGATAATGATCTGATTAAGGAATATACAAGAAATGGTTATACTGAAGAAGAAATCAGGAATGCATGGGAGGTTACATCTGGAAATATGATTTAATTTCAATAAATGCTATGGGGAATGAAAAATCAATCATTTATAATAAGTCCAATCAATCAATAATTTAATGATGATATTTAAGTAGCCGTGGCAGCATCATTATCATTACATTAAAAAAATATTCCAGATGGTAAAGTTAGAAAAGAGAATTTTCCGTGTGGATTGTTAAATGTAGGGAACACATGTTATTTTAATTCTCTTCTTCAAACTTATTATTCTATTTACAATTTTGTGCTACCCATTGTTAAATGTGAATTTGATCATATTGATCTTTAAAATATTGTTGATAAAAGAGTGGCTAATTCTGTCTTACTTCTTAAAAACTTATAAAATCTTTTTGTGCTGATGATTGGAAGTGATAGGTAATTTGTTGATCCAAAACAAGTAATTCATTCTATATATGATGATTTTGGTAAAGCCTTACCTATTGGAGACTAAAAGGATGTTGGCGAATTTAATAACTATTTTCTATCAAGGATTGATGAGGGAATGACTTACTTAAACTAGTCATTATTAAAAAGTTAATAACCAAATTAAGAATATTAAATTGCATAATCATAAGTTTATCCTCAAAAAACTAATTAACATGAATAGAATAAAAGTTTCATTTCGTAAAAATCATTATTAGTCAGATAATCTTCAGTTGTAGCAGAAAATTCTGTTTTATATAAGTTGTTTTATGGCAAATTCGCACCTTAACTTACAGTTCAAGGTCTGGGAAGCAAAGATTGCGAAGAAGAAATATTTAACTTTATTCAAATCGATGTGGGTAATAAGTTTTTAATGGAGGGACTAGAAAAAAATTTGAATCAAGTCTTAGAATATAAAAATGAGAAAGATTAATATTAATAAGCTATCAAATCATTTTGGATCTCATAAGCTCCTCAAATTCTTTCTTTTTAGATACAAAGGGTGGAATTTCACAAAGAATTTTGTAATTTATTTATATATTAATAGTAACTTTTGCTAAAATTAACTCCCCCTTTTAATTTGATAAAGAAATCTATATTGATCGTTTCTTATTGTCTAATCAAAAAATTGCTCGAGAAATATAAAGTCAGAATTAATAAATGAGTGATAGATTGAAGAAAATCGACTTAGAATTGGAATAGTTAAATTCTTTTAATGGAAACATTTAAATTATTTAAAACCTAGAAACTACTTTATAGTTCTTAAAATTATAAACTCCAAATGAAAAATCAAATCCTTACTATGTGAACAGCAAAGATAACAAGGCAGCCATAGATTCCATCTCTCAATATCATTAATATTTTATATAAAAAAGGGATTCCTTATTAAAAGAAAAAAAGGAATTGGAATCAAAAATTTCCTCTAGCTATAACAACTTAAAGAAGTAGAAATATATTTTATAATCTATTTTGATGCATGAAGGAAGTCCTGATGGAGGGCATTATTTTGCATACATCTACGACTCTGATGATAAAAAATGGTATTTATTTAATGACATTCATGTTCAGGAAGAGACAGAATAAAATGTATTTAAATACGCTTTTGGAGATTCATTAAACTCTAAAAGTGCTTACTTAATATAGTATGTCAAGGATGAAAAACCAAAGTAAAATCAGAATTAAAATTTTAAGTAAAGGTTATATAGTACAAGTCAAAATATAAATAATTATTTACAAGATGGATATGGAAAATTATTATCATAAAAATAAAAAGATATATTACATAAAGATAATCTAAAGTTAAAGTAAGAAGTTATTCAACAATAATTAATTGGCTAAATAGAAATAATTGTTTCAATATATCTTTAATATTTTGATAATGCTAATGAAAAATAAAAACTATATTAGCTCAAATAATATTAATAAATTACATATAAACCACCTTATATTGAAAATTTTGCTATGTTTTTGAAAACGAAACCTGATGAAAAGATGTTCAGATGGGTTATATTAGATTATGCAATTAAAAAAATGATACCTTAGACTAACGGAATATTTGGACCGCCTGATCTTGAATAGAATTTAAAAACTTTAATCTTAGAGGAAATAAGTAAATTTGGACAAAATAAACCAATATAACCAATTCCTTAAAGTCAGGAGTACTAAACATCATTAGAAGAATATAAACTTACTCTTAAGTTATTAGGTATGATTGCTTACATCCTAGAACAATACAACAATAATAGTTTAAAAGAAACTATAATTGCCTTACATGTTTACATGAAATTAGCCAAGTTAACCAATTAATAATCCTTTTTTTATAACATGGCCTTATAAATGAAAAATTTAATTTTATTAGGAATTATTTGCAAAATTTATTATCAGAAAAATATAACTGATTCAGAAATACTAGTTCTTAAGCTATTAATTGCATTTTAGATGTAGGAACACTTTCTTTATAAAGATCCAAAATAATGGAGTAAGTAACTCTTGAATTTAATTGGTGTTGCACTTTCTACTTATGGCCAAAATGAAAAATAGACGTAAGATGTTGTCAAACCTCTGGTTCAAAGCAAGAAAGACGTTGAAATGTGTGCTTTATTGGACACACCATCTTAAGTAAAATTAAATTTATTCTAGAATATTGAATATCATATCTAATCCATTTGGTCCATATATTTAAAGAAATAATTTGAAGACTAGTTTGAAGACTTCCTCTAAGATAATTTAATGGTTTCTTTATAAACTTTTTATCAAATCAAAGTAAACTCTTATATTTATCTGTTAGTGTACTTCACTTCTATTAGAGAAAATCACAAAATCTGATTCAATTTTAGATAAAAAAGATATTTTTAAGATAATTGAAGAAAACCCTCAAAATAAATGAATAATATTAAATATATATATCAATAACCATAATTTTAAGTAACGTTATTGCCTGCAATATATGCACTTACATTTCTTTATCTTTTAAATTGCATTTATGAATCAGCAGATTTTTTGAAGGTACCATCAACATAAGCTCTAAAGCGTAAAAAAAATAGTTACTTTTATTTAAGTTTTTCATAGTCAACATGATTAGATAACCCTGGAACAACTCCAATACCAGCTAATTGTGGATCATCTTCAGCCTATTATAATAAATGTCTTTGATACTTCGAATATTTTTTTGTTCATATTTAATTCAACCATACTCATTGATGCTTCTTACTATTTTCTATTTTTGTCTTCTTCAATTTGCATAATTAAATCTTATCTGTATTGTTGTTAAAGTATGTTCTTTTTCTCGCATTGTTCTTTTTCTTGCTTTTAAAATTTTTAATGAAGTCCATGTAAAACTTCCTGATCTTTATATTTGCTGTTTTATTGTTCTCTTTAACTTTGCTGCTTCGAGTGAATTTGATTGAGTATTGTATCAACAGTGTCTCTTTTTAGTTTTTCCTTATTAACTCTTTCCATTATGTATTTTTCTTCTTCTTATCGTTATTTATATGAAGCAGCTTCTTCAATAAATTTTCTTTGAAGTTCTTTTTCTTTATACTCCTTTTGCAAATAAAGATCATTATATTTCTAAAGAACATTTTCATTTTGATGATATCCATATTTGATTTTGCTAAGATGCTAACTCATTAAGTAAATGATTACCAATAATCGTTATTCCTCTTCTTTTTGACTTCTTTATAATTACTCTTATAAAATCTATTATTCTCTTTATCGAGCCAAATATTGATCCATTTTTTTTTATTCCTCCTATTAAGCATAAGATTATGCTAAGTCTTTTTGAACTTGTTCTTTCTTCTATTATTTTAGATAGAGATCCTTTTTTTCTGCTTAATCCATCATCAATCCAATTTAAAATTGTTACTATCTATCTTAAAGAAAGTTGAGACGCTTAAAAGTAATTGTAAATAGAAATACTTATTGTTCTTTCTTCATTTATTCTTATTCGAGACTATATCTAATATATTCAGATTATTTTTATTTAAGTTCCTACAATTTCACCTGTTCAACATTGTCTCTCTAATGTAAGAATTTCTGCATTGCTCCAGCAAATTCAGAATCGTATTTAGTCTTCTAAATAGTTGTTTGCTTCTATTCATTAATCAATCTTTCCAATTCTTCTCTATTTTCATTTATATTAACATACCTATATAACCGCTTTCGATTTTCTTATTCTTCTTTCTCCTACTTTTCTTAGGTTTCTTGTTGTATCCTTTGTCTTTCGATCAATCTTGACCATTAACCACTAGGGTCTAAGATGGATTAAATAAGACTATTACCATGCTTACTATAATGAGTCATATTAACAAACAAAAAGTAAAAATTAATAAAATTTATTTATTAAATATTTAATAACTAGAACACTTAACAAGTTCAAATCAAATTAGTAATATAATAAATTAATTAATTAACAATGCGTGGCTAGCGTCCTCTAAGTCCGTAATCAAACTAATAATAAAGTGAAAAAATGAAGTTAGCCCAAACAGCAATCAAAAAACGAACATCTAAACCTAATTTCTTTACTACATATAGAACTCATGTAATTATATCAAGTACTAATATTAATTTATGCTAATAGTCATTATTGGGATAATCATCATTGTCGTGTTGTCATTTACTAAATAAATAAAAGAATATATCATCATTAATTAGTCAGAAATCAACTCTCACAATTCCTAAGGATACCCTTATACTTTAGGACCTAATAATTTCTTCCATGTAAGTTTATCCTCTAATTAGAATGTAACATTAATGCAAGCCAAAACTTTGTTTAAGAATGATTTCACATAATAAATTAATGTAGAAAAATGCAAAGTACCTATTAATTTCGAAATTCCAACCTATTTCAATTTCAAAGAATCCTACCCTAATTGCTCTCACACTATATTCAATCAAGGCAATTGTTCATCCTCTTATTCTATTGCTGTCTCCTCGGCCTTCTCAGATAGAGTCTGTAAACTCAACCAAACCCAATAATTGTCAGCATAGAATCTATTATCTTGCGATGGCAAATTGAATCAAGGATGCACAGGAGGACACATCACTAGATCAGCTGAATATATTATTAAACATGGTTTGACTACTAATGAATGTCACCCATTCAGAGGTGATGACAATTTCTAAGAATGCACAAAAGCACTTGAAAAATGCTAAAGATTTAAAGCTAATTCATTTTGTCAATTGTAAAATAAGGATGTATGTGACCAATTAATTTTAGGATATAAAACGAGACATTATAAATAGAGGTCCTGTTGTTGCTATTATGCAAGTCTACAAAGACTTTTTAGTTTATAGAGATGGAGTATATTAGGTTTTAGAAGGAACACCTAGATTTCATGGAGGACATGCTATCAAAATTATTGGATGGGGAGAATAAAATGGATATTAATATTGGATTATTGAAAACACATGGGGTACCAGTTGGGGAACTGAAGGATTAGCAAAACTGGCTATGGATGGTTTTATAGATCTGTCATTACAAGCATTATCAATTATTTATTGAAGATTATATTAAAGTATGCATATTTATGATGTTAATAATTCAAATAAATCAAATTCAAATGAATAGAACTCCCTCTCATTCCTTATATATGAGAAATTCTCATAATCAATCTCATTCGCCAATACCTTAATAAAAATTTATTACTCCAGAAAAATTAGTAAGAGTTAGTGGAAGTTCAGGCGTAAAAATGAATTCAATTTAAAAAAATGGTACAAGAATTAGAAGTGAGGCAGTTGAAACTGTTAATAAGGCGAAGGAACAATAAAAGCTACAAGAATATGTTTAGGAATTTGAATATAGTAATTTTTATCAATAAAGAGTTAGAACTTGTGTAATAAAAAAATGAAGAATAATAATAATTAGAGATGAGAATCTTAATGTTGTTACAAAAAAATCATGATTAAGCAGAAGAAATGGAATTATTGAAATAAGAGAATGAATAATTAAAACAATTATTGTATGAATAACAGACTTAAATTGTTGAGTAAAGTTAAGAAATTTTGGCATTAAAAGTTTATAAAGATGGATTAAAGAAGTTAAGTTTCAGTGATTACTTTCGATAATAAAATATATGAGTTTCACTTTTTGATTTTAAGTATAGGTTAATTAATAAAGATTATTCTTTGGAATAATAAGTTATTCGTTTTTAGTTCTTTATGAGAAATTAACAAAGAAAAGGTTTGACTGCTTGTCTGAATGTTATTCATACTTTATATAAATTGAAGTCAGGTTTTTAAGTTAAAACAATCGAATAATTTATCATAAAATACATCTTTTATTAATTGATACTCTATCTATTTTTAAATTTATATTTGGTTTATTATATTGTAAACAAATTTATTAGAAGTATCATTTTGAAAAATTATGAATTTTGTTGAGTACTTTTATTAATTTAAGAAATCAGATATTATTATGGACTTTAAAAATTATAATTTATACAGAATTCGTAATTCGTAATACGCTTCTTATTTTTATTAAATCAATTATTACTAGGTTTTCCTTATTCTAATAAAAAACATCATAAATTTGAAAGAATCATAAACATAAAAGGATGTTCCATAAAGAGAATTACTAATAATTTTGTTTGTGATTAATGATTTTTATATAATAGATAATATATAATGTAGTAATTTGATAAAGATATTCTTGTTAGTGAAGTGGTTCAAATTAGAAACACAAAGACAGGCAGCTATTTGGCTGCTACAGGATTTAATACTTAGGAAAAGGGATTTTTGTTTAGCAGTACAACAAATATAAATAATTATTACGTGGTGGGGAGCGATGATCCATATAATCATTATACACTTTGGACTATAGTTAAAGTTTTTGATGATACAAATAGAATAAATTATGGTGATATTGTTTTTCTAAAGAATTTGAGCACTAAATTGTATTTGATATACGAATTCGAGAAATTATCAGAAGTTTCTAATTAAGTCAGAGTTTCATTGAATGAAAAAAGATAAGAAAATTTTCCGTTGATTTTACAATAATAAGGAGAACATATATTTTCATCCAAGTAATATAGCATTAAGAATAATATGCATTTAAAGATCTAAACTACAAAATTAACTTATTTCTTATAAACCTCAAATAAAAATTATACTTCTAAACAGGTTAAAGATTATAAGGAAATATCATGTGGGAAGGAAAGTGATTATAATAATTGGGAGATTGTTAAATTGAATGAAGAGAGACAATAATTTTTTGAAATCGAACCAACATAGTAATTGAAAATAAATGCCCAAGAAATCTTTGATAGTGATAAGATAATAATCAGAAATTATAAAACTGGATACTCTTTACATTCACACAAGAAATAATATGCATCTACTGGAATGTAGGAAGTTACATGCTTTAGCTATGAGAGAGATGGTATTATTATTTATTCTACATGATAGTCAATGATTGGTGGGTTATACAATAAACTTATTAGATGGCCTCAAAGTAGATACAAGATCAAATGCCTATAAATTTAGTTCATTAAGAAACGATCAAATTTTTGAGTGTAGATGAGTATAATCTCGCTAAATCAAAGAATGGTAATTAAGTCAGAGCCACGTAAGCGTCTATGCAACAATCATTTATTATTTCAAGTATTTATATAATTATCATTTTATAGCTATTGATAATTAATCTCTGATTATTGGTAAACCATTTTTCTTGTTTTATTAACCACTCAATAAATATTTGTGTTAAGGACCCTCAATTTCAGAAATGCAATAAACCTAATATGAAGCTATAATGGTAGATAAAATAACAAATTCATGTTTATGGGTTATTGAAAAAAAAATTAAATGAATATAAAATATTAATTTAAATTGATGATAAATTAAAAAAATTGCACACAGTGAGATTTGAACTCACGCGAGAATGACTCACCGCATCTTGAGTGCGGCCCCTTAGACCACTCGGGCATGTGTGCTATATCGAGAATTTGGTTTTGATTTCAATTATAAACTAGTCTAAATATATTAGGTATTATATAATTTTAATGAAAATTTCTTTTCTAATTTTTTACACTAATTTAATTATGTTATTTAAACATTTATATTATCAATTGATTTTTTAGTCAAATTCTTAATTTATAATAGATTATTTCATATAAAATATATGTTAAGAATTTTGATTTTTGTTATCATTTAGCCCTTTCAAATAAATTTTAAATTTTCAACAAATTTCAGATCAAAATAAACTGAAATATTAAAGATAATGATATAACTTCTCTCATGAATCAAGTTCTTTATTATTTAAGGAGATTTTGTAGATAATTGCAGTTGATGAAATTTGAATACAATATTTAATAAATTTAAACTCATAAATATTCCTTTAATATTTGATTGCTGAATTCCCATAATTCCTCAACTTAATTCAATTTCTTAATGCTCTTGCTATGCTTACTTAATCTGTTTTTTTCATAATATCCACCAGTTAATAGTTCTCTGTATGGCATTAAAGTGCAATATACCGTAGTTTCAGCTCCTTCTTCTACTGATAAAGTCATAGGTCTAAAAAACCAAAACATGATCTTTTAAATTAATTACAACAGTATTGTATTTCCAGCCTTGTCTAAAAGTTCAGTTTTAATTACTCCAGGATGGAGAGCCACTACTTTTGTATTCTTTAACATTTAGGATAGCTTCAAACATAATAAAACCCCACAATATTTAGTATTATTATAATTCTCTAAATATTTCCCATTTAAAACATCATTAAAATTCAATTTTGATCTAATCAATTCATGCATAACAGATGAAACTATTATTATTCTACTTTCCTTGCTTAGTGAATCAATTAATAGTCTGGTCAGAAGGAAATGCCCTAAGTAATTAGTGGCAAAAACTAGTTCATGATTATTTTTATTATATTTATGCCACCATTATGCAATACCAGCATTGTTGATAAGAATATCTAAAACACCAAATTTACTTTTAAAGTTTTTAACAAATTCTTTCACATTATCATAATCATCCAACTGAAGATTCATATAATGTAATTTTGAATTTCCTGTTACTTATTTTATTTCATTGATAACTTTCATTGTTTTTTATTCATCCCTACATGCAAAAACAATTGTGGCATTTTACCATGCCAACCTTTTTGCTGTTTCCTTTCCTATTCCTGCACTTGCTCCTGTTATAATAACAATTTTGCCTTCCAAATTGATTTAGTTATATATCCTTAATGGACCTCTTTGATATTTATGAACAAAATATGCTATCATAAAATATGTTAAAGCCAATAGTGGTAAAGAATAATGAATGTAGAAGAGTATAATCAAACTACTTCCAATAATTGGGTAATATTTTGAATAAATAATATTATTAAACATTTTTTATTGTTTTTATATTGTATAAAAATATTTGATAATACTTATTACAATTAATTCAAAATTTAATAAATTAATTGATCCAGGATTATCAGAAATATTGTTTATTAAGCAAAGAAAATGAATAAAAATAATTCAAAGGATGAATTTGACAGCTTCTTAAGGAAATTCTGTTATAATTCCTTAAAGCAATGTACTACTCCTTTAATATATTTTACCAATATCTTATTCATCAAATAGTTTCTTGATATCTTCACTATCATCTTAGAATGTCCACCCATAAATGATTAAACCATTCTTTTTAGCCTCATTATAATATTCATGAGTTTAATTATTTTACCAAACCAATCTTAAATCTAAACCAACTATTTTAGCATATTGAGCAATTTCAGTTATCGTTGGGATATTTTTATCTTCAAACCAAACCAATTATGCTAAAGGGAGATCAGAACGAGCACTAAAATATTAAAGTACTTATTTTTCAAATGCCATAATCACAATTGGTAATTTTTAAGAGCATTCATGAAGTGTACTCAAACCCTATTCTTTCAAAAAGTTATGTATAATTTCAGCAATATTAATATTACAATATTTTTAATGATATTCGAAATCCTTAATTTCTAAGAGGATCCCTTTTTTATTTTCAGTGTTTTGATTATAATTTAAGAAGTACTCAACAATTTCCTTTAAAGAGGGTATTTAAAGATGTCCATCATACTCACTTTTACGATTGTTTATGCATTAACTCAAATGTAATTCTTTCAATTCTTCAAAAGTGAAATCAGAAATCCACCAATCTGATTTTTCTTTATCATAAAGAATTCTAGACTGCTTTCTATTTTCAAATTTATCATGATTTTTCACATCGCTTACTAAACTTAAAAAAGCATCGTGACAAACCATAGGAAGTCCATCTTTGTTTAAAACGACATCCAATTCGATAAAATCAGAAAATTAAAGAGCTGATTTAAAACCTTCTAATGTATTTTCTACGTTTAAGTTATAAAATACCAGGGTAAAGACTGGATAATCCTCTATGAGCAGCTATAAGAGGCTTAACCTTTTAGTAATAGGACAATAACATGAATTTTTAAATTGTGTATTTTAAAAATGATATATTATATTGCGTATGATTTGTTCATTTATATAATTCATAATTTAATAATTGTATGAAACTATTATCTAAATTATACGTTATAGCAATTCAATATTTTTTACCTTTAATAATCGCAGTAGTCTTAGACTTGGTCAAATATTTGTTGCATTTGTGATCTACAAAGTCAAACAATTAAGCATCGACTCCCATTCCTATTTTTCTTGCTTCATTGTTATATTTTACTACATTTTTATTTAACTTATGCCTAATAAAAAATGTCTATACATGTCATCCACATATTCGACCATGCATTATTCAGTTTAGGCAATCATCCTTCTTAATTCAGCTAAATCATCATAAGGTCTTTCTTCTTGAGCAATTAAATCTTTAAGCATATTAGTGCAATCAGTTTCTTCCTTATAATGCTCTTATTTTTGACTCGATTTTTTGTATTATTATTTTTATGGGATAGAATTAACTGCTGTAATTAAAAAAGTTTCCTTTTTTCTCTATGCAGCCAATTTCTTCCTTCCCTCTTCAAAAAAAGATGGGTTGGCTTCTTTCTTTTATTAAATTCTTTGTTTTGCCTATTCAAGTAAATCAACTTTTGGTTGTGTTGTTTAAACTTATTCTTTTTTTGGTTAATCAATAAAGAGGTTATCCAACTTGGAGAATAAATTCTAGTTTCAAATGATCAAATAACCTCTTCTAATTCACTAATTTTACTTTTTCTGTTAATAATAGGTAGGGATTAGGTTGGAAATGATCTTTGCATATAATATATATTTATTTTATTAATACATATAGATGTTTCAATTCTCACCTAATTTGACTTTTTTTTCTGCTTTATCACATTTTTCTAAATTGCTGCTTGAGGAAGATAAGATTGAAGAGGATCTAGAAGTTGTTTCATTTTTAATTGAATTGGAATTTTTATCTAATATTTCAGCATCATCATCGCTGATAACTACAAATGTCTTATTTATAAAATGATCTAATGCTTGTTTAGTTATTTTAATCTTGGTATTCTTCAATTAAGGAGTGTTCTTTTCAATAATCTCAAATGAGGAATCTTAATCATTGGTATGTTTCTTTTGCATCATTTGCTTTTTAGTAAGTTTTCTGAATCTAGGTTTGTTTTCTGTCAAGAGCTAGTCTGTAATGACAGCCAATACTCCGTCGGTTGACATCACACGATTTCTTTTCATATTTATCATATTTTAATTTAATTTAATTGAATAATGGAAATAGAATTTTTAATAATAAGATATTCTATATATTTGTTTCATCTGTAGATACTAGCCAGCGTCTTGAAACTATCTTTAAGATGAATTGATTTATATGTTGATTAACCCTATCTTAATTTGTTGAGTTGAATTGGATATAATTTAAAGGATCGAGGTGATGATTATGTTGGTTCAGTTTTAACTCTATGAGATGGAAATGCCGAATATCTTTAACTGTACTAAAATATCTTGGTTTGAGATTATTCTAGAAGTAATTTAGTAGTTCTCGAGACAGATTTATATTTGTTGATAGGCGACTTATTTTAACTTACATATGATATTTTGATGTTTTCTTATGAAATATGAGATTTTAGTTTATCTTAAAACTTATGTCTTCTTAACTTACTGCTTTGATTTTTTATTTATTATAAAAACTTATTAATTTTGTCAAAAAATGGATCATTTTAATGTCTGATTTATTTTTCACTCATTTTCCCACATTAAGTACAATAACAACTATATCTTCGTCTTCTATTTATATTATCATTTTTGGACGGCTATTTTATTTATTTCACTATCTCATCAAAATCCTAATTGGATGTCTTTAGCATTTTTAATGTTTAGACTATCGTTTTGCTTTTACTATTATCTTGGATTCCTCTTCTAAATTTAAGAATAGCCACATCTTCCATTAGTTGAGTTTGCCTTCTTCTTTTTTCTCTCTTCTCTATTTCATGAATTGATTGCTTAGTTTTGAATTCAGGCAAAATGTTTTTGAATCTAGTCTAGAATTTATTCATCGATCCAAATTCATCACCATAACAACTAATTCTTCTGGTTTACCCATGTGAATAATCCAAAATATACTTACTTTCGAGATTTACAAAGCTTTGACAAAATTTATTTTTTTTTTGAACTATTTCTCTTTTAACAGTTACATTCCTTCTATTTCTGTACCTCTTCATACGTAACCTTATTTTTATAATAAATATTAATATTTAATTATAGACATTCATTATCGATTACTAAATTTTGGATTATATTTTTAAGTCTCATAGATATTTAGTATTTCAATTGTCTTCATATAGGAGCTTTTCACAATTGGAAGGTTTAGTTTCTTTTTGTTTTCGAGTTTCGCTCCAAATTCTCTACTACTAGAATTTGTCTTTGTAATTTGTTTTCCTTATTCACTTTTCACAATATTTCTATTTTATAATCCTTCAACTATTTATTTCTTAGGCTTTACTAATGATCTTCTATTTAGTTTATGTACAACTAGGTTAGCCAGATTGCAAATGTTCTTATTATTTTAATTATTCTCTCTTTCTTAATCATCATCGTATTATACTTATCTTATCGGACTTATTCCTTTAAATATTTATTCTAAATTCTATTTTCTAATGGATTTGTTGATTTTTCCTCGATTGATTTATATTGATTTGCAAAATTCTTAAAACTTAGTATTTAAACCACATTCTTAACAATCACAACTTTTTTATCTTTTATACTGTTATAAAGTTTGTAAACGTTAAGAATTTTAATCATTACTATTAATCCCAATTTTAATATTATCATAACTGATCTGTCTTTAAAATGAAGACTTACATTCAAAATTTACATTACTATTTATTTTTGAAAATTATTGTATGTAACTAGATACATTCATATGCTTGAATTAAAATTAATTTAATCTTCCACAATTATTACAAGTACAACTTTTTCTTCTCTACTTTTATTCATCTTAAATATTCTCTGTTTGGACAAGATAAAAGCTTCTGTGTTTTTTCTATTCTGAGACAATAATAGAAGTGAGGCACATTATAATTGTATTTGATTATAAATAATTATAAAAAATTAAATAAAAATTAAAGAACAATCAAAATATGCCAGATTGTTAATTATGTTTTTTGAAATTATCTCTTTAGTAATTTGAAATGGGTTATTTCTGAGTGAGTCTTTATTGAGGACTTCGATTTGAGTTAAGTTACAAATAAGGTAGATGTTTTCTTTTATTTCCAAGAGGAGATAAGATATCAGTTTTTTATCTTGATGAGATTTCAAAAATATTTAAAGATTATTAATGATGTATTAATTTTGGATTTTTAGTTCTTTTTAATTGAAATTTAGTCAATAATTGGTTATCATTTAAATCCAACTCAATCATTCTTTTTTTTAGATGTCTAAGTTCACTATTTTTGGAGGGGGAGAACTATTCTGTGTACAACTTTCTGAATTAATGCCTTTTAATAGTTTTCTTAATTCTAAATTAGTTAGTTGGGGATAATTATTATTTTTTGATCATTTGATAATTTTAGCATTTTACTTAAAAGTTATTTTGAGTTCCACATTCAGAGCAATCACAACTTTTTCTGTATTTAGATCTTGCATTATTCTCAAAAAGTAAGTGTTAAAAATTAGTGATTGATTTACTTCGAAAAAAAAATGATAGATTATGTCCAACTTATTTTTTATGTTTTTGAAGTTCTTATTGATTTTGAAGTTTCTATTGTGTGATATGATTATTTTTAAGGAAATTGATACAAGTTGAGAGATTCATTTGTGCATATTGAAATAGACTCATTTTTCCACACATTTGACAATAACAACTTTTTCTTCTATGTTATTTTTTATATATTTGTGAAGATCTTTCTTCCTCAAACGAGTAATCCTTAAAATGATGACCCTTCCAAATTTCAGTGTTTTATTTTTACCTCCTGATAAAAGGCACATCGAATTATTACATTAATTATAATATATATATGTATATATATCAAGGAGTACTATCTTCTTCAAAATACTACTCCTCATTAATTTCAGATTCTGGTTTTGGCGGATACTCGTCGAGTGTTTGGATATGAATTTAATTTCCAGCTAGAAATGAAAGAGTGAAATCTTAATCTTGGATAAAGAAATCTGCTAATAATTGTTTCACCTTATATTTAGATGATAATATTTACTTAATTGATCTTAACTTTCTCTTCTTCAATTTATTCTTCCTCTTGTTCCTTTTAATCTTCTCCTGCCTCACTTTAAGGGAATTAGGATCCCTTTTAACTTGGCTCTGGAGCCTATTCAATTTCTTCCTCCTTGCCTATATTTTGAAAATCTTCTTAATTAAGAACCTTCTCCAATTTTTCACCAATAATTGTGACTACACAATCCTAATTGAAATCATAAGGAACTTAATGGCCTTATTTTTAGGCATGTTAATGTCTATCCTTCTTTTCTTGATTCATCTCATAAATAAAGAATCCTAGGTCTGTATTTGTGAGGTTGAAAACAGGAACATTAATCTCCTTTGTGGTTTTAACTAAAAAAATAATGAAGATTATTAATACTATTAATAGGTTCCTTAGGTGGTTCTTCTTTGAGACCTTTCTTGTTACCTTTTCCACCTTTCTTTTCTTTAAGTTTTTCTAATCTCTCTCTTTCTCTTTCGGCTTCTTCCTCTCTTAATTTCTTTAGTAAAGCAATAGCTTCGAAATCAGGAACTGTTATTTATTTTTAAATATTGTATAATGCAAGATTGGCATCATCTATCCAAAATAATCTTTGGGCATTTTAGATTTCTTATTTAACAATTTCAATAGTCTTAGGTCCATAATCTAAGAGTATCTTTCCCTCTTCTAGTTAGATATTGCCTTCAGGTACAAAAGGTGCAATACTGCTAGTGACAATCTAGACATGTTCTTAATTGGCTGGATCATATCCTTCAGGAAGTGTCGTAATTAAATAATCTTATGGGCAAATTAATCTTGCTTTTGGCTTTGGCTGTTCTGTAAGATGACTGATTCGAGTTAACCTTTAAGGAGGTTTTTCAGTTGATTCATCTCTCAGAACATTAAGTAGGTTTTTGATAACCTCTCTAACAGCTTCAGACACAAGATCGCTTTGGATCTCATACATTGTTAAATAGAATGCTAATCCCAATTTCCCTAATAAGACTATGGATGAAAGATGTCCAGATAATTAATCAATTGTTAACAGTTTATCACCGCTCAGATCTCCACCTAGAATGAGAGTTCCATTTCGATCTTAACATCCCATTAGATTATGACATAAAATATGAATATCTTTGGCAATAGCTGATGATAGAATGGTTTAATCTGCATTCATATGGATGATTGAAGGGTAGAATCTTGAAAAGAAATTCACTCTGTCTCCTATTATGTAAATATTGCCATAAGGTAATAGGGTTCTGTATGGTGTTTTGGATTCGATGTCAGGTTCTTCCTCAGAGTAACCAACTTCATCTGGATAGAAGAACAGATTTTCTAATACTAAAACACTATTTTCTTAATAGGTTTGAGTTTCTAATTGTTCATCCAAATTTTCAATGATAGCATCATTAAAATAGACAGGACATTCAACATGAGTCTTTAACCATTCGTAAAAGAATTTAGTTGATGATGTAAACTTATACTTTCCACTTGGATTGTCATAACTTACAAGTAATACAACAATCTTGGCTTATCTTTCCATCAATAGTTTGATAGTGTCAACGCATTCTTAAAGTGTAGCTTAATCTAGATGACTTAAATCATAGTTCTTTTATTAGACTTATTAATGATAATTAAATAGTACCTTATACAACTTCAACTTCTTTTTATTTGACTGGTTTACCTTTGCCTTTTTTCTTAGCTGCTTCTTAAGCCAATCTTTCCTTTTCCAACCTTTCTTCTTCCAATCTCTTATTCTCCTCTTCTTATTCTTTGAGTAATGTTTATTCAAACTTTTCTTTAAGTTCATAAACATCTGGTCTATTAGCTAGTTTTAGATGGATCTTTAATCCAATTTTCTTTCCTTCAATATCTGAATCTTAAATTGTTTTCTTTCTAAGAAGATCATAAAAGTAAGTAGATTAAAATCTTCTCCTTCTAAATACATTCCATTTTAATTCTGGTTTCATCATTGCTCCTACTTATAATAATTGTCCATCATTTTCTAATTTGATAGCTGCTTATGCCAATGCATCAGCCACTTTAGCTCCCAATTTAGTTTTATACTCCTCAATCAATTCCTTTTCCATATCATCATTCCATTTCTTCTTTTTTGCATTCTTCAACCAATTTGCTTTCATTTTATTGAATTCATCCAACTTAGCTTTAGCCTTTTCTGGTGTTAAATCCTCAGGTTCATGAAAAGTGTATTCCCACATTTGCAATTCCTTACGCATATCCTCGGATAATTGAGGAACTTAATTAGCCACATCCCCTAATAAATCCTTGACTACACTGTAAATGGGATTTCTAGAGATTGGTACTTTCTTTGCCAACTTAACCCACAATTCCAATTTACGTAATACCAAATCTTTAACCTCTTCTTCATCTATAGTATGACATGATTATCTTAGCAATTTAACATCTCCATTCCAAGGTATATCTTATTTTAATACTTAACATATTTCATCTGATGAGAAATTAAAGAAGTTCATAATTTCATGAGTAAACCATAATTATTCACCCAAATTGAGTTCTTCAAATTCGATTTTAAATTATTCAGGATCACTTAGATCTGGTTTAGGTGGAGGTGGTGTTTTGACTTCTTCAAAGATATCATCAACTATTTCAGTGGCTATTTTCAATGCAAATTTGTTTTTCACTTATTTCTGAAATTCTTTTCTTCCAATTGTTAATTCATCATCTATAAATGCAATGCCTGTCAATTTCAAATTAGGTAATTAAGTCAAACATGGAGGCTCACATTTCAATTCCCATTCCTCATTAAATACACCTGCTTGTTTTGATAGAAAACTAAACACAAATTTAATTCTTTCTCCTGGTTTGATAACATTTTAATCATGATGACAAAAGAACCTCTCTTCATTTATATCTTAGATTGAATTAGGTTATTTCCTTACGCTCTCAATTCTCTTCCACTCATAATAAATAGCCGCACTTCCATTATTTGAAACAACTACATTATCATAACCGACTGTTTCAGTTTTAACCAAAAATGATATATGCTCTTTCTTCATTTTCAACTTAACATATAGAATTCGAATTTATACCTAAGGACCCTCTACTTCATTCTTCTTCTCCTCCTCATCTAATTCTGAAATTCTACTGATTGGCCCCTTTGGTGTACTGACCCTTGGATCCTATTTATCCTACCCTCTACTAATTTAGGATGGCACACCTGATGTAGGCTTCTTCACCATCAATTTAGAACCCATGGATTAACCTGGATTGAATGACTAAGTTAATGAAGAATACATACTCCTCCTCCTTGTAAATACACTTTCCCATCTAGTCCTGGGACCTAAGAATATAATCTAGATTATTTTTATTATTCATCTGCTTTCTTTCGAATGTAGAATGTCTTCTTTTTTGGCTAAGTTTGATTCATACTATCGTCCATAATAATAAAATATTATTTTATATTACTCAAGTAATCATTTCATTTGAATTTCTCCAAACCATCATCCACTTTCTGCCTATGGACTTCAAACATGCTTCTCAATTCATTATTATTCCAATACTGTCTTTTAACAACTATAAAATGTGATTATAATTATTCAAAGAAGAAACCACTAAACAATAATTAAATACTTTAGTAAAATTATTTTGATGTACAAATACTACTAATAATCAAATGATTCTATTAAACAAGTTTAAGCATTAGTGAGGTTATGTCTAGAAAACAATTTTGATGTATTATAAATAGTAAATTATTAAGATCTGCTTTGTTATTGAATACAATGACTGATTTGACTTATTCCCCCAATTATACACAATTCGTTAAATTAAAGTAAGACTGCTGTTATGAATCACTGTAAGTTTTATTTATTTACATACATCAAAATGAAATAATAATGAGCCTCAATAGTATCTATGTAGTATACAATAAAATAAGGTAAACTGTTTAAGCAATAACAATCTTCAAATATCTATCACCTTTTGAGGATCTGATAAGATTCATGTATAAATAGTATTATTGATTGATGCCAATTTTGTTTATTCGTTTTTAATATAATATAATATTAATTTTATGAAGGTATAACTAATTAGCCTTCTTCTGTTTTATTTGGTTACTTGCAAAAACATACCATTATAATTAGAGATTGGGTTAATTCAATTTGAAGGTCTTTAGCCTGGAAAACTATAATATTAAGTATGACAAATTGCAAATGAAAAATAAAGGAAATTTAATTTGATCAGCCATTTATCCGTGTCCCTTAGGTTGCTTTAACAATTAATAGTCTAATGAATCATAATTCTTAAGTGTACTTCAGCAAGATTTACAATGTGACCACTGATGGTACTCTTTTCCACACTAATTCTAGGATTTACAATGGGAGTTTTGAGTGGAACTGAATAATCCTTAGAATATCGTTACATGGCTATCGTTGATGATAGAGTCCAAGTGAATTGTCTGAATTTTAAAGTCAAAGAAATTGTGTTCATTCCTTATCTAAAGTATTCGTATCTAAAATCTCTAGATAGTTTGTCAAAGTACCTAAATCATGGGTTTTCTTAACTGGAGTCAGGTAATAAAGCAACACCTTCTCATTTTAATAAGGTATCTGCCATTAATCTACAAATTAGATGTAAGAAATGAGGGAATTATGCTTAAGTTCCAATCCATTGACACTGAAATATTGGGAGTCTGTGTTGTGGCTGGTGCAATTGATATTCTATAGTCTAAGATTGATGATCTGCCAACATTCTAAGGATACAACCTTATGAAACAGTAGACAGCTCTATCGATCATAGCTTAATCAAGTTTTATCTGTGAAGATGAATGCTTATTATACTTTAGTAATTCTTATTATAAGTTAGGGAATGATTAAACTAAACAATTAAAAATTAGTACTGAATTTCATAATCAACAAGAAAAGCCAACATTATCAAAATTCATACCCTTTAAGAAAGAAAATCCCATTGTTACATAGGAAAAGGTTGAGAATCTTATAGAATAAACTATTAAAATAAATAATATTGAATAACCACACACTTCTCATGAGGAGAGTTTAAAAAAGATGATAAATTAATAAATTTAAAATTTGGAAGAATAAATAAATCATCCTAATGGAATTAATAGTTTTGATTCGAATCTTAATGAAATGCCATAACAAGAACCTGTTGACAGCGAAAGCGAATCTGAAGACGAAGAAGATGGAATTAGCATGACTAGAATTTCAAAACCAATTAATATTGAAGAAGAATTATAGAAATTGGAAAAGATTTCAGAAGATAGAACCAAAAAGATAAACATCATAGAATTCAATCCTAAAGAATCCATTAATGTTTCATTTTTATCTAGAAATAATATTGATATGCAAGAAGAAAGCAAAGCTGAAAAACTGATTGAATTAAAATATATTGATAGAGCTCCTAAGTTTTCACCTAAGATTTAGTAGATGATTGAAGAAGCAAAGAAGAATATCGAAGTTGAATAGTCAACAACAGATAAAGTAGAATCTCCAATAAATAACAAACTAACAATTAAAGATTAATTAAAATTAAAGACAGAAAGTTTAATTCAATAGATTGAGAATACTTCGCATATTTCAAAATTCGATGATGATACGGACAGAAGTGCTCATAAATAATAATTTACAGTCAATAATAAAATTGAACAATAAACATAAGATATACCTAATCCATCTAAAGAAGAGGAATCAAGAATACCTACTCCAAATAATGAGAAAAAACACTCTAAATCACCTATTCTAAATGAATATGATACAATCTTTGCTTAATTTGCTAACAACAATAATATAAGATCTGTAAAACCATAATAACATTTTTCTAGTCCATTGATTGAATCAGAAATCAAAATTGAACTCGTTTAAGAGGAATAGCAGATTGAACCTAAACAAGAATTAAAAATTCTTAATCCAAGAGAAGAAAGACTTTAAAAATATTTGTAAAAAGCTGATGAAGTTGATCTCAACTTCTTAGAAAACATTAAACTTGTTTCAGAGTAGAGTTAATAACTGGAAGATTAACCAATAGAACAAGAATAAATATAAGAAAATTTTGATTAATCCAATGTATCATATACGGAATAATTAAATATGAGAAAAAGTATCTTTATTATTATAAATTATAGATTAAATTCTTTAGGAACTTTAACAGAAATACAATATAAAGGCTTCTCCGATTTAGAGTTTTGAAGAATTTAAATTAAAAGTACCTTAAGATCAGTACCCACAAATATTGTATGAGAAATATCTTGAATAATTGAAAAAGCAACAAATAGGAGCCAGCTTTATTGAAACCGATCACAATGTAAGATCGGTAGAAAACTCATATCAACTTGAAGCAGCCTATTATGAATGGCATTTATAAAAAAATATATGAGTTGATAAATTATCCAATCAATTATCAGTATTTTTTAATAAAAATTCTATCATTATATATTAAATCGCCATTTAAAATTATATTAATGTTCTCTATTTACTAATATATATGTAGATAACATGTAATATTAATAAGAATTAATCATTATTGCTACTGTTATTTAATCATCCTTAGGGTTATAAAATATCTTTAAAAACAGATTTTTGCACATTAGAACAATAACAATATATATATAATTTAGCTATATAGTACTAAAAAAGTAAAAATTGATTATTTTAGTACTTGATAAAAAGAGTCCAAAACTTGCATTCTCTTAATAAATCGTAAGTCAGGGGATTTTCTACATGATAATTCAATATTTTACTTGATTCAATTACTTTATAAATTAATTAAATTTCTTTAATTAGTTTTGAATTGAAAATCAAAGGAAAGCGAAAGCTTGCTTAAATAGATTAAAATATTTAGTAGTAGAGTATTTATATTTAAAAGTAATTTAAGTTATTAATAATATAAACAAGAACGGAGAAAGGATGAAACAAACAAAAATGATGAATCATGCACAAATTTTAAATCACAGAGCAATGGGATATTTACATTTGATTATGATATGATTATGTTTTAATGAGATTGTTAGATGTGAAATTATAACCAGATTTGAAAATGAGTATAAATATCATAAAATATTTATTCAAATAATTTTATTGGATGAAACTAAGTACGTTCAATTAAAGTAATTAAAGACTGTTTTCCTATTGATAAAATGTGTGAAGAAATTGGTAAAAAATTAATAAACTTTAATTTTCAATATAAAACACTTTGCTACTCAAATTCTCAACGCTGTAGTTAATAATGAATTAATAATACAGTATTTTATATTTTATTAATGCAAACCGAGAGAAGGGAAGGAAAACTAGCTGGTAGTTGCGAGATGGAGGATTTGATTAGTAACGTTTAGTATGTTATTGTTAAAGTATACCCTTTCGAGGTGGTAAATCACCATTTTAATAATTTTGTTGAAAACTCAAAGGAGTTTTAAGAGACAAGAGATTAGCTGGCAAGGATAGGTTCCAATCTTCGTTTAAAAGTAGACGATTGGCCATCAATCGAGGAAGCAAAAATCTTATTTTAATTAAATATGTATAAGAATTGATCAACCTAAATAAAGTTAGAATGCTAGGAGAAGAAGCGTAAAATGGAATGATTAAGATAAAAGATTATTTTATTGGGTGGTTATCAGATATTGTTTATTAAAAGAAATCAATTAACTTGTAATTAAATTATTCTTAAAACAAAGACACCTGTGGAATGGAGAGACATAGCAAAAATGACTATCGGTCGGAATGCTCATTAATGTAGATTGAAATGGGAACAGAAATATAAAATTTCACTTTCGGAGGCTCCATGGACAGAGGAAGAGGATTAACTATTGTAATAGGTGCATGAGTATGAATTCAGCAATATCTTAAAGAGAATTTAGTAGATTGGGAAAGGAGAACAAATGGTCTCAAATTGCCAGAGAAATATACAAGAGATCTCCTAATAAAATATTCAGATAGCCTAAGCAATGCAGAGAGAGATGGATTAATAGGTTAGATCCTAACATTTGCAAGTAATGAGATGATTAAATTTGAAGTGAGCCTTGGTCAAAATAATAAGAAATAGATCTTCTGAAGACCATTTTAATAAGAGGAAAGAAATGGTCTGAATTGTCTGCCCTTTATGGGAGAGTGAGAACAGAGAATTCTCTTAAGAATAAGTACAATTCGCTTTTAAAAAAAGAGAAATTAAAATATGAATTTGAAACGATTAATCCATAATTATTTTCAAAGGTGTAGAAATTAAGAATGGATTATGCAAATAAGTATGGTAAAATAACACCCATTGAAGAGATTGACAATTACGAATGGTAGTTTATAGTATTGGCAATCTAAAGTTTATATATTGATTTATGTGTTTCAGAAGGTAAGTATTAGGAAGCATAGAAAATAAAGAATGATGATTTTTTTGATTTATTTCATAATGATTTAACTTCAAGTAATAAGAACGATGTCTTATACAAAAAGTTATTGAATATTAAAAGAGTGGACAATCAATTCTCTGTTGAGAATGATAGATCAGGCGTTGTACTTTTTAATAAGAAAACTAAAAAGCTATTTATATCTCCATTTAATACTTTGGATTTTCAAGGTTTGATCTTGAAGCATATCTACAAACAAATAAAAACAGAGGAGAATAACAACAGTAAATGTTCTACTCTCACTTAATCTGACCACAATATGTTTATGATGTAAAAATCAATTGATGATATCAATCGCTAAAGTACAATGCAACCATTATTGTTATTGGCCAATTAACCATCATTTATGATGCCTTTGGGATAGAGCATGATAAATAGTTATTGGTTGCCACCTGTATTGCCATGTATGTCCCAATCTATTGGGGGTTATCAACATTAACAAAAGAACATTCAAGAATAAGTGGTTTAGAAAATTAAAGAAGTTAATAAGGCAGCAGATTTTGATGATTTGTTTGGTAATGATATCAAAGTTGTAGATTCTGATGGAGAAAAATGATAAATTTATGATCGTTAATCTTTTATTTTAAATAATTATATATTTTTATGTCCTCCAAGGATGAAGAACTTGAGGAGATGCTTATGAGATATGAGAATCTTGAGAAGCACAATTAAGTATTGCAAACTCAAAATTTCAATTTGATGGATCAATTACAAATTCTGTAACAAGTATGCGGAATCCTTATAATATTAAGAATGCTAAGTAATTGGAAACAGAAAACAATGAATTGATTGATTAAATTGAGAATTTAAAGAATGATTTACGAACTCAATTTTAGCTTAGTCAAAGTTTGAGATAAGAGAATGAATTCTTTGAAAATTAATTGCAAGATTATAGAAAGGAATTGGAATAAGGAGGCCAATACTATCATAAATTACTAGAAGACAATGACTAATTTAAAACACATCTCTAGCAAAAAAACTAATAAATTGAATATTTGACTCAAGAAAATAATATGTATAAAGATTAAATGCTTCAATTATAAGAGGAAAATGATTTGATTACATAAGAAATAAGTAATTTGCAGGATTTGCTGAATCAGAATGAACTCTATCATCAAGATCCTATAAATCTCTAAAATTCTGATTAAAAGAAAAACAAAAAATAAAGTAGAAGGTAAATTAAAGAATTAGAGAGATTAGTAATCAAAAGAGAATAAGAATTAAGTCACTTATATGGTAAAATGGAGGATATGAAAAATTATATTACACAAATCAAACTTCAATCTGATAAATATGAATAAAATTTATAACAACTATATAAAGATTATTAACAAATGGAGGCAGAAAGAAATAAGTATGCTCACAAAATTGATTAAATGCAAAATTATAATGAGAGATATTCAACTCTATAGTAATAGTTATAAAACTAGGAGAAGCATAAAACTAAAGAATATCATTCATTAAAAAACTAGTATGATCAATTATAAATGCATAATTTGTAGTATTAATAATAGATGTAAACTATTAATGATGAATATGGAAAGTTATCATAATAATGTATAGATTTATAAGAGTTAAATGAGTAATATATGCAAGAATCCTAAATCCTAAAAGATTCCTTAATTGAGAAAGATCAGAAACTCGAAAGAATGTAATTACAACTTCAACAACTATAATAGAAAGATCTTTAAATCTAATAATAAATGCGAGAATAAAATTAGCAGATCAAAGAATTTTAAAATAATAAATAAGAATTTTAAAGTTAAATAATATAATTGTAAAGAGACAATTAACAATTTTGTAATTAGATAAATATTGTGAAAGAATAATAATCCAAAGAACTTAAGGAACATCTCAATATATAGGAGCAATCAAAAAAGGAAAAGCAAACATTAATAGATAGAATCAAAATGCAAGATGAAAAAATATAGGAAATGGAAATCAAGTATAAGAACATTGAAATACATTTGAAATAAGTAGAAGAAGAAAGATTGTATAGAGTTTAAGCCGAATAGTATTATTTTATATATTTTAGATCTTTTGAGGAAGTCTCACAATAATGTATGTAATTATAAGATTAAAATAGAGATCTACTTAGATAAGTAGCTAATCTTGAGAATGAATTATAAAGATGTGAAGATGAGTTAAAGCAACTCAAAAAACCTAATAAAAAGTATTTATATGGATTAATACAAGTTCTTAGAATTTCGATAAAACTACCTAGTAATTGATTCTAAAAGATAGGGAAATCTTACATCTCTAATCAGTCGTCGAGAGATTGGAGGGTATGAATAGACAGCTGCAATAAGAATGTGATAGATTGGCTGCTAAAATTTAATTAACATCACATGAAAATTCATTATTGAGTAAGACCAATAGAGAAATTAATTAAATGGGTCGTTTAATTTTAGAAGGTTAATAGATAAAAGAAATGTTAGAAAAGAAAAAATATGAAAAACCATTAACTATTACTAATAATAAAGCACCTTAAGTGATTCAATAATTATAATAACATAGCAGAAGACCTTCTGTTAAGAAATCTTGAAAATTTCAATTAGTTTGATTTATATTTATATAAGTATAACTTTTTCATGATTTTTTGTTCAAAATAATTGAAGATTAAATTTTATTGATTTCAGGCTCTTCATTGATATTTTAAAGTTCCTATTATCCAAATGATATAAAGCTGATTGGTTATTGATTGTAGATTTCAGAAGTTGCTTAATATTCAGAAGGTAGAATTTACGAGTTTCTGATTAATATATAAAATGATACCTCTAGGTTTCAATTAATCTTTAGCTAAATATAGGAAAGTTGAGAATCTCAGATTGAACAATAGAATTTTATATGGTTTTCTCTAAATCCATCTCTGAGTTTAGAATAATAGAACTTCTATTCAAAATTGGTTCACAGTTTAATTAAGCTTCAAATCTTTTTAAACTATTCAAATAACGAACTTGAGGCTTGTCAATTCCTAGGCAATCAGTCATCACCTACCCTTTTATTTTTATACTATTACATACAAAGCTGAATCGAAATCAAATTTTTTGTCTATAAAATATGCACACACTATTGCATTTGCTAAACCATCAGAAGAGTAATTTATTTGAACATCGCTCTTTTAAATTTATAAGTCTATTTATTTGATAGAGCTTTCGTAAATGGAAATGTAATCAACATTGTTATCAACAAATGAGAAGGATTTTGGTTGTATTTATACAGACTTATTATGGAGCCTTTTGTATTCCGTTCGCATATAGTAAAAGCAAAATATACCCTTCTAATACATCGGTACATCTTCTCTTAGAATCATGGATGATATCATATTAAATATTTTTAATTTATTAAAATACTTTATTGATCATTTTAATTATTATTATTGAACATCATAATGAAATCACTCCATTTACTTTTCTTTTTTGAAGTATTAAAATTATTGTTTTTATTCTTCCTTTCTTAACTTTCTTTATTGAATTGCTCTCTCATTAATTTTTTCCATATACTCACTAAATGAAATAGCTTTCTCTTCACCATCTTTGTTTTTCTCCTCATCTCCAAAAATAGCATGTATTTCTGAATCCAAGCATTGTCTCCCAAATCTAACATACAAGAGTTCTAAAGTGTCCTAATTTGGAAATTGATAAGTGTACTTCAACTGTTACTCTTGGATCTTTCCTATCTGGAGGTAAATACATCAAGAATTAAATCATATGGAACAAACTCTTAGGTTCAAGGCCTGTCTTATCGATTGTACATTTCTTGTACATATTCAAAAATTCAGTCCAACTAACTTTCCCATCTAAATTTTCATCAACTTCCTAGATTTATCATAAATGCTATAGTTTTACCCATAACATAAGATCTATTTCTGACTTGGTAAGTGATACACCTAAAAATCTAAGCATTTTATCAATATCTTTTGCATCAAAGTAATCGACATCCTTTTTTTTAAGCATTTAGAATACTCTAAAGTTAACAATTAAGATTACTTTTCTAACTACTTTTTTTCACTTGCTTTGATTTCTATGCCTTCCAATTTTTATTCAATTGGTTACTCTTTTTCAATCTTTTTCTGTTTCATTCTTTGTACATCAACTTAGAGATTAGCCTTAGGAATTTACGGTTTGGGAAGTATTCCCATAGCAGCATATCGTTCTTTCATTGAAGAAGGTAATAGATTTAAGTCTATTTTGTTACCTTTTTTCTTCTTTTTTTCATCATCCATTTTTGTAATATTAATTATAATTACATTAATATATATGAACAAAATTGTGTAGATTATTCATCTATTCTCAATAATAAATATATATATTTTCTATAAAAGACATCTGAGAAATATTATGAAGTTATTATATACAATACATTATAATAAGCATTATTAAATTAAATGAAAATAACAATTTGACATTCTAGAGTTTAATTTCATGAGTAAATAGAGGGTGCTTGAAATTAAACATGAAGATTTTATTTGATTTATTAACATTATATTGTATTATTAACAACAAATAATTCAACGTCTTGATTATTTTCCAATACCACTTTTACCAGTAAATAAGTGCTTAGGCATTTTGCAATCTATTTTAGTATCGCCATCACCAGCTTTAGCTTCATTTCTTCTTCTTCTTTATATTTTTTTAGACATCCTTTCCATAGCCTAAAATATTAGATGGAATATATTACTTATTCTTAAGCAGTAAGGACTTTTTTGTTGCCTCTACTTCTGCTTCTTGAGATTTCTCTAAGTCTACTTCTACTTCTGGATAAAGCATCTCTTCCTTTTCTTTGATTTCTCTCATTTCCTTCAATATCCATATCATTATCATCGCTATCATCTGATGATTGTTGTTATCTTTTCTATTTTTAAACAATCTTCTTTGCAGCAAACTTCTAAGCTCTCTATTCTAAAAAGGTAGTATCAATTCCTTTTTTAGCAAAATCTTCTTTTGCATCTTCCAAATTGGGTCTATGTAATTTAACTTATTGTTTCATTTTCATATGATGTTCTTCCTTAATCATCTCTCTTTTTTTGTTGACTTAATCTCTAGTACTTAATAACATGTCTTCTCTAGCATCTTCATCTGGATCTTCAACTTCAGCTTAATCCATCATTTCTTCTTCCTTTTCCAATTCCTCCAATCTTTAGAGAATATCAGCATCAACAAAATCTCCAATATTCTTGCCATCCATGATTTCAGGTACAGCATCATATTTCCAATCAGGATTGTCTAACAAAAAGTGTTCTATGAAAATAATCAACATAAGATAATACCTTATAATGGGAAGGAGAAGACACCAGCACCACCATTTTATTCTTGAACATCCTTCAATGTTGGTCTATTTAATTTACCCACTACTTAGGGAATTACTGGCATTCTATTTTGATTAACTCTTTTAGGTTAAGCAATATAGACTCCTTAGAGGATTGACTCTTCTCTTAAAAGGTTTGGATTTCCACCTGTTAACTATTCAGGTTTAAGATTTTATCTCCATTCATTTAATAAATTGCAAGCTTTTTCCTTGACTAAGGCTATTCCTTCACCAGATTTGTTACTCAATTAAGAACTAATAAATAGATTTCAATTAGATACTAGAACACGTTTTCAGATTGGATGACATCCTACAACTTTTATTAATCAATTGGATCTAATTATTCAAACTTTTTAATATCTATTTTAGTCATAACTAATAATAAAGGTTTATTTTTGAAGAGTGGTTTTAAGTCTTTGAAGAGTGCAATCTATTAATCAATTGAATAACTGCATGTTTCTGAGATATCCAAGAAAAACATGATGCATGCCTTTAAATGTGCAAGTGCTGTAATTGCTTACATTTCAATTGGGTTTCTTTCACTCAATGAATGATCCAAGACTCCTGGAGTATCTATTACTTACCAACGTACAAAGTTGTAATCAGAGTGACCAACATATAGATTTTATGTTGTGAATGGATAGGGTTGAACATCCAGATTGGCATTTGTAATATTATTTACAAAACTACTCTTTCCGACATTGGGGAATCCAGTGACTAAGAGAGTTCTTTCAAAGGGATTGATGGCTGGCATTCTGGATAAGTGTTTTCTGACTTCATCCAAATAATTAAGAGAACTGGTCAATTTTTTAAGTGTGGTACACATACGACCTAATGCTGCTCTCTTTAACATCTTGCATCTGTACAAGGAATCACCGTATTTTAGCAATCTACAATAATCCTTTGCAATATTATCAATCACATTCCTACAAGCATGTACATGTCCCAATGCCAATTTATAATGATCCTTGTCATACAATACATTAATCAAATCTGCATAGAAGGGATGAATATCATCTAACTATTTTATATGAGGATATCAAATACTTTTGGGAAGTCTTACAAAATGGCATCAATCTTCTCGTGAATGGTTTCTTATGTAAATTTCACTTTTCTCATGTAAAATCCTCTAATTCTGGAGATATCGTATCCAGGATGGACTACTGTTGGTGTTTTCCTTTGAGTCTTAGATAAAATCACATTTATCATGTCTTTAGCAGGCATAACAGGACGTATAGATTTGAAGTTATAGGACATTGCTATTTTTAATCACAAAAAATATTTAATCAACAACATTAATTTAATATAGTTTATAATTCTACTTAAGTGACGGGCTTAGAAAGGAAATGATCCATACCACTCTCAAATCCTAGTTTTTTAGTTTCCTCATCAGAAAATCCACTGCACCCAATAATTGCACATTTACTTATTTTTTTCTCCTTCTCCATCATTCTAATTAATTTTGAAGTCTAATATCCATCCATCATCGGCATCTGTATATCGATAATCACACATCTGATCCAATTGCAACAATATTCTTAAGTGCTTTACCATCCCTTTAGGAAATCTAAGGCCTCCTAACCACTCTTTGCCTACTAATAACGGTACTTCAAATTCTTCAATTAATAACCCAAGATCATCAAATTTATTGGTTCATCATCCACAATCAAGATTCTTGGACATGCACAATTTTCATAAGACTCTTGCACAGGATCCTCTTAAAAATTGTCCTCTTCACATTAGAATTAATAGATTGTGCTTTCATTTTCCTCTATTTTCTATTCACTGATTACCTTGGCTCTGTATATTGAAGCACTCATTGGTTATAATGTTAACTAATCTCTCTTAGCCACCCTTACTATTGAAAGATTGCTCTCCTTCCTACCAAAATATTTTGTGTCTTAAGATTAATGAACAGAACTCTTAGTTTCGTTTTAGTCCAATATTTTAAAGATAAACCTTGTTCCTTATCCCAATCCCTTAGATTCAACCTGTAATCCAACATCTCCTCCACTCAATTTTTATGCCAACACATTACTTATCATCAATCCCAAACCCACACCTTAAGTGTTTAAATGCTTTGAATCTTCCAATTTCCCAAAAGGTTAGAATAGTTTCTTAATATCTTCTGGCTGTAATCCTACTCCAGTATCTTCTACTGATATTTCAATTAATTTTGGTTGTAATAATTTGGCTTCCACCTTTATTCCTCCAGTCTTTGTGAATTTAGTAGAATTGTTAATTAAATTCAATATAATCTATTGAATTCTCTATTGATCTGATTTTATTAGATTTGGTATTTTTTTATCATATTTCAAACTAAGTTGCAGATTCTTAGCACCTACATTAAAAGTCATCATAGCTATTGTATCGAAAAGCAGGGTTTTAATTGCAAACTCTTAAAATGTTAACTTAAATTTTCCAGCTTTTAATTAAGCTAGATCAAGCAAATCATTAGCCAATCTCGAAATCGACTCGGCTGAGCTTTTCAATGGCTTCAAATACCTTATATTAATATAAACTACTTACTTTTTACTGGTTTCTTTATCTTGCGAAAACTTTGAAAGTAATTGAGCACTTATAGCACATATAGCACCTAAAGGGTTTCTTAATTCATGCGCAACTTAAGATAACATTTTCGATTTATTTGAATTTTGCTGTTATAAAACTTTATACTAATTAAATAATGACACATCTCTAATCATTAATAGAACATTTTTCTTGTTCTCATAAACATAAGCTTTAATTGTTATTTAAATCAACAATCCAGCAGAATCTTCATCATCTGACTGATCTTCGCGCATTTCATTAAGAATTTCTTCTTTGGATTCTTCGATCATACAGAGCATCTTTACTTCTTTACCAAATTTAATCTTATCTTATCCCTTCTATGTCTTTTAGGAATATTAAGACATTTATCTTTGATAAGGGGATGGAGTGCTAGTCTTCTCTTGCAGTGCCTTTTCAATTTCTTGGCTTAAGGTTTCAGCCTTACTTAATTCATATTCATAATAATTGTAATATGTTTGTTCATCTAATTGTAAGAAACAGTCTTTAATTAAGGAGTTCTCTTCATTGAGTTATTATTAGAATTCATGAGAATTACTTTTTAATTTTCTATTCAGTGCTGCAAACATTTTATCAAATTAGGCTTGTTCACCAAACTAAAATTTAGAGGAATAATTTTTCAATTCATACAGTCTTTTTGGAATTAACTCTTCGGATATAGGTTTTCTCCCCAATAGCGATCTCACTTGATTATTATGATATTCAATTTTATTTTAATCATTAATAATTATTATGCCTTCTGGAAATTGATTGAATAGAGTTTTATAGAAACTATTTTAATATTCGATTTGTTCACGAATTGATGCTTCTCTTTGTATTTGTTATTAATGATGCAGTTGTTGACCCAAGGACAATATTTAAACATGATTTGATTCCTCATCTAAAATTTAAGCTTAAGGGCTATCTAATTTCTCAGTAAAACTGCGAGAACTGGGTTTTTTAGATGTTTGTTGTTTATGCTGATTCCTCATAGTCTTTTCAACAAATAACTAGTATATTAATATGAGGGTATATAGTATTTCCCCACATATCAATCCAATTTATGAAGAATCGAGAATTAAGTAGAACGTTGTTAGATTGACTGAAGCAATCACAACGAGAAGAAAACCCACTCTAACTATTTTATTTGGTAAAATTGTATCAACATCTAATTGAATTGTGAGACCAAGCCAAAAATATTAAAATCTACTGAGAAATCCATCATTTTTCAATCCCATGTCAACACTACCTAAGCAAAACAGATTGAGGACTTACCATAAGGATTTACAAATTAATTACGAATGCTCAGCATAATTTGAAATGTATCTGTTTAGAGGCAAAGATAAAACCGTCAATAAGATGCTGAATATAACCTAAAAGTATTCGGTGTCGTCATTCGCTATTTTTATAATAAGTACCATTATAAAATAAGTGAGTTGAATAAATACTCTCAAATAAACATTTTTCATTATATTTTATTATGTTTATTATATTATTCATTACGCACATACTTATTGATGTAGCTTGTGCAGGAACGATATCTCCATCTATTTTCAAAGCCTATTAGACAACAGACACTACTTTTTCAAATGAAGTAACTTCACTCAAAATAAATACGCAATATCTCATCAGGTTTGAATTTGATTTACCAACTACTCTAAGTGTTAGCACTGATTACATTAGAATAGATGTAGTTGGATTTAAATCTATGGCAAAGTTCTTTTAATCATACTAATTTACAAATCCCTCTGCTGATGGAACTACTTTCCTTGAGTTCAAGGCTGATACTTCCACTAAAATTCAAACACCACTTATAATATTTTATGCCACTACAGGTGCATCGACAAAGACACATACATGTTCTGCTTTAAGTTATAGAACCCCTGGAAGTACAACACTTGATACCCCTACTAAGACATTCACAATCATAGGAGGATCAATAACGTTTAGTAGCTCTATTAGTGTACCAAATAAGGTTTTTGGATAAAAATCTCTTTATATCATTAGCCTCAACTTTGAAAATTCATTATCAGAAGGAACAAATAAATATATAACCTTTCCAAAACCATCAGGTTTAACAGCTGACGCAACGATCTCATGTTCAGGAACGCCATCAACCACAATCAGCTGCACTTGGGCCACTGGAACAAACTTGATAACAATAACAAATTTGGATTCAACTAAAACATAAACAATATCCTTAGAGTTCACAAACCCTCCTTCCCCTACTTCGAGTGTTACTTTTAATACTCTTATCACTTATATTGACACTTTTTAAGTTGATTCAAGTAGTACATCTTAAATAGTGACTGGATACAATGATGGAATAATAACAACATTATCTCTTGAAAGTGGAACATAAAAAGTAGGTTAAAGTGGTTCTTATTTAAAATACAAATTTACAAGTTTGAATGATATTGTAACTGGCTCTATTATTTAATTAACTCTGCCTAGTGATATTCAATGGAGTACAACATCTCCATCCTGTTCTTGGAATACCGGGAGTGTAACAGCATGTTCTTCTAACTTTGTTTCAACATAAGTTATATCGATAACTTTAACTTTATCTGCCCCAATACCTGGAGGTACATCATTAATTTTAACAATTAATTCAATAAGAACTCCATACACATTTAGCCCTTCCACTGGATTTTCATTTATGATCACTTAAGGCGGTGTATAATATGATTAAAATACAAATTTTGGAAGTTTGACTATGACTGAACAAAGTGGAATCACTTTAGCATTTTTTAGCAGAACAGAAAATAAAAATGGTGCTAAATCTGATTATAAATTTTCAATTAAATTTGATACTAAATAACCTAGTGGGACTAAAATAACTTATACTCTTTAAGGATATGATTTAAGTAATGTTAATGCCGTTGACTTTACTGGTTCTACCTAATTAACTTCTCCAACTACTTTATTAGTTATTAGCACAGCGTATACAATTACATTTTAACTCAGTTCAGAATTGAATGAGAATTAAAATTATGATACAATAATATATAAAATTGTAAATAAAAATAGTGCTGGTACAATAACAGCTGAAACCACAAAAAATAATTTTAAAATTTCAACCACTGATAAAGGCACGGCTGGTACATTACCAAGTTCTACTCCAAATGAAATTACTATTGTTAACATGATTTAAGAAAAAAAATTATTAGGAGTTGTAGATAGTTATTAATTTAGAATTACTTTATCTAATTTACTCTCTGCAGGATCTACAATTATTGTGACTATGCCAGATAACTTCTCTGCTGAGGATGTTGATTGTACAACATATGTGGATAATATTGAGGGGTTGACAGTGGATACTTGTTCAGTTAACAGTAAAGAGATTACAATAAAGATAAAAATTGCAATTTAAGTTAATACGATATAGTTTCGATTTAATAGTTTAATTAGGAACCCAAAGATTTATTCATCAAATTATCAATTTAAAATAAGAACTCAAAAAGATAACGCTATCATTGATGAACTGTTAAGTTCAGATAGTGCTAAATTATTAGAATTTAAATTATTGTGTGCTCCTACTTCTACAGTATTTTGTAAAGAATGTGATGCTTAAGGTAAATGTTTATCTTGTTATTCGGATACTTCAATAACTCAATATATTTATTTCTTAAGCAATTAATGTCTAAGTACTTGTGGATCAAAGTACTATAGTGATTCTAGTAATAAATGTTAAGGTTGTCCAAATTATTGTTAAGAATGTACAAGCAGTTCATTATGTTAAAGCTGTGAAAACGAGACAACTTAAGAGATTAAGAATGGAAAATGTGTATTGAAATGCACTGAGAACTAATTTGATTTTAATGGTATTTGCACTCCTTGTAATGAGAATTGCAATACTTGTGTTGATTAAAGTACCAAATGCACATCCTGTGGTGAAACTAATAATTTACTTTATCAAAACAAGTGTGTATCTCAATGTCCAACAGGAGTATTTTAGGTAGGGTTTTCTTGTATTGCATGTACATCACCTTGTAAAACATGTGACACTGGTCCAACTATATGTCTCACTTGTGTTGCTAACTATTATTATAAAAAGGCATCGCTAAGTTGTGTTTCTGATTGTGGTAATAGATATTTCAAGGATGGAAGTGATTGCACCTTGTGTTCTGATCCTTGTAATAATTGTTTGAGTAACACTATATGTGTTGATTGTCTCACTGGATACTACTTTTTTAATAACAGTTGTGTTTCAACAGTACCGAATGGTTATTATAAATCAGGTACTACTTTGAATAAGTGTCCTGACATTTGTGGTAATTGCATTTCAGAAACTGAATGTACTTCATGTCCAACCAATAAATACTTGTTAGCAAAACAATGTTAAGACAAATGTCCTGATAAATATTATTCATAAAATTTTGTATGTTATGCTTGTGATACCTCTTGCTTATAATGTTCATCAAGCACAGTATGTACTCAATGTCCAGAGAATTAATAACATTTGACCGGTAAATGTTATTAGAATTGTCCCAATAAATACTACTCTTTAGATTATTAATGTTTATCATGTTAATCGTCATGTGCTACTTGTGTAAATGGTCTAGAATGTAAGACATGTCCAGTCAGTTCACCATATATGTTGAATAGCTTATGTGTTTAGACTTGCCAATCCAACTATTACATAAAAGAGTATGTCTGTAACAAATGTGCTAACGAGTGTGCTACTTGTGATGAAAAGGGATGTCTTACTTGCGTATAGAATTACAAATAGTTAGATTAGACATGTGTGACTTCATGTCCAACTGGATATCAAGATGTACACAATATATCAATTATATATAGCTAAACAATATAGATATATGTGAGAAAGTGACAGATACAGAATAATAAGTGATTTCCAATTTACAAGAAAACAAATATATACCCGTTCCATTCACCATAGTCTCTTTAATTATGATATTAAGTGTTGTTGTGGCTAAGATATAGAAAACAGAAGTATTGTATTTAAGCAATTGTAGACTTTTATTCCAGGATCAGCTGTTGGTTTATTAGGTCTAATCATTATAGGATCATGGGCGGTGTTACTACTCCTACAATTGGATTACCTTTTGGAGAAGTTGGAAACTTATTTACTGATGGCTGCAATTGGAGTTCATATACTATTAAATCTCATTAATTTATGTGTTGTTAAACATTGCACCTAAGGAGATACTGTCTTTAATTTGTGGTATTCAGCAAGGAAATCCAATTCATGTGCATACATCTTCTTGAATTTATTGTCAATTCTGAGTTTCTCTATGACAAGATTTTACTTCTCAAGATATTTTGGGTTTAGATTCTTGAAATGTAAGTTATCAGATGTAGAAAACATGGTTGGTATGAATATCATCAATGGACTCTGTGCATTTGTATCATTAATATATCTATTCATTTTAGTTTTGCTGTATTCCTGCTTTGATAGCCAGTGTGCTTCTTGCTTATAGAGATCAATTAAGAGAGTAACTATTCATCAGCAGTATTGATTCATTCATAGTGACCATAATCTTTGGGATCTGTTTAATATGGGAAACTCAAAAAGAAGAGCACTTTTTTGAAGACATCCACTATGCATCAGTTTCACAATCACATTAAGTTATTCCTGAGTTTTTTTAAACTAATAGATCAAAGTAATCCAAAAGGTTCTCCTTTGAAGATTCCATGAATGGCTAAAAATTCAACCATCATGAATAAGACGAGGAACCATCCTTCCCTAAAATTGATGAATCCATTGAATACAAAGATCCCAATTACAGTAGTCAATAACCGTTTCAGAAGATGTTACAAAAAAATTCGTAATTCACTTTCAAATAAGATATTCTTGATCCAAAACAAGATAATTCAAATAGGTATCAAGAGGAAGTGGTCTTATAAATGCCGAATAACGATGTGTCTGAACCATTATCTATTGGAGAATCATAAAGAGACTAATTTGAAATGCAATAGAAATAGACACTGGAATAATAGTAATAATAGAAGATTTTAGAAGAATAATAAAGAATCGAATTCGAAAAGCAATAAGAAAAATTAAGGTAAATAGAAGAATAGAATAACATAGAAGAGTAAAAGAAAAAAGAAATACAGAAATAACAGGAAGAGCAATAAAGATAGGAAGAGATCAAAAAATAAGAGTTAGAAAGATAGGCAGAACTCAAAAGAATAGAGGAAGAAAAATAACAATAAGAATAAATTAAATAATAAGAACTCGAAAAAAATAGAAAAGAAAAGGAATTATAAATCTAGGAAGAATAAAAAAAATAATAAGAATTAATAATTTAGTAATAGTAAGAAGAAGAAAGGATAGCAAAATAAAAAGAGGAAGAAAGATAAGCATTCGAGAAAGAAGAAGCATTGAAGTTAGAAAAATAAAAAGAAGAAGAAAAATTGGCATTAGAGAGAGAAGAAGAGTAAAGAATAGAATAATAAAAGCAGGAAGAGAGATTAGAGTTGGAAAGATAGGATGCATAAAGGTTAGAATAATAGAAGGAGGAGGAGAGATTGGCTGAATTAAATTAAAAGTAAAAAACTGAGGAAGCATAAAGAGCTGCTGAATAATAGAAAATTGAAGAAGAATAATAGGCTGAACGATTAAGATAAGAAGAATTAAAACTTAAGGAATAGGAGGAAGAGGCAAAAAGAATTTAAGAAGAATAAAAAAAGTAGGAAGAATTAAGAATACAATAAGAACTAGAATAAAAAAAGAAGGATGAAGATCTAAATCAGTTATTGGAAGAATAAAAACTATAGGAGCAAAAAGAATAGGAAATGCTTCAAAGATAAAAATAATCTAGATAGGCTGCAGATTAAAATTCAGAAATTGATGTGATGTAAAATGAAATTGAAGATTTGAAATAGGAAATTAATGAATTCGATCAAAATAATAATAATAAATTGAATGATATTATTTTGGTGGATCAAGATGATGATGATGTGGGATGGGATATTGAAAATGAAGAAGTCGATGATCAAGCTTATGACTAAGGAGTAACAGCATAATAAAAGAAATTTTAAAAGGAAATTATTTAAGATGATAAAAATGATGCAGATGATGATTGGGATGTTCCAACTTCAGGTTTCGTAAGCGTACAACCAAAATCTTAGTTAAAAAAGGATTAATAGATTGAAGAACCCATTAACCCTTTTAAAGGATACAATTAAAAGTAAGCAGCAGAATCAGATCTATTCAAATAATCAAGAGAGGATTCAGATGATGAGGATTGGGCTCCAAATTAAATTTCTCCATCTGAATTCAATATTCTCAATTAAAGATTTGATCATGAAAAACACTCTATTACACAAGCTGAAAGATCTAAAAAGTTTTCCCAAACAGGTTAAAATTTTAAATCTGTTATTAAGAGACCAACTCTTCCTGAGCCTTAAACAAATAGTGATAACGAATCAATAGACTAGCAATCAGTTTTTGATTAGTTTGCTAGAAATTAATTAAACTAAATTCCCAAAAAACAAAATTAAGGATTAAATAAAATATATTTATAAAGATAACAGATCAAATAGAAAGGCACAAGTAACATAGGAATTAATGATATTAAATTTTGAATATTAATTATAAATTAGTAATATTTTTTTTATGGATTAGGAAGTTGATTTTATTTAATGTAAACCCTCTATAACAATCGATTATAAAATGGAGGACTTACCTAAATTCAAAGATGAACCCAATATTGTTGTCTTATTTGGTTTCCCTTATGATGAAGGCACAGTAAGAAATAAAGGTAGGGCTGGAGGAGAAAATGCATATGAATAAATTATGCTAGTGTTGAAATCTAAACTTCAAGAATGTAAACTATCATAAAAAGTAATACATGTGGGGGCTGTACCTAAGTAACTATCATTAGAGGATGCTCATGAATATCTGTATTAACATGTTGGTGAAATTTATTATTAATTACCTTAAGCTAAAGTGATTGTTATTGGCGGTAGCAATGATTAAAGCTATCCTAATTTTAAAGGACTAGTTGATGGAATGCAATGCAAGAAATTAGGTGTTATCAACATAGATTCTCATCTAGATGTTAGACCATTTATTAATTAAAATTAATGTCATTCAGGATCCCCTTTCAGAAGTATGCTTGAAGACGTTGAGCGCTTTTAGAATAGTAAATTTGTGGAATTTGCAATAAAAGGCTGCACTTGCTCTTATGAACATTATCAATATGTATTAAATAAAGGAGGGAAAGTTTATTTCATGGAAAAAGACATCAGAAGATTAAATGCTGAAAATCAAGGCTTATGTGCTATGAATAATGTATTAACGGAATTTGAGAATGATGAAAATATTGACTATGTCTTCTTGTCTTTTGATGTTGATTCTATAAATAGTGCATGGTGTCCAGGAGTATCTGCACCATCAATTGTTGGGGGTTTGACTAATATTGAAGCTTTGTCGATTATGGAAAGAGCAAAGAAATCGAAAAAGATTAAATTGATTGATTTAAGTGAGTTTAATCCAGCAGTTGAATGTGAACGCACTTCTAATTTGATTTCTGAAATGATAATTACATTTATTTTATGAATATATTTATAGTTCATATTAATATATTCATAAAAATGATAAATTGAAGTTATCTCAAGGTATAAATATGAGCATAAATTAAAAAAGAGATAAATGAAGCCTTCAATTTTTTTTTCATTATTAAAGATTCATTAATAAATTCATCTTCTAATAGTAGATAAGATTCTCTTAAAAATTGAAATTGAATAATCAAGGAAACCTTAACAATTTTAGAAAATCAAGAAAGGCAAATTACTAGTGTTTTCATTTAGTCAGTTATAATATTCTTATTAAAAATTTATAGAAATAAGTATAAATCGACCAACCAGATAAATAATAATAAATTACAATAGAGAATCAAGATATCTTCTATGAGTTGGATAATTTTAGGGATTAAAACTCATGGTAATATTAAATTAGTTTTTCTCTTGTCAAAATATTAATGTGGATTATTGTTAGAATATAAAATAATATGCAAGGGATTTATAATTAAAAATGAGCTACTTAGAGCAAAGAATTACTTGATATATTCAAAAAAAATAATATATTTATTTGGTTCAAACGTATTTTGATAAAATGTATTTTCAGAAATATGATGATAAAACTAATTATAATTTTAATTAAAATGCATAGAATAATAAATAAATACCTTAGATTCTCAAGCAAATCAATAGAAAATTGATATATTATTTATTTTGCAATTTCATAAATTCAATAACAAATTTTAATAAATATGGGATCTAACTGTTCAAATTGCAGATAATGCTAAAAGGATAAGCAAGAATTGTTATATGAAATAAATATAACTAAAAAAACGGAAAGTAATAGAAATGGAATATCTATGATTTCCCAGCCATCCCAAGCCTCAAGTCATTCGAATAAAGTTTAGATCAATTAAAATATATTAGACATAAACAAAATAAAACTATTCAAAGGATAATAAAGAATTCCAATATCAAGATGAACATCAATAAGAATTATTGTTGGCTAATATGGCGATTGTTATCTAAAAAAAATGGAAGGGACATAAGGCCAGATAAAATTTACAAGAAATGAAGTCTGGCAATAATGATGCTAATAAAAAGGATGAAGAAGAAACGATTTAAAGCAAATAAAGAAAGAAGATGCAGAAATATTTCAATTCAGAAGAATATGGAGGTAATTAAAAGTTAAATCAAATAGATGTAAATCCTAATAATACAATTCGAGACAAAAGACCGAAATATTAGTTTAAGAGTGGAGCCTCTTATGAAGGCGAATGGTTGGGTAATAAGAGAGACGGGGAAGGAACTTAAATTTGGCCAGACGGAGCAAAGTATGAAGGATCATGGCAAGATAATAAAGCATGTGGGATAGGAACCTTTTATCATGTAGATGGAGATACGTATACTGGAGAATGGGATAACGATTAGGCTAATGGCTTTGGTGTTTATAGGTAATCTAGCGGAGCAATTTATGAAGGCTATTGGTAAAGTGATTTTTAGCATGGATAAGGGGAAGAAAAGTGTAAGCTTAAATTTAAATTAAGGGATTGATAATTCAAGTTACAGAGGAGAATATTTTTAAGGGAAGAAACAAGGTAAAGGTTTATATACCTGGCCAGATGGAAGCTATTTTGAAGGAACGTGGTTTGATAACAAAATTAATGGATAAGTAACAATATTATATATCATTTCAGGGAGAATATACATGGGCTGATGGAAGAAAGTATAAGGGTAATTGGAGGTATAATAAAATGCATGGTTACGGTGTCTATTAGTGGGCAGATGGAAGATCCTATCATGGTGAATACTAAGAGGATAAAAAACATGGAAGGGGTAAATATTTCTGGCCAGATGGAAGGATATTTGAAGGGGAATGGGTAAATGGTAAATAACATGGAAAAGGCAAATATATCATGGCTGATGGTTAGATAAAATCTGGGTTATGGGAGGATGGAAAAAGAATTAGGTGGGAAGACAGATGACAGTGATCAATTTTTAGCATCTCTTTTCTTATTTGTAATAGTCTATATATATATTTCAGTATATTAGAGTAGTACCTTATGATATGTAATTGGTCTTATTAAATTGTTTTTTATATGATTTAAATTGGTTATAACTGAGGTTATTATATTATTTAAAGTAAAACCGGCTATTTAAAATCTGTGTTTTAATTTACTATCCAATATTGGTATTAATGAAATGGACTATTAAAATATCAATGAATTATAAAGAATCTAAAAACGAAAGCAAAATAAATTGAAAATAAATCCAAGAGACAGAAAGATACATCTTTGGGTAAATAATATATTGTTATATCATAAAAATAAAGTATAAGCATATAGTATTTTACAAATTAACAATGAATAAAGAACTAAATCAAATAGGTTCTATTAAGATATCGTTCTCAGCCCTTGATTTATAATGTCTAAATCCTGTGATTAATGCAGCAATTAGAAGAGCTCCTGCCCAGACCCATAATACCAAGTATCCATTAAAGCCTTCAAAAACACCAGTGGCTTAATAGAGTATTTCTTCGTCATGACACATGAGATCGCAGTTATTACAAGAACATCTTTCGGATATAACAAATCCATCTGGTGTAACTATTTTGCCATCTGGACCAGCAGGATACTCATATTTGCAATTAGGAACAAAATCAAAGTTAATAGTCTCTTCGTCATTATCAACGAACTTGACTGATATGAATTATTTAGCTTAACCACTAATACATAAATAAAAGAATATACACTGCCTGTTCTCCTTGGAAATTAAAGAATCCTCCTGGAGTTTTCATAGCTGTTACTTAAGAAGCGAATTGTGTTCTCTTGCAAGATGACCATATGTCCTATATAGATTAAATAAAATTAGTTACACATGCCACTTAAGGTTTGACTTTAATTTCAACTTTCTAAACTGTCAATATATTCTTGGGATTTAGTGGGTCTTTCATGTTTTCATATCCGTTTGTGCTTAAGAAATTACTCTAATTAGGACTGCAAGTATACTCACACCAGAACTTCTTCAAATTATAGGCACATCTAAGAATGAGAAAATATATCATACAAATCACATCCACCACCAGCATTGCCAAAAGAGGCATCAATGGCTTAGAAATTTCGTTGCATTTGGTCATCTTAATTCTTGTTGCAACACACCATGGTTCCATCCATATGGGGACATTATGAAATACGAGCAACGAAGGGTTCAGTATCAACTTCTAATGGATCACAATTATTTCCTTGACATTCCACAGAGAATGCACATCGAGAATACGAATACGCAATGAACGTAAATAATATTATCATTAATTAAATAATATTATTATTTAAGGAAATTTAAATCATCCCTAACTTTAATTTGATACATTTCTTTTATTACTTTCTGCTTCCTTTCTGGGAGTCTGAACGCTTTAGTATTGTTCCTATTTGACTATGCTTTATCTAGTAAACAAAAAGTATCGATATTTAAAGCATAAAAATAAAGTGATCAAAAAAATTAATATCATAGCGAGTACTTCTATTTTAAGAGTTTGATTTGATGACTCTTCATAAACAGATTCTAAGTATATTTTTATAAATCACCTTTATAGGATAGATCTTCAAAGAATAATATTTTTGGCTGATATTAGGGTTTGTAAATTAGAGTATCTTGAAAATCGAGTTAGTGGACATATTTATAAATGGAATAAAAATGAGTGATATTGATGATGAGTCCAATTTCAACTGAGTATCTACCAAATAGAGAATTCAAGTTCTCAGTATTAATTGTAATTGTTATGTACTCCTACCCTAAAAGCTGACTTTGAGTTAGGTTTTATTATATCAATGTTGTTTTGGATAGTCGTAGATTGGTCCAATTAATATAAGTGATATAGGGCTTTAAAGTAAACTAGAATGAGCTTTTGAGATTCTATAAATCAAGAAATAATGGTTAAAAGTCAAACTTATAGAGTTGTTTCTCTTCTTCTTCTGAAAGAGCAAATTGAATGTAAAATTAAGGGTCATTCGGATCTTTAGGATTAGGAAGAGAAAATTTATACATTTACAATGATAAACCACTAATTCCTCTTGAATAATTGCTCCATATGACTTCGAAGCTTTCTTCTGACGAATACACTGAAGGATGGAGCAATTATAAATCATAGTTCCTACAAACTGCTCTCACATTCTACATTCAAACTAGATAATTACTTCAACAGATGTATCATTTTACAATTCAAAACAAGGAGGATTTCCATCTATCTTTTGGTTGTAATAATCTTTATCAATTACACTCTAACAATCTTTGTAGGGTTAATCTATTTCACAAATTATTCGGTTCCATTTCAAACATTAAATGTCATAAAAGTCAGGTGGGCATAAACATCCATATGACAATCTATATCTTATATCGCAGAGATCTTTTTTGGTTTCTAAATCATATTATTTTTTGGTAACTCTTTATTAAGAACAATAAAATTATGTGACATTCAATAAAATCTATTGTCCAAAACCACAATAAATTGAACTTAAAGGCCCTTATTTATAATACTCATCAACAGTCGTATTAAAGATTGGTCCTGTATTTGCTGGATCTTCTTGTAAAATTCGCATTCTTTATTCTAGTTCTTAAACAAAAGGTATTTATTGAATTTGATCTGTATAATATTCATTTTCATTCTCATCCTCATCTTCATTAAAATCTGAAAAGTCAATCATCTAAGATTTAAAACCAAAGTTTGAATCCATCATATTTTTTGGTGTCTATGTTATAAAATATTAGGCTTTATATCTAAGGTCTTCATATAGTTTGCTGATATCTTTAAGTAAAGTAGCATTAATAGTATTGAGTATCAAATATAATAATACCATATATTTTATAAATTTATCAAAGGAGATTTTTATATTTCAATGCACTCTTGAATAAGCATTCAATAGGACTTTGTTAGTATTAGTCATACCCTACAATCTTAGTTTGATCTTTAGGTATAAGCATATAAATCTATGCTTCTCCATCGTCATCATGTATTTAATGTACAAACTTCCCACCTAAGGATTCTACCAAATATTCTAATTCGAAATGTTCAATATGGTAGTTCATTCTCTTCGGAACAAATATTATCACTCCTTCTAAAGGTAGTATTTTAGCTTCCTTACTAGAATATTACACTAAATGTTTACCATTTTAAGAGTCTTTTTTAATATTGCTTAAAATCAAAATTGTATTCTTTGCAAAACTCATTAGAAAACTTGACTTGATACTAGTTGTGATCAAGAATCTCATACTAATTTATAGATCTGGTTAACCAATCTCTAGAAATGATAGGGATTCCTTTAGCCAAAGCAATCAATAATTTAATTGATCTCAATGAGACATTGTCTTCCATAATTAACATATTAAAATTGTAATCTTCTAAACATACTTGAATATTCTAAATTAATAAAAACTATTATTCTTCTCTGCTTGGGTGAAATCCTGAAAAAGCTATATAGAACTTCCATCTGCTGCACTTTCTTTGACTCATCCTATTACTTTCTTTTTTTATTTCTTTTGACAATTTATGATGACTCTTCTTTTTAGGAGAACTTTCCCTATCTTTTCGTTATGGCATAATTAAGTAATCTAAAGTGGATTATTTCTTTTTCTATTTTGTCTTATTTGCTCCACTTTTTTTATCCTTTGAGTTCTTGTTAAAATCAGGAGTTCCACGAGATAACATTTCAGTTTATTACTCATAATCACTGAATTAAAACAAATCAGATCTTTAATTACTTTCATTCTTCTTTTTCAATTCGTCATTATCCCTCTAATCCTTATGTTTTGATGCATTGTTTTCTTGTTGCTAATTAAAAGAAACAGAGTTGATATCTTCATCTTATTTTAAATCAACATTAACTTATTCTTGTTCATGATTAGAATGTAAAAATTGCAATTCATTTGAAGGTGATGTGTATAAACTCTCGACTACTTTTACCTCTATGGTAGATAGTCGTTCTTGTAAATTGAATTCTTTGGGTTCCGGTTATGGTTCCTTTTATATTTCCTTTTAAGGCTACTATTTGACTTGAGAGGGATTCTACGTTCCATCAAGCACTTAAACTTTAGCTTCTATAGTTTACCCTAATCGAATTAAAAAATCCGCGGATTCAATATTTAAACTAATTTAACGAATCATTGTACCTAAGAACGGAATTCTTAGCCAATTATTCAAATTCTCCATCTGCATTCTTATAAAAGACTGGACCATCCAAAACTATAAGTTCTATCTCATCTTCATTCACAACAACACAACAATGGTTATTCACAATTTATTTATTATTTATACAAACCTCATGTTCCTGTGTATTTCCAACCATGTTCGCTCCAATTTATAAATTGAACTTAATTGGAAGGGCTAATGCTTTAAATCATAAGAGTACCACTTTTATAAGGTAATATAACGAACTTGACTATTTTCTAAGTAAAAAACATAATAAAAATAATGATATAAATTCACTGATTAAACATATAATTATCAAAGAAATTCATGAATTGATTAGAGATAACCCTTTAAGCCTCTTAAAATTTCCACCTTGTAATGAACATTATTATGGATTTCTGATATGTATGCTTGCTTCAAATCATTGCTTTCCTTGTACTTTTTTAAGATAATAATGGCCTCCAATAGAATCATAACCTAATTGATAAGAATTTCTTTGCGTTCTCTATTTATGTGTAACTATAATAATAGATAATCTCTACCGCAAATCTTCTTGAGAATGATATTTAGGTATCTAATTCTTTAATGTCTTAGGCTAATTCCTAAGAGTAGGAATTAAGATAATGCTACAATAATTATATACAAAACTGCATCACAAATACTTCATAATCAACTGAAACCGGTATAGTGATATACACATCCTTTTCTTAGACTTTATAAAGCATTAGATACAATCTCAAATACATAATCAAGTCCATATTGAGTTTTTTCTTTTTGATTCTGAACTCCTTTGTAATTGATGAGACAGGAATTTCATATCCATTAAATTTGATCTTACCCGTGTCCCATTCCTTAGAACTAATCAACTTATTAATAGTAATAGTGTCAAAGATCTACTTCTAACTTTACATCTTTTCTTTACTAATTTCTGTATTGAGCCATAACTTTATTAGAAACAAATTCTTACTCTAAAATTAAAGGAACTGTATTTATTTTCAGGTAAAGTAAATCCATACCAGCTGAGTAAGAATCTATTGGTTCTTCTTCCATAAGACACAGTAACTTATTCATATTGCTTTATTGGTTCTGTAGTTGTTATACAAAAATAAGCCTCTTAATCATTCTCCTCAAGCCAATCCCAGTTAGACTCTTCACTGTCATCACTCTCATTCTCTTTATCCTACTATTCTTATTATTCCATCATTTATTGCTGATTCTATTTCAAAGTTTAGATCTATTATGTAGGCAAGCCTTAGATGGTTAATTAGTTTTTCTTTTCTAGGATAAGAAAAAACAATAATACCATTATTTAGACTGATTGTCACAATATTCTCACTATCTGTTTTATATCCTCCTTCGTTTTATTGATTATTTAGCTCTTAATTTTATTACTAAATTGTAATTTCTTATATATTTATCCCTTACTTTTAATTCTTCTATTGTTTTTCTTCTTTTAATTTAATTTTCCATTCTATTAACTCTTTTTGTCTCACCGATTCTAATTGCTAGTTTCTGGCTAGTTCAAGGTCCTCATCAGAATCATTGTCTTCACTATCTGAGGATGTAACGAATCCCAAATCCCAAAGGTTGACCTCTGGTTTTTGTATCATTTTCTCATAATTGATCCAATTAATCATAGATCTTTTAACTTCATTTGACAGATTTTCCAAATTATCTATATCTTTTAATTGATTTTCTGTTAGATACTGCTAGTGTTATAAAATAAAGGTCTTCTTTTAATCTTCAAATTATTTGATCTTAGATTCGTCTTATTGTATCTTAAGAGCACTTAAATTAATTTTATTCCCTTTTATTTTATAATACTCCTACACCAATCTTATAAATGAATCTTCCATATTTTGTAGATCATCAATATCACTGTTAGAATCTTGGTTATTTCTCCTATTATTTTTAGCTTGAAGTCTTTCTTATTCTAGCTTCTCAACTTTGGAGTGAACAAAGTAATGAGTACAAGCTTTATTGGAATGATTGAGAAAATCAGCAATAGGAATCATGCTGGTGGATTTCAAAGACCAACCAAAGGATCTACTCATAACACTTTAAGCAGCCCAATAAAAATCTTGTTTATCAGTCGGTCTTACTTCTCCAAAGATTTGGATAAATTCATTAAATATATCTTATGCATAATTCCATAAGACTTTTAAATCCTCGCTTACAATAGCAAATTCATCAAGTACTATTGGATCTTCAATTTAGCTAAGTTCTTCTTTGGTCCAATCTATTAGGGTATTATTGGTTTGTATGGCTTGTATGTATGGATAAAAAAATGATTGTTCCCCCTTTTTCTTCTCATTGAACAAATAAAAAACTAGACTCCTGATGTAAATTGTTACTTAGGATATTGAATTCAGCATCGGAGGTCTAATTTTCATCGAATAGCTCAGGATGCTTATCGTAGACAATGGATAATGAACTCAACTTGCATTTTTCTTGGGATATGATCAAAGTTTAAGGGACACAGATGATTGCCTTAAAGTTATAAAATAGTAAAATACTGTATTGGCAGGAATATCTTATGTTGCAACAACGCCAGTGAGTTCTCCAAAGGCTGCTGGGAGATCTACATCTTTAATGATCACACCATTATCTAATCCCCACTTTAAGAGATTTTAATATTTTGGATTTAGCTTTAAATCATGAGTTTTCTTTTGGTCGAATTGCATATGAGAAAATAAAATAAATTATTATGTAAATAAAAAAAGAGTCAGTCACGATTTAAATTCAACAACTTATTAAGAGGTGAATGGGTTTTAGTCGCTTCAACTAAGAATTAATAGTAGGAGTGCCAATCAAAATGAGATTGATTATTCTTTTTAACCTACTTCAAAAACTCAACCTTCAATTGTTGAATCAAACTATTGACACTCTAGATACTCTTGAAATCCTTCATCTTCTTCATCTGCTACTTGAAGGTATCTCTCAATAGTTTATCGATATAGATGATGGGTATCAACCCACATTACTACTCATCGTAATTGTCAAAGACTTTCTTCATTAACACCTATGGAGTTTATCTTCTTTGCATAGATTCTTCAGAACATAAGTATTGCATCCATTCGCATCTCTCAATAATGTTATTATGGTTGGTATCAATGATTGACATTTCTTGATTGATTCTAAAATAATCTGGTTCTTCATCTTCATATAACCAAATAAGTAATTTGAGATCCTTAATATTGATAATGGACAATTGATTGACATCAGTTATTGAATACACATTCCATGCTCTGATGATATCCAAATAATCACTCCTCTTAACCGAGATATTTTAGAGGAGATGTTAATTTTTCTTATGATCAGCCTTCCAAGCCCAGAGATCTTTTTGTTATTGTGAACTCTCTTCCTATCCAATACTTTTAGATCTCAATGTATATTCTATGATCATATAAAAAAGAGTGTCAATTGATAATTCATCAATTCCCTTATAAATTTGATATAAATTCTATTGCAATTTAATGGCTGGCACTTAAGGAGCCTTACATTCTCTTAACCATTTATTAAACTATTACTCAGATTCATCCATCGCATTTACCATTCGTTTTAAAGCATATTAATAAGTTTAGGTTCCAGAATACTATAACATAAACTCTTGCAATTCGTCATATTAAATAGTCCATTCATAGAACTCATCAAAATCAACATGTTTATTTTTATCTTCATCCATCATCTAAAAACAGACATAACCCAATTTCTCTAACATACTTACAGATGGAATCACCAGTCCAGCTATTTTACACATGGCTCGAACTGCACATTACAATGTACTTACCATCTCTTACTCTTCTAATGTGTTTGACAAATCAAAATCAAATAATCTAAAAACAAACATACATTTAGTTTCGAAACTCTCTCCACTAAATATTGCAAAAGCAGCCAGTGCTTCAAAAGTATGCACTGATAATTTGCCATCCTCTCCAGTCTAATCAGCCAATCTACGAAAGAGATCGATGCAATTATCAGTTAATGTTGCGAAAATATCATCGAATTACTCCTAATTCAAATAGCAACTCTATGGGTAGTATTTGTCTATTGTATCAACACAATCAAAAAGTTCTCTCATTGTTATACTCTTTAATTTAACTATGAGGGATGGATCAAATTAAGTTGCATGTTTCTGAAATATTTACCCCATTGTTTAGTATATATATATATAATAATGTAATCAATTTTTATATAATTTATCGTCCTCCCATTCTCCATTAACTTCGTATCCATCATATCTGATTAAAGTACCAATACCATTTCTTTTCCCATTTATGAACTACATTTTAACTAAGAGAATTACATATCCCTCATAATAACTTCCATCTGGGTATGTGTACACTCCATATCCATTTATATCATTATTTTGGAATTAACCCTTGTAAGTGCTACCGTCTCCCCAAAACATCTTCCCATCTCCATCCATCTTATTATATTTGAATTATCCTTCATATCTAAATTTTATTAAAAAAGGTCATACTTCGATCCATTACTTGACAAGTACACTCCTTCTCCATCTCTCATCCCTGTATTAAAATTCCCACAATAAATGGAGCCATTCTTGAAATATTCCTCTCCGTAACCATGCTTCTCGTTATTTTCCCATTCTCCCTTATAAACTGAAGACTTATGATTAACATATTCACCATATCCCTGAAATCTGTTATTTAGAATATTTCCAGAGTAACTAAACAGAATAACTTAAATATTTACTATTCATCCTGACTATACTGTAGCTTGCACATTCCATTTGCTTTTCCATTAATCCAATTACTTAAATATTAACCTCTATAAATTACCCTTCCAAAACTGATCCATTTGGGTAGATCAGAATACCAAACCCATGTGGCTCATTATTTTCCATCTCGCCAATATAAACCAAACCGTCTTCTAGAACCATCGCATTCGTTAAATTTTCCTTCTTCAATATTGCTTCTTAACACTTTGTGAGTTTCTCACTTAGATCTACAGAATCTGAGTTTGTGGTACTGTTCTCAGAGCATATAGTGTGCATATGAATAAATAAATCTAAAATTATTCGAAATCTCTCTATTTTTGATGGTGATAAATCATAAATTTTAAATCATACTAAGTGTTTATAATTAGAATTATGAATTAAAATCCGATTTTTGAATAATTCGATTCTGTAACACTCATAATTTTTACTCTACAAGTGTGTAATTTACAATATTAAATAATAGCGACATATGATCGCTTTTAATAGTCTAATAGACTTGAAATTATAGGAAAAACTCAGACTCATTAGAGATCGATTTCCAAATTAAGTTTTTGTCAACGCCTTAAAGTTGAGAAAATTTGTTTTATAAATTAGGAGTCGTTTATTTTAGATTGTGATTTCTCTGAATCAATAATACTTGTAGAATGATTTTATTTCGTAATATTGATTATAATGAATTATTAAACAGTTTGGGAGTAAATTAAGGTTTATGAACCCCATTGTCAAGATTTCCATTTCCTTGATCTCCAAAGGGTTAATGCTAAATTAACAATCACTAACAATTATATTTATTATGGGTAATTTGAAAACAATCAAAGACATGGAAAAGGTTATTTCAAGATCTCTATGACATAGGCATACTTTTATAATAAAACGGACGCAAATACGAAGGCTAATGGCAACATGATTAGAAGCAAGGTTATGGATGGGAATTTTTGGCCAATGGATCTCAATATGAGGGCAATTATGTAACCGGAAAACCTCACGGGCAAGGCAAATTCATTTGGGCCAATGGAGAAGTGTATGAAGGTCAATGGAACCAAGGGGTAAAAGAGGGTTAAGGTACTAAAGTTCAATTATTCTATCAAAAGGCACATGGCATGGATTGAACGGAGAACAATATTAAGGGGAATGGAGCAATAACATAGCTTTTGGGTATGGCGAACATATTCAAAGTAATGGAGATCGGTATGTTGGACATATCAAAGGCTGGCTTAAAAATGGAGAAGGTTAAGAATACTTTAGCAATGGAGACATGTATTAAGGGAACTATCTAAATGGCAAACCGCATGGATATGGAGAATACTATTGGAGTAATGGAGCGGTATTTTAAGGTTATTTTAAAGATGGATTGAGGTATGGAAAAGGAATTTGGAAAAGAAGACTAGATTCCCCAACGGATCAATATCAAGGGGAATATGATGAAGATAAGAAAAATGGATATGGAATATATAAATGGTCTAATGGCAATGAGTATCGGGGAGCCTTCATCAATGATTACAAACATGGATATGGAGAAATGCATTATGTTGATGGCATGGTACTAAAGGGAAATTGGGAATAAGGGAAATTAGTGAGCGAAATTAAATCAAATTCCCCTAAAAAAACATAGTCATCACTCAATAATCACATGAAAATAATCGATAACACTCATTGCTTCAATAAAAGTTGTCGAAATAAGAATAAATATATTGAGATTCAATTCGATAATAATAATTAAGTCTAGAACAATGGTTACAATGACTCTGAAAATGACAGGCTCAGTAATTCAAACTTAGATGGAGAAAATAGTAATAAAAATGTGTATAAACAAAATAATCCATCAACTTCTTAAACACATAGAACCACAAAAACGATTCGAATAAGGTAGTATTAAAAGGATAAATCCTTAAGTATGAGTCAATAGAATTAATATTATGGATCATCAAGTCCCAACAGAGATATTTCAGAGAAGAATGTAAAACAAAAAACCTAAACTAAATTCTGCATCAGGACTTCAGATAATTACTACCTACAGATAAGAAGACCCAAAATACACTCCTAATACTGCAATTGATTACACTTACTATTCATTTTTATATACATACACTTAAAAAGTCCAAAATAATAAATAAAAATATATGGATATGTAGTTGTTAAGAGTTTATCTTCTCCGACATGGACATTCAATGTATCAGAGTCTAAAAATCGTATCAGGCTAGAATGAATTGGGTTTGAGTGGATTAGGTGTAGTGTAATCAAAGAGAGTTGGTAATCTATTACAATCTGTAAAATTTGATTAAGTCTACACTAGTGATTATAAGAGATATAATAGTTAATAGCTTAAAGATGTATAGAATCTTATTCTCATATTGAAAGCCAGCTCAAATTAAAACCAAGAGTCATCACATATACCACATTATAAAGGGAAGTCGATTAAGGCGATGAAACGTTAAAGTCTTACTAGGAAGTCTATGTCTTAGTCAAACCAAAACAACCTTCAAGTCTAAATCTAGAAATCTAAGAAAGAGTGGAAGCCTTTCTCGACCAACTTATTAGAGATTAAATATACAAAAAATCTTATAAATTTGTAATTAACTATATAATATTAGTTCTCATAGAGTGATTCATTGCATCTTAATCATAATTTTGATACGAATAACTTATATAACCCCTCTGTTTAATAGTTCAGCTCTTATTCTAAAGGATCAGGGATGATTAATATTTTAGTTTTGAGTCATGCTGGATTGATAGCAGAAACTCTGAAATATCTCTATCAAAGAAATAATTCTCATTAAACTAATTCTTAATACCCATACATCTATGCTAGAAATGCAGCTATATTTTAATTAGATTTCAAAATAAATAATCAAAAAAATTGGAATTGCAATGTGGCATTGATGAATTCTAAAAGAAAAATAAATACTACTTTTGACTCGATCATTTGAATCTTGAATAATCTAAACAATATTGTAGTCAATATTTAGTATTTGAATAATATAATTTCTGATTTTTGTTCATTATTCCATATTTCAATTACTATTTCAAAATACATATTAAATTCTATTTTTGGACATGATCTCAGTCCAATTTAGGAATTTGGTAACTTAGATCCTAATCTTAATTAAGGGGAAAGAAAATAGAATAAAATTCAGTTTAAGTTAACTATATTTGGAATAGATACAATTATTAATCAAAATGATGTTGTTAAAATATAATGAAAGAAATTTATTAAATTAGTGATTTTTCTCAAGTAAGTATTTTTGATAATTCGAATTCACCAAAAAAATTCAAATTATTAAGTTCTTAACTACCATAGACACTCCATGAACCAACGAATTTGTATTCCTCCTTGTTATATTTGCCCTTAAACTATTGTAGTAAATATAAATGGTCACTTCTATCACTTTTTTCCAACAATTCAGAATCCAGGCTTGTTCTCAGGTGAATTTAAATATCTTGCTCTGAGTTTAAGGATATATGTCCTTCAGCTGACCAAGGGTCACGATCTTATTCAAGTTTGATTGAAAGTTCTAGTTTATTATAAGAAGTGAGAAATGACTAGAATCTCAGTATTTTTAGAGTTGAGAAATTCTTAAAATTGAAGCTGGTTAACTTCCATAAAGAAAATTGCATCTAATCTTACATGCTATTGAGTGTAATGAGGTTGGATTGAAGAGACAAACGTGTTTCCTATAGTAATTTCTATTTAATTTCTTTTTTAACTTTATTTCTTCGGCTGACCTCGACGATCGTTCCACATACACATATTAGCAGAAAGAGACAAATTAATAGTACTATTAATACGTAACCATCACTGTCCTCTGAATTCTGTTCTGACGTAATTGTTTATGTATTTTAAGAGCTCTAATCAACGTCTATTTCTGATAGAAACCTAACTTTTGTAGAAACTGATTTCTCTTGTTGTTCTTTAGTTCGAACGATTAGTTAAACTAGTTGATGTAACATCTTATAAATTAAATCTTTATTATTGCAACACATCATATTTGTTTTAATGAGCATAATCCATATTATAATAAAACACAGATTCAGATAATATTATCATTTAACATCTATTTAAAAATATTTTAATAAACAAAATTTCGAATATATATAGCAAGAGAAGGAAAGATCGCATCAAGATACACATAATAATTTAATTTGACATTTATACTCTTTTATAACAAATACCCATATTTCAACTTAATTCTTTTTCTACTTCAGCTAAATCTTTGGGCATTTCATCAATTTTAGTGTTGTAATATTTTTCAACTTCTAACAAGAGATTTGCTTCTTGTTGTGCTACCATATTGATGGCAACTCCCTTTCTACCATATCTACCAGCTCTTCCAACTCTAAAATAATATATTAACATAGTTTTACCTATGAATGTATTATTCCTTTAATCTTGGGAATTCGTAATTGATGACTAATGACAATTATTAAACATCAATTCCTCTACCCATAAGATCTGTTGAAACAAGGATTCTGGCAGCTCCTTTTTTGAATTCTTGCATAACCTACTATAGCTACAATGTATATACTTATTCTCTCTCTTTTTGTTCCATCTGACTGTGTATTTTACTTACAGTAAAACCCTCAGCTGTCAATTTATCATACAAATCATCAACGGTTTTTTTGGAGTTGCAGAATAAGATTGATTAAGAAACTGTAAGATTCTTATACAATTCAACCAAAACTTTGAATTTTTAATCCTCTTGTTGGATTGCAATGTAGAATTATCTAATACCCTCCAATGTCAATTATTCTTTCTTAACCAAAATCTTAGCTGTTCCATCTCTCAAAAACTATTTACTTAATTCAATAATTTCTTGTGGGAAGGTAGCACTAAATAATGCTAACAAAATTTTAAATGTCAGAAATACCAATTTAAATATCTCCTGGAACCATTTTTAGGATTTCTGCGAAGTTATCACTAAAACCTTAGTCTAACATTTAATCAGCCTCATCAACAACAAGCAATCTCATAAATGTGGCATCCAAATATTTATTTTTCATCATATCAATTAATCTGCCTGGAGTAGCAATGATGATGTGGACTCCTTGTTTGCATTTTTCTCTGGTTTCCTGGGTTGAGGTACCACCAATGCAACAGAAAGCTTCTATGTTTAAGTATTGGCCTATTCCCTTAACCACATCATAAATTTGTTTTGCCAATTCTCTAACTGGAGCTAAAATGATGACTTAAGTCTTCCTTTAGTTTGGGTCGATTCTTTGTAAAGCACCAATAGTGAATGTACCAGTTTTACCAGTTCCTATGAGAAACTTTAATGATAAAAACATACCTGATTATGCTTATGCCAAGACATCCTTTCCTAGAATGATTGGTTTGATTGCTTTTTGTTAGATGGCTGATGGTCTTTCGAAACCATATGAAAAGATGCCTCTTAGTAAATCTTTGCTCAATGTTAAATCTTCAAATGTTTCGACTTGCTTTAAAAATACTTCATTTATTTACCTCTATCCAATTTTCTTGTAAATCTTGTGTTTGTTGATCCATAATGTTTCTAATAAAATAATATTATTTTCTTACTTAAGATGTTCCTTTTTATTTTAAATAAAAGATTTAAATTGTCCCCTATATAACAATGAATTTAATAATTCCCGAACTATTATAATACAGACCAATCCATCCTATTTGAATGACTCTAAGACTTAGTATCAACAAATCTCATATGTTTATAAGTACCTAATTTAGAGAAAACAAACAAATCTTGGTTGATCATCTTTCATTTTTTGTTCTCTAATTAGTTGATATTCAGCAATTATATATCTTATCAACTTAGTATGTATACAACGCTTAAATTTAATATATGATCTTAAAATTTGTATTTTAGAATACCTAATGCATTTAATTTATTACTAGATCATTTTAAAATATGATATAATTTTGAATGTAGAATAAAAAATTCATATATATTGTAGAATTAATTACGTTTATGGTCATTTATAATGTCTTTAATATCTTTTATTTGATATTTGGTACAACATAACTTGCTTTTCTTTTGAAACATAAGTTATTGCTAGAATCGAAGATGATTTTTATAATTGTTTAATGTTGATTATACAACTCATAACATAATTGCCATTATTTTATTTAAATTTATATTACATCATTTAATTATTCTTTAAGAATATAGATTTAAAAATTAATCTTAATGAATTTCTTTCCTTAAATTAAATGGAAAGTGTGATTTTTGTAAAAGTTCTTCTATTTGACTAATGAAAAATGTAACAATTTGTGCTGGTAATGAAGAAGGGCAATTGTTGGTTTGACATGTTTAATTATAAACTAAATTATCTTCATTTTATTATTGATTAATAAATATAACAACAGAAAAAAAACTAATAAATTAAAAGAACAAAGAATTTGAGAATGATTTAAATAGTTGAAGAGAGGAGTGGTATTCAATCTATTAATTTTAGAGTAATAATAATAATAATAATATGAAATTGATGGAGTTTCACAAAGAATATGGGAAGAAGGTAATAAAGCTTTTAATTTTTAGTTGCTAATTAATATAGATAAGAAATATAGGTATATAATACAAAATATAGTAAATGTAGTCGTTACAACTCTAATTGTGGCAGAATAGTGTTGATAAGATGTTTTAAAAGTCGAATGGAGTTCCGAAGAAATTTTTACAAAAATTAAAGATGATGAAAATGGGTAAATCAAACAGACAATGCAGTATATGCTGTAATTAATTCTAAAAAGGTATAAACTTTGTATTTAAATAGATGAGCTAATTATATAGCTGCCATGCAAACATATATATCATAAATGTTGTGTTGATTCTTGGCTTCAAAGTAGTACGAAATGTCCTAATTGTCGATCAGACGTCTTAGAGGCCCTAAAGAATTAGGAGAAATGATTTACATTTCTATGGACAAGATTATATAAAAACAAAAAAATTAATGCATACAAATACTGATTGCTTTGGAAAACTTTACAATATTCGCTTTGACTCTGTCCTCTAAAATAATTGGAAGCAACAAAGTAATTCTATACCATTACAAAAATTCAAATTATTTTCTTTAAATGAGTTACTTCAAAATATTCAGTTTTTTTATATTAATTAATTTGGAGGGTGGATCTAAATATATTAATAAATCATTATTTTAATAATCATTTTAGCTCTATGTTACTGGCCTAGATATAATTTATCTCCACTATTAAAATTATGTAGATTTATTGCAATATTTACAAAAAATTAAGAATTAATTTTGATTTATATGTGGTACACATGATTGTTCACTAAAATATTTGAATTAAATCAGATAACTGAAGGTTCCTTATGTGTTTTAATTTAGATGTTCTGGATACAACCACGTAAGTTATTTTCCGAATAAATTAATTCTCCATATACTTTTAAATAATTTAAGATAAGGAATTAGATTCTAATTAATTATGCCCAAAAGTTAAAGTTTTCAGAATTATTTCTCCCCCCCTAAGGAATCTAATAATAACTATCTCTTTTTCTCAAATTACATAATAACGGAAAAAACAAGATATCTGCGTTTAGATCCAGGAACTTCATATTGCCTTAGTCAGTCTCCATCTTATTAATTATATTCGGCCCAACACTTAATCGAATAGAGCACTTGATAATTTATTTAAATAGCTTTATAAATGAGTTGTGCATTTATAATTAAGTAGATGGGGTTTCTTTTATTATGTTATCATAATTGAATTTCTTTGTGATTATTAATTTCTGCATAAACTAAGGTCAAAGAAATAAATATTTTCATAAATTTTTTAATAATATCGTTATGATGAATAATAACAATAAGAAACCTTAATCTTAGAAAGAGGTTAGAGCAAAAGTAGATTCTGGATTAAATCGTAAAAACGATGTCCTACAAAAACGAGTTTAATCTGCAATATAGTTGGTATAGTATTATATTAATTTAGGTTGATAAATTAGCCGATTCGAATGGAACATTGACAGATCAATTAAATAATATAGTTTAAGATTATCTGGTGAGAAGCAATTGTTTCAAATCATTGGAGTAGTTCAGAGTAGAATCTTAATTTGCAACAGAATAAAGTAATGAAACAGAAAATATAATTTTGGGTCATTTTGATAGAGGTGAAAGAGAGAAGTTTCTGGAATCGTGGAGTCGATACATTCCAATTCAATAGAGACAAGATCATGAATCTTGGAAGCTAGAATTTTTTGTTTAAATTTATTTCCTTATATACCCGATTCACCCTGTCTTTAAGAAGAAAGGTGTGATGGATAAAAACTCGGTTAATCAATTCAAGCAATATCTCGATAGTAAAGGAGGTGATTTATCAAAGACAAATGAAGTGTTGCCTTTTTATGCCTTACCTTATGTCAAGAATCCTGAAATACATCCGAGCTTTTAGCATCTATTTACTCATGAATGGATAGGTGAGTTGAGATTCAGATTGAAGGAATTCATCCAATCCATTTATGGCCAAGATTAAAATGGGAGCATTTTGAAAAGATTATTTTTGTCAAAGGAAGGATCACAAAACATCTAGTAATAAGAGTTCTAAAAAAAGATTGCAGACAACATCAGGTAGTTGCAATTGGAGAATAACGAATTGAAGAAGAAAAATAATTAGCAAGCTTAGGCTCTATAGGATATTAATTAAACTGCATAATAAAATCTATTTGAAGCCTAGAAAAAATGGTTTTAATTTACAGGGGAGATGTTGAAGATGGAGAAGGAGATGATCAAATATATAGAGAATAGCAAGAAGAATCCAGATTAATTATAATAATTTAAAAAGAAAATTGGTCAATGTGATAGATTCTTAAGTCAGAACTTAGATGAACTCATAAATAAATCATAGGATATCTCCTTGTTTGATAGAATCACTTAGCCAGATCATGATCTATCGGATCTCACCAATTAATAATGTATTTATAATTTAAATTATAGAAATGATGCCAATCCAATAATCAATTGAAGAGTATATCCCATTGAATTATGAGAAGATCATATAGTTATTTACAAAAAATAATAATCCAGTTCTTGTTGCAACAGTTCTATAGGCTTTGCGATGGAGAATCACCAGGGCAAGGAGTGCATTGGAAAGAAGATCAGTAGTTGTTGCATATTAAACACATGATCTAATTGGAACTCATTAAAGAAACATTGCCTTGGCTTAATATTTGATGATGAAATCTCCTTAAGTAATTTAATGCTAGACTTTGAAATTGATGAATGCTTTGGCATCTGATTATGATGGTAGAACATATTTGACAGGCAATTCATAATTAATTAAACTGTTAATTGAATTGATCAAAAAGGATTAAACTGATTCAATCAAAAGAAAGAATGCAATTGGCACTTTATAAAAATTGTCATTGAGAAGACAAAGCCAAATTTGGATGCTTGACAATGACATTATCTAGGTAGCCTTGAACATTCTAAAGAGAGTAATAATTTAATATTAAAGTATAGGAAAAATTTAATCTAAGTGAATACACCTATGAATACATCACAGCTTTGATTATGAATTTATCATTGAGTTCAAGAGGTCGAGATGCTCTATCCGTTCATAAAGAATTAGCATTTGAAGTGCTATTCGAATTAATTGAATTTCCTAATGATCAGATTAGAACATTTACCAATGGAACATTCTATTCCATGTTTAGTAGAAGAGATCTAAGAGAATATGCATATTAACTTAATATACCTCAAGAACTACCGAAACTACTGTCCATCAGTGATGAAAGATTCAAGAAATAAATTTAATATATGATAGAATAGTTAGAAAATGATGATGATGACTATGACCAATCTTAATTGGAAGAAGATAATGATGTGGATGACTTAGAAGATGATGAAGAATGTCCAGTTGATGACGAAGATGAAGATGATCTAGAGAATAATGATATGATTGTTGGAGAGGAATTATTAAAGAATGAATTTGCTTTAGACAGTGAGTAAGCAGAATAACAAAGATAGTTGATGGAATCAATCATGCAAAAAGAACTATAATAGAGAAGTGCATATTAAGAATAATTAAGAGAGTCTTAGTTGGAAAAAATGCCTGTTGGATGTAATTACATATATTATCAATAGAAGGACCATTCATAGCAGACAGTCTACTTCCAAATGTGAACATTAACAACAAACTTTCTAATGGAAATCCAAAGAATCCTCAATAGTCAGCTTAAGCCTTTGCCTCTAGACCAAAGATTCCCAGAACTCCTCCGGTTTAATAAAATTACCAGCATTGATTAGTGATTTTATATTCATTAATCATTTACTATAAATTTTAAATAATAAGCATTTATGAAAGCTGAAGAATAAGCAGAAGAGTTAATACTATGTCCTTAAGGTTGTGGAAGGAAATTCAATAAGGATAGTTTACTTAAACATTATAAAGTTTGCAAAGATGTCTTCTAATAAAAGCGAAGTGCATTCAATTCTTAATTAAAAAGAGTGGGATTCGATTATTTTGTTGAAAATAAAAAGAATCTGCCTCAATTCTCTCCACCAAAAACTAATAAGTTAAAAACAGAGATTCTTCCTTACAGAAGTCCTTAAGTTCCATCAAAATATAATTAGGTTTTAAATGCAAAAAAATTCTGCAAAGGATGCTTGAGAGAATTCGATTCAAGAATAGCTGATGAACATATTTAAAAATGTGTAAAGAAGAACTAATAGAACAATCCATTCGCAAAAATTATTTGATAAAAATTAAATTTCCTAATATTATAAGATTAATTTATGTATTTTACAAAAAATAGGTTAAAATGTTTCATTTCTTAAAGAAGTTAAAACTCTTCTAAGCCTTGCTATCAATTTTTGAAGGAACTTTGATTTTTGAACCTGAAAAATTTCTATTTGACTCATCTGATTATTCTACTATGACATTTTATTAAGTTATGCATCTGTCTATATGCTTATTTAACACAGTATTATTTCCTTTGCAATCAATTTCTTTATTACAAATTGGACAACGGAAGGACTTCGGCTACGCTTACTATTTTTACTAATATTATTATTGCTGTTATTGGGATTAATGACTTTTACTATTAACTCCAGATAAGATCTAATTACTAATACTACTAGCCTCATCGTCACTTAGGATATCAGGTTTAGATTGCTCCTGCTATTGAAGTGACATTTTATTGAATGAGTCATTTTCCTCAGTAATTTGATGAGACTTTGAACCTTTAATGGACGGCACTAAATTTTCTTAGCCACTTGATTTATCAATTTGTCTTTTGAAATAGGTAGATATGGATTATTTTTGAATTTATTTTTCATTTGCAAGTGAACTCATTTTTAACCCAAGTAATCTAATTGGTTCATCTAATTACATAATTTTGAGTAATTGTTTTCCATATATAGCAATTTATTTAGCTTGATTTGTATATTAATTAAGTTACAATGATTTACTCCGAATTTCAAATTTGGATGTTTTGATAATCAAAGTCAGATGATTTCCTACTTTTTCTTCTGATTACATTTCTTCTGCTAGTTTTTCAGCAATATAATCAACTTTATCTTCGAATTCTCTTTAAGTACTTATGCTAGAAAATGTTCGCTGACAACTTATACTATGTTAATCTTCAAATTCTACATGATAGTTCCTAGCCACTCCCCAACAAGAGTAAAAAATGTATTCAAATGTTTTAGGAGTAAAGATAACATAGAGTTCATCAGCTCTGTCCCTGACATCCTTACAAGTATTAAAGTTTAAGCCACTTAATATTTACTCAGTGATATTTCCAATTCCAGGAATCTTTCTTATAGGCAATTTTTCTAAGAAATTGAGAACTGCTGTAGCAGATTATTCAACAACATGCAACCCATTGGGTTTATTAATTTCAGAGGCAAGTTTAGCAATCATTTTATTTGGGCCAACTCCACAACTGGCTGTGAGTTGTGTTGCTAAGAGGATATCCTTTCTGATGTTTTCACATAATATTGCTGGATCTTCTTGGGAATTATTTATATATTCTGTAAGATCTAAATTAGCCTCATCCAACCCCATAGATTCTAGATTATCGTCATATTTTTTAAGGATAGTCATAAAAATCTAGTGTAATGCAATTGAATACATTTGAAACACTCTTATATTTCTCGAAATGACAAGGAATGAAGATGATTTCAGGACATAGCTTCTTTGCAACAAAACCTGGCATAGCAGATCTAACACCAAATTTTCTAGCCACATAATTTGCAGTGGAAACGATAGTTTAGCCTACAGCAACAGGTTTGTCTTTAAGTTCTGGCTTGTCCAATAGTTCACAAGCTACGTAAAACATATCCATATCAAAATGCGCCCAAATTCTATCTGTGTTAATTTAAAATTCTTTCACTTTATTCTAAATAATCTCTTTGGTTTCCTTGATTTTTTGTTCATTATTTTTATAGCTGTCCAATTCCATCTACATCTTATTCACTTTTTACAGAACTTATTATCGTTTCTCCTATTATCTTTTGTAATATTCAGATCCTCGAGTGGCATCATCTATCACTTATTTAATTTAATCTGCTCCTTCCACACCTGCTTTGTTGCCATAGTAATGAAAAATAGGTTCATTCATAATAAATAAATATATTCATTATTATTCAACATTCTGTTTTGACTATTTTAGATGAAATTCCATACCAATCAGGTATTAATTGAATCATTTCTTATTACGTCATTCTACACATCTCTTCTAAAGAGCATTATCACAATAAGTACCATTAGAGAAGTTGAAAAGTTCTGGAATGCTAATCTTCATCTAATTTTATAGGCTTTTTAACTAACCAATGTCTCTCAGTTCATCAAAATAAGGATGAGCTAAAGACTAAAATGGTGTAAGCCTAGTCTTTGGACAGAAAGTGAGTAATTTTGAAACTAAATCGATGGCCTTGGTATCTTTTGTTTTTAGGACCTGAATAAAACCAACTTTATACTTTATTCCATTTTCTTTGTTTGATTTTAGCAAACTAATTTGATAATACATCATAATCCCTATTCATACTTAGTATTTATTCTTTTGTGGGAGTTCCAAGTACCTTAACAATCTCAACCATTTAATCAACAGCAGAGTCTCCCAAAAAAAGTGGTTCTCCATTAATTAATTCTGCTATAACACAACCTACTGACCAAACATCAACCTGAGTGTCATAATCTGTTGCTCCGAAAATCAATTCAGGAGCTCTATAACATCGAGAGCATATATAAGCTATATTAGGTTCTCCTTTAATTAATTTTTTTGCACTTCCAAAATCGCATAACTATAATTTATTGGACTCTGGGTTAACTAAAACATTATGTGGTTTGATATCTCGATGACATATACCCAATAATGAAATATATCTAAGAATATAAATTGATGTACGCAATCGATCTTAACAATTAGTAACTAAATAACTTGACTAGAACATCAGGCATCTTTTTAAAATCCTTTATAAACGATTTGTTGAAGGAGTAAAGAGTATCAGGAAAGTACTCCATTACAACATGAAGGTAGCTTTCATCTTTGTTTTCAGCAGGAGTGTAGAATGCATGTTTCATTTTGAGAACATTGACATGATCTAATTCTTACAATATCTGCAACTCCCTATTTTTATATCTTCGATCCTGTAAGACCTTTTTTATTGCCACAAATTCCCCTGTCTCATTTACTTTAGCCTTTTATTTATTATTTATTTACTTTGTGTACAACACCAAAGGATCCGCTTCCAACAACTTTCAGATTTGTGTATGTGAAATTGGTATAATCATGTCTCTCAGTGGATGTTGGCATCAACACTGATTTAGCACTGTTCTTTTCAATCGAGAGTGGTTTGCGTATCTACTATTTGATAGTCTATTGTTGTATTTATTTTAGTTGATTCTCAAATTTTGCAACTTAAAAGGATGTAATAGGTTCATCTTTATTTTTCCTGAAGGGTTATTTCACAATCTGATTCATCTTCAAATGAGCTTTTAGATTTGAGATGTCTTGCAAGGTTTTCATCTCTTGATCCATCTCCTCCATCTCTGTTACGACTCTTCGATTCATATCTTCCGACTTTTATTGATGAACTGACCCTACTTATTTCTTCATTTGCTGATTTAACATTTTCTGAAACATTCCCTTTAACGTAATTTTTAATATATATAAATTATTCAACTGTTTGTCATGATTTTATTTATCACCAATACACATATACTTTTAGGTATTTCTGCATGCAATAATAATATACATTATAATATCAGTTCCATTTAATTCTTCTTATGAAATGTCTTTCTATTATTATCTTCCCCTCTTTGTATTTCTCCGACTCTCGATATGCTTTAATCTAATTGAAGAATCAACACAATCCTTAATACATATTTCCATCCAATCACTTTATTACAACCATTACAAATCACATCTTATACTGTGTGCTTTCCAGTCATCAAATCCTTAACTTCAGATTGCCCAACATGATAATTGATACTTATTATTTATAATCAAGTACCCTTTCTCAAATAAAAATGCTTGTCCAAATCCGCCCCTAAAATTCTAAAATCATCTTCTTATTCTTACCTTCGATATTCTACTCTTGTAATTTGAAATATGTATATGGCATTTTGAGCAGACATAAATTCGATCTCCATCAAAATACTCTAAAATTATTTTACCCATCTTTAAACTTACGATTATTTATTAAATTATATTAAATTCATACTAAATAACTAATTAACAAATTCTCATAAATTAAAACTAAACTCTATCAATTTTCTCATTCTTCTATAATATTAAGATAATAAAAATTACAAAATTCTACATATTTAGATATTCAATAGATTTGTATTTCTGAATTTATATTGAAAAAGAAATTAACCCTTACTTTTTAAATATTAGATGTTGAGGTGATGAAAAAAAATGCCAAACATATCTTAATGAAAATTATCATTTATCAAATCATTTTTACTTTTTACAAAAGATTTATTTTACATTAGTTGGATGACTTATTTATTGTATTTATTGTGAACAAAAATATTTAGAAACAGCTTATCATCTTGAAAATTCTTCAATTGATTTATTGATTCTAATTATATTAATTAAAAATAAATTTATCAAAATGCTACTTTATTTATATATAAAACCGAATAATTGAATTTATTTCTTTCATATCCTATATTGTTTATTTAAATTTTGTTTTCCAATTATGGAAGATTTAGAGCTTTAACACAAACTTGTCTTTACAAATTTGAAATTTTTCAATGATTGATAAAATAATTCCTTAATTTGCTCAACATTTTATTAATAAATGCAAATTTAGAACAAATAGGAGAGGAGGCCTGATAAACAGTAATAAACTTAAAAAACTAATTTAATGACTAATAATCCTTTATTAGTTTTAATTATTAAATTAACTTATGATTTCTAGCTTTATATATATAAAGAATAATTTGTTACTTTGGATTGTAAGTATTATTGGTGATATTATAATTATTTTTATAAAGATAGTATGATTGTAAATCACAACAGCCTTACTTTATTTAATCAATAGAGCATAGCTATAAAAACGAAAAGAATTGATAAAAATTCTAAAGGATGAGTTCAATAAACATCTAATACAAATTATATATTTATCAAAATATCTTGGGAATCATAAACCTGGGGTCAGTTAATTACTTCTTCGTTTCATTATATTGCTTTTTGATGCAGGTACAAGAATTGGAACTTAGACAAGCTTTCCAAGGGTTGGATTATAAACTTCCAAACTTTATTTTTGATCAGGGGATACTATAAAAAATCAAAAAAGAAGATACAAATATTTGCATTTGTCGAATAACGCTTGCTGATTGTTTCGAATTTTTTTGTTTTTTATAATGAACACCCCATTTTATTTAAGTTTTTAATTAATTTATATGAATTAAGGGAAAATTGGTAAGTATATATCCATTAAAGTCAAATCAGTACATTAATCAGTACATGTTTTAAAACATAAATAATTACAATCATTATTCTTCATCATTATCATCTGGATATTGTTCTTCATCTTAGAATTCCTCTTCGTTTTATTTGTTTTATTCTTAATTTTCATCTTGTTATTTACCTTAATCTTATGAAGGAGTCTAATTATCATCCTCATACTCATCATAATCCTAATCATTATTGTAGTTCTCTTATTCATCATCATCTTGCTATTGATTTTCTTTATAAGATTCTTCCATCTGCTATTGATCTTTAGGACTAGAGATGCTATCAGATTACTAATTTTATTATAGATCCTAATTTGTATTCAATTTACTGGAACTTTTCCTTTGAGTACCCAAATTAGTATTTTACTTTTTAATCTGTTAAAATTTATTTTTTTTGGTTTTACTAGCTTCTGTATCAAATTTAGATGAATTCTCTTTGGTATATGTTCTATCAGAAAGTTAAGTATTGAAATGAGTTTAGTTATTTTTCTTGTTTAACCTTTCAGTTGTTTATTATTGATCTTTGAAAGAAGGCTTCAATAATTTTTAAAGTAGATTCAATTTATCCACATTTCTAGCTAAATCACACATTAATATACTTTTGATTTAATATGGAGGGTATCTATGCATAAGGACTAGTGAAAATGACTTTTTTGATCTTGGATTAATCTAAAGGCTGTTTGATAAAAGCTTGATTTGATGCAGAATTAGTATAGTCTCGTATGGATATCTTTTGAGCTAAATCAAGATCATCTTTAAGTGCTTAGAATCTAAATTAAGAGAATGATAATTTTCTATATTCAAATGACTTCATACTTTAATAACTATTATTCTTCTTCGATTTTTTACTAATACTCTTATTACTATAAATCAAATTTAGCTGAAAGTTCTGCTTTCTTTTTTATTTAAGAATTTCTAACATTTTCAATTTTTTCAATTCGTTGCATATCTAATTTTTATTTCATTCTAAATTTCTCCTCTTATATCTACAAGACTATGCAAGGCTTAAATTTACCTTTTAGAACCGCTACTATTTAAGTTAAAGCTCTTCATTTTAACTATGTTTATATTGCAATTGATAGAGCATTTATCGTTCTTTCATTACTTCTTATTCAAGTCGTTTTTCCTCATCTATGTCTCTTTTTCTTCTCATGGAATCTTCCTCTTGTAATTTTTTCAATAACTTAATTTTACTGTTCCTGTTTTCTTATTCTTCGTTCAGATTTTCAATTCTTCTACTATGCTAGGTAAATAAATACAGATTATACATCAGACTAATCCTTGAATGTATTCTTTTTAGTTTCTAAAATTTTATTAACCTTGAATTCAATGATGTGATTGTTAGATTCTTATAATTATAATTACTATTTTAATTAAGAAATCCTAGAATCAATCAACCCTAACTCCTATTATTTCTAAATCAGAGATCTTGTCTATTATGATATTGATTTCATTGAAATAAAAAAAATATATTAATTATTATTTTTTCATCCTGTCAATAAAGTCAGAAAGTCTTAAATTAACATCAGTAAATGTTTTCGATATTATCCTCTTAAATTGCCATCAATTGACTTCTTAAGTCTTAATTACTTTTTATTATAGCACTCATATAAATTTCACATTCCCTTAATATCTATGATTATAATGCAATCTTCAGTCATAAAGTTAACTCAAATCTATCATTTATTTAAACTAGTTGTCTAACTTAAGAATACATCATCAAAATAATTGCAATTAGATTTGGTCATTTATCTCAACCAGAGAAATGCCTTTAAATTTTGGATTAAAACCTCTGAAATAATTAGTAAACTTAGTGCTTGACTATCTAATACTCTAAAAGCCATTCTTCATCTCAATAATATTAATTATATTAAACCCATAAAATAACATTTTTATTATAAATATATAAGTAAATTTTTAACTTCCTTTAATTCACTTACCTGGCGAGCACTGCTGATGATCATGCAGATTAGCAGTGTGGGGTTAAGCTGGCCATCGCACAACCGGCGTCAGTGAGGCTCCAAAACTTTCCGTTTGGAAAGGCTTTATCGCTCAATTTCTGCTAGTGAGGGGAAACCCTCGCACCTTCCTTTTAAATTAAACAAACGAAATTATATATAAATATAACATAAAATGAATGAAGAATCTATTCTTAAATCTGTCATCTTAATATTTATTTGATCTGATATGCTTTGGGTTAATCAAATAATCTTATTGAGAACACTTTTTTTTTAATTGAAAAATATATGTCTTCAACTGAAATATAAATATTTATTTAATTTAAATGGACCATTAAAGTATGATTAATGAAATTCAGCAATGCTTTTAATCTTCAGAAGCTTATGCAAAAGTAAAAAAATACAAAGACACATTCCGTGAATAACAAAGGTATTTTGTATTTTTATTTGAGTCAAATATCGCCAATTATTTGTGAGGCAATATGTGCAACGATGACTGAAGGCACTCCAATGAGCAAATTACTAGCCTTGAGAGTATAACATTATCCTCTAATTCTAGCTTTGTAAAGAGATGATGGATTTAAAATCAGATACATTTAGCAAACAAGTCAATGATAAAATTCTTTCGAAAATGAAATAAATTGCAATATTTAAAAAACATGATCAAAGCGATATCAGAGGTAAATATTTATTCTCTGACAATCCATGTATATATTTATTAATAAGCAAGCCAAGGAAATAGCATCAATTGGAAATAGCTTAATGAAATTATGTCTAGATTGCATTAAAGTTTGGGCATTTTGGTATCCTTAGAGCAATTTCAAAGTTGTCTATGATGATTTAATTACATAAGGAGTTGCATTTCCAGTAAAATACACTTACTTCAAAGAATACAATGACAATCCATCATCTTTGAATTAATCATTTATTCTATCTTCTCACTCATCTAAAGAATAGCCATTAAAATAATCAATACCTAATTAAAAAACCTATTAAGATGGACAATAATTGTTATAACAAATTAACGTTTAAATTGAAAATCTAGTTAAAATAGTATAAGATTAAGAATCGAATGAGACTATCAATAACCTAAATCAAATACTCAAAAATAATTTAGAACAATACAATGGATAAATAGAATAGGTTTTAATCCAGATTATTGATTCTGGTGAAGAGAATTTAATTAATGATTTAATTTCTAAATAGGAAATGGTTCGTGAAATCAAACAAGATTACGATGATTATCTGATAAAAAAACTTGATTGGAATAAACTTAATTAAAAATTCAGAAGATTCACTTAATCACCTATAACTCCTGAACCCGCTTAAGCAATCATACCTACATAATAAAAATAGCAATAGAATCAATAATAAATCTAATCTATTAAATAACCTGTAACCACAAAAGCAGATCAAACTCTATCTGTCATTCGAGAAGAAACTGTTTAGGATGCCGATCAAATAGATAAATCAAATATTCTATAGGAGGACAATAAAGTAATAATAATTCAGAATATTAGATATCAATGAAATATTAGTCTCTAGTATTAAATTAGACTGAAAATATTAAACCAGGTGCTTAAACCCTTCAATCAGAATTACATAAAAAAGATAAATTACAATAAGATAATAAAAAATAGATCCATAAATCTTTATCTGTAGAAGTCAATGATGATATTAATTTAAATGAATTTTAAGCTAAAATAAATAAATAAACTGACTATGCTAGTACTAAATAAACGAAATAAACATCATAGCCCCTTACTAAAAGTATTGAATAATAGTCTCCAAAAGCAATAGTTAATTAAGTATTAAGTAACGTATAAGCAAACCAATAAAATTTAAATTCAACCCTACTCTATAGCACAATTAATAATCAGTTGTAAACCAATCAAAAAGAGCAATAATAAAATTAAGAAGAAAAAGAATTGAATAATTAAAAAAATAATTTTAATAATAAGGAATAATAAAAAGATCAAATATAGTAAAATGAGAAGGAAATAATTGAATAATAATAAAAGTAGTAGTAATAGTAGTTAGAATAATAATAGTAGTAATAATAATAATAGTAATAATAACAATAATAATAGTAATAGTAACAGTAATAATAACAACAATAATAACAGTAATAATAACAACAATAATAACAATAATAATAATAATAGTAATAATAACAACAATAATAATTATAATAACAACAATAATAATAATAATAATAACAACAACAACAACAACCATAATAGTAATAATAACAACTATTGCAATAATAGTAATAGTAATAATATTTTAATTCGAATGCAAAAAAAAATAATTTTGATGAATAAGTTAGTCAGTTGAAATAAGGATTAAAAATAGAAGGATTTGATTAAATTTATAGCTTTTCTTAAAGATAATCAAACCTGAATGAAAAAAAAAATATGAATTTAAAGTAAATTGATACTTAAGTCAAATTAGAAGGTTAGATTAATTAAATTTAGGACACTTATATTAAGTAAAAGCAAATGTAAAATTTCAAATAGGACTAAGCAAATAACAGTTCAAGGATTTCTTAGCCTTCATTAAGTTTAAGTTAGGTATCGTAAAGAAAACTAGAACACTCTTAATAATAGCATCGAAGCTCATCATAAAAACGAGAAAATTATAGTGTGAATGACAAAATAGAGTTGGAACTTTTAAAGGAGGAAAATCAAAAATTGAAATAATAAGTGAATTAGATTATTGAAAAATATGAAATCAAATAACAATAATATTCCTAAGAATTATAAGACAAAATTAACGAGATTTCTAGCTTAAAATAGGTAGTCTATGCTAAGACTGATAAAATAGATAGTAATAATTAGTTGATGAAATAATTATAAGATTTCTAAAAACTTTAATTGGATTACTAAACTCTTGACTACAAACACAACCAATTATAAAAACAATATGACAATCTGAATGAATAACATGAACAAATTTAGAAAGAAATGTAATTAAAATCAAAATAAATTGCATTATAAAATAAAGAAATTTATGAATTAAAACAAATTAAATAATAAGAGTTGGAAATTAAGAAGAGAAGTGAATCTGTAGGTTAATACTCAAAAACTGCTTAGCAATTTCATCCATAGAATTCGATTCTTAGATAAAGTATCTGTGACGAGCCTATTTTGACAGAAAGCCAGAAAAGGATTATTTTTCCATTCACAAATCCATTTGAATACTATAGGGACCGTTTGAAGAATAATTAGAAAGGTCAGGTCTCTTCAGCTTATTCTGAATGGAAAAACTTAAATTTAGACAATTAAAATATCGAAAATTTAAAATAATCAATTTTATCTAATTAATCAATACTTTTTGCATGCAAATAATTAGAAATTGGATGTAAACTAGATAAATTGAATGAAAGAAAAATGATATTGCATCTTTTTTTTTTGAATTCCAATAAGCTTTCTGGTTATAAAATGGATTTAAATTTTTAATTTGTTAATGAAATATCAACTGGAATTCTAAAGAGATAATCAATATAATTATATTAGGATTCTTCTGAAGATTTAGTAATTGAATTCAATATTAATTAATTGCCTTTTTCTATTTCTTCTGTAAACATAAAGCTTTAAACAACAAAGACAATCAATTATATATGTTATTTGCCAATTTCGTTGTTTAGTTGCTTTCAATTTTTTAATTTATCTTTAAAAGAATATCAATCATATTGGCAAATAGCAAAAAACTGTGTGATCAGAAGCCAAGAATTCGAATACAATTTCAATTACGTAAGCAATGTGTTCAGAAAGAACATTGTAGTGATAGAATTAAATAGCCATAAAAAAAAGGAGTTTTTTGCTGGGATTGATGAAATAAAATATGGATCCATCATATAGTGTGAAAACTCAAATTATTTGGTAAGATACATATTATAGCCAAATAATAAAATGCTAATTTAGATATGCCACTTGAATGGAAGATAGAACATATCAGATTCTATCTTAAACATTTTAGTTTTTCTACTTTCTAGTTGAAATAGATATCATAATATATTAATTCAAATTATAATTAATTCTTAATCTTAAAATGCAAAAATATATATCAATAATCTCTAAGACTCAAAAAGAAGATGATGATTTACAAAATTCCATAAATGAGGCATAATAGATCGTTTAGATAATCGTAATTTTCTAATCCATAGAGAAATCGCCTTAAAGAAATGAAGAGGGTGAATAATATGATATGTTGTAAACTTCAAAGTTTTGGATTAGTTAGGGAAACAGTATTAAAAGACTGTTTGGCTTATAGTAGTAAAATCAATGCTACACAAAATAAACATTGCCCTCTAAATTTTGATAAAGCAATGATTTGAGGTTGCCAAATTTAATAAAAGAGAATATGAGAAGTTCTAAAAGGAGGAGGGAAAATGATGGGCTGTGCAATATTATGATTAAGAAGAATAGTATAAATTTTAAAAAGCTGAAAATGTAATTCTTAGACTTAAACAATTTCAGTAAATAAGTAAAGTTTCCATAGTTATGATTGGGAAATGGAAAAGATCACTACCTTGAAATGACTGATTATTAAGAGCAAATAAAACTGTTATCCAAACCTTAATAACCATTGAGCAATTACTTGGTTATAAAATCAAAAATAATTTTGAAAACAATATAAAATTGAACAAAGAGTGTAAAAATACGTTATAAGGCTAATCAAATCAAATTTTAAGACATAATTAAAATTAAGATTAAAGTTACCAATTCAGTCAATTATGATTTATTGTGAAGCTAGTAATCCAACCTATCCGTCTATAAAATGTGTTTATTGCATAATTATGAAGATGTTAGAGCAGTTTAATCTAAAAGGGTTGATTATGAAATACATCTCTAATCTCTTTCAAATATTATTTTATAGAAAGATTAAATTATTAATGAGGAAGGAAGTGCAACTTCAAAAAAAGATGATGCTGCAGTTTTGATTTTCTATAATATTAAGAATTTGAGTATTAAAGAAGATGTCAATAATTTTAACAAAAAGTAGAGTGATTAGTCACAAAAGTTATCGGTCGGATAAATTGTAAATTTGAAGGGTCTTCGAGAGTAAGGGTTTCTAAAATGATTATTAATTCTAATTATATTATTATCGTATTATATTATTATGAGAGACACTGCATTTAGTTCATCACCATTTGAAAAACCAAACAAATTAACTAGTGGTTTATTTAGAGATTGTCAGAGGTTTATACCTAGACGTAAGTTTACTGAAGAAAATCAAGAAAATGCAACTGTATTTGCAAAATTAAGAAGGGCTGGTTTAGAAAAGAAAAAGGCTCTTAAATATTGTTAAGCCTAGCATTGCAAATTGGATGCTACTTAAGGTGACTTTGGCCCACCTGGTTTCAAAATATTCAAATAAAATTATGATCCAATAAAACAATATAAAGGATGGTAATTAGATGGGAAAATCAAATTAAAAGATTAATGTGAATATGAAAGAATAAGTAAAGATATTAATTTAGGCTTGAGATAATAACCCAATGAAGATTTGTACTAATTGTATAATAGACTAGCAGAGACTCATCGTAACACAGAAGAAAGATGCAATTTTACTGATCTTTCAAGATAAGAGTTAATAATGAAATTGAGATCATTGACAAGAGATGACAATAGGAAATACAACACTCCAATTTACTAATTGAGAAGACATAATGAAATTTATTATGAATTAGCAGATTATTTTGAAAAATAATAGCCTCCTTAAATTAAATCTTTAGTTACAGAATTAGAAGCGTTTGATGACATTGTTCCTAGAAAATAATTAAAGTAATTTTATTTGGAATAAAAATCTACTGGAAACAAAAAAAAGAACTTAGGTCAAGAGGTTAGTGAGAAAATGTAACGACGTTCAAGAATTCTCATGGAGTTGACTGCCTTATTTTCTCCTGTAAAGTCTGATAGTTTGGTATCAAATTAAATAATTTATATAAGAATAGAAGATCTTTCTTTACTAAATAGGATTAAATGTGGTAAGTTCAGAATGATTCAGCAATTACGAGTCTATTAGATATGGATGAATGCAATATTAGTAGAAATGCTGAAAGAAATAGCATTTTCTTCTATCGTTTTGCCAAAGTCAAATAATCAGAGGAACAAGAAAAAATAAATCAATTCTAAGACTCTTTAAAGAAAGTAATTAAAAAAAATATTGAAAACATCAATTACTCCAAAAAAAAAAATAGATTCTTCGATTGACTTTTATATTTCATATAATGTTCTATTTAAATTTCAATCATCTGTATTTTAATCATTGCTTTCCAAATTAGAATGTAAGTATATTAAAATATTATATTATTTTTGATGAATAAATATAGGGTAAGTACTCATCCTTTATTAAATTAATTTTAATGGAAAATATCAAAAAGACTTGAATAAAATATTGACTTATCCAAATATTCAAACTAGTTTTGTACATTATTGAGATGTAATAATGAGGAGCTGGATTTCAAAATTCCCTAACTTATTGGAATTATCAAATTGGGCTAATTATCTCGATTGGCAGTATTAGAATTTAAACTTCTGATGCAATAATCTATTATTGAAGCTTAAATAAATGGATCATTTTAAAATGATCTTGATTTCATTCGAGATATCATAATTTTTATTGAATTGAATTATTTGTAATCTGAGGATGAGAAATTCTTACCAGAGTCTATACCATCTTCGCTCTCTCCTTTGAAAGCTAAACTAATGACAACTAAATGCTCATATTAAAAGGATGGTTGGAGAAAGATTAATATTTGATCTCGTATATATATATAATACATTCCATATTAAAACAACTATTCTATTAATTAGCAATTTGGCTACTGAATCTGGATGCCTATATATCAATAATTAATCAAATGGGAAGCGGATAATCTATTATATAAAGATCATTACTAAATTGTTGAAAATTTCTAATAGAAGACATTGAACTATATTCAGATATGAAATTGTTGAACACCTTAGGAGATTCTGACATAAATTTTTATTGTGATGATGAAAAAGAGGGTAAATTGAGTATAGAATAGATTTTTAGATAGAAAATGATAAAAATTATTTGGAGATGTATTCCACTTTAAATTATATAATCTGAGGATGTCTTACTCAAAATATTGTCTACAAATCTAATAAAATATAGATAATTCGAAAATTATAAATTAGATTCAGATTTTGTCAGAAACTTTAGATTTAATGAATTTTAATAAGTTGAAGTTGAAATATGATTGATATGAATATTGATGCTGCAAATTTATAATGGATTGGAAGTAGTGGCTTTTAATTTTCAGATTAACTTAAAGATATTATCTAATTGATTAAAAAAGATTCATAAGAGTTAATGAATAATTACTATTTTTAATCAAATGGTGATTTATTAGAATTTTTTAAAATGGAAAAAGGATAACATTTTACTTAAATCTTCCATACCTTAATGGATTTGCGAAAATTATTTTTTTAGCCATTTCTTTGAATTTTATGAAGAAAAATAAAAGAGAATTTCAAATTGCATTCGAAAGTTGAATAATAATTATAGAGAAATACTCCTATTAAGATACCAGGCCTGATGTAAATGTGTATTGAACAAGATTATTAATTACCACTTAATTCAAACCATTTTTAATACGATGATTACTTATATTAAAATATGGAAAAAATCTTAAATAAAATGATAAATTGGTTAAAAGGAGAAAGTAGTTTAGTAATATAATTTTAATAAATGAAACCACTTAATAAGGAGGAAGTGCTGTAATTAATTATTAAGATACTCCTAATTTATATATTTGAGGAAAATTAATAATAAGTTTAAGGAAAATGAAAAATTGAACTTTAAAGTATGTTTATTAGCATCCAGAATCAAATATTATGAGTGAATAAATAAGAGGATAGGATATTAAGAATATGTAAAAAATTAATTTAATCAAGAATTGAATTTTATCTAATATTGATTATTGATTATAGAGATCAAAATGTTTAATCTAGAAACAGGGGAATGAATTCTATCTCAAATAAGTTACTTGACTATTTCAGCTTTACTAAGCCAGTCTATGAAATTTTTGCATAGAAATCATTAATTTTCTCGAAAATTCAAAATTTAAAGATAAATCATTAGCAAATGGTGCTTTTTAAAATGCCAATATTATTAGAAATTCGTAGTCACAGTATTGCTATCTTTCAATAAATGAAAAAAAAAATAATATAACCTTTTTGTACTTCATTACAATTAACAATATATAGACAATATATAAAAATTTATTACTATTAAGTCTTTATTATTGAAATTCATTTACATGAATTACAAATATATTATAAAAGAATGATGATAATTTAGAAATTTTAAATGATAAAATATAATGCTAACTATCACTATAAATATTATTACATGACTGCAAAATTCAAATTCTGATTTTATCTACAACGCTTGCGAAATATAATTATAAAGTTAAGGACTTTATGAAATTAAACACAAATTCTTTTTTTATTTTATTATTAAAGAATAAACATGAAATAAAACATTCAAAAACCCAAGTTTAGTCAGGTCATAATGAATTAATATTTTAAAGAGAAAGCAGAGCTTGATAATTCTTTTAAGTAAATTTAAAAAAGCATTCTTCAAAAATTTGAGGAAAAATTAAATGCCAAAAACATTTTTTTATTGTACTTTTAAACTTTAACTAATCTAAATGAATATCGATATATGGGATAAACATTACATGTAGAAGATGAAATAAGGGAGTATTTATAAAGTCTGCCTCTTCATACCTTTTTCCCTTAAAGGATTTGGGATTTTAGTTTTACAAGTAAAATACGTTATTAATTTAGAATAATTTCTATAAAAGTTTTAATCTCTCAAAGAAGATGAAGTAATTAGAGTTGTTTTTTTAATTAGGAGCATACTTTAAGGAAGATTTAATAAATAAAATTATTAATGGATTAATGTGAATCAGATCTAGGTTGGTAGTATCAAATTTCCATTTTAACATGACTTTGAATTAGACTTTGCTGTTGAAGGCCGAATTACAATGATGTTTTAAGTGTTTCCCAAAAAATATCCTCTTATGGATAATTCAGATCATCCAACTTAATTTGATTTTGTTCATGAATTGATATTTGTCGAGTTGAATGAAGGTACGCATTAGAAAAACCCATAACCATATGAAAAATACCTTAAAGCTCAATAAAGCAAACCAAACTTTTTTACCGATATGAAATTTATTTAAGAAAATGGAGATAAAAAAAAAATTAAGTACTTAAGGGTTGGGGAAGCCAGTGAAAATCAATGCTTATTGTTGGGACCAAGAATATTTAGACCGTTATTATGTTAGGGGAGATAATTTAATTATAATTATAAGTTAAACCTATGGATGACGATAGAAGATGAAGAAAAATATTATAAGAAATTAAAATAGATAGAAGAAATAAGATAAAATAATTAGATTATAAGAAATTATTGTTTTTTGCCTTCTTCATAATAATTATTAACAATCATAAAAAACATCCCAAATTTTAGAGTAAAATTAACTGAAGAGTAAAAAAATGTGATTTCATATGGAGGGGATGCTTTAGTAATTGGTAGAAGTGGAACAGGTAAGACAACATGTGCACTTTTAAAATTATTCTCTACAGACATTTTGTACAAATTGAGAATCAAATTAAATTAGATAAAATCATCATCTACAGATATTATATTATCTTAATAAGATTAAAATTCTTAATTAAAGACAATCTTTGTAACTGCAAGTCCATTATTGGCCTGTTAAGTCAAAAGATTATATGATTAATTAGTCAATAATATCCAAAATGCAATTAATACTAAAAGACAGAGGACAAAATAGGATTAATAAATGAATCCTTAATCCTAAAATATTGATTTAGAATAGAGTACTTTCTAAATAATTGAAGCACTTTAATAAAATGATGAAGATATTGATGGTAATAATCAATAAGAAACTTAGAACGATAATGAAATAGAAGATGAGGAGATCAATGAGTTTGAAAAAGAGATGGGAAAATTTAATAAATTTAGTGAAATTCAATAATTCCCAGTTTTCTTAACACTACGTAAATTATTGGCTCTTATTGATTCCTCCCTTCTCCATTCTTTTTTTAAGGTCTTTGGGGGATATTAAAATAAATTATCTTAATGGCATAATGAATCTTCTGGTCTTATGACACTGGATAAAAACTAAACTGCTTAGCCATTTAATGAAGATCTTCTATATAAACATATTAGTCTAATTGACAATCAAGAATTTATTGAAACCAATTTACAAGAAGTCACATTGGAGGTTTTCGAGAGAGTGTTTTGGCCTAAGATAGTAAAAGATTTGAAGTAGGAATATTATGATGTATCAACTTTTGATCCAACTTTGGTTTGGAGTGAAATTTGCACAAAAATCAAGGGTCATGAAACCTCACATGAATATCCCGATAAATACATGAATTTTGAAAATTATTCTTATTATCATAGAGTATTATCAGAGGTATAGACAAAATTACTTTATAAAGCATTTGAGACTTATGAGAGATTAAGACAAAGTTATGGATATTATGATTTGTTAGATATAGTAAATCATATTAACTATGAATTATCTTAAGGGAATGATGTGATTGAGAGTGTTCATTATTTAATGTTGGATGAACTTCAAGATGTTCCAAGAGCTGTTCTGGTTTTATTGGATAGAATGGCAGAATTTGGTTTATTTTGTTGTGGGGACAATGCTTAGAACATAGCCAAAGGAATAGGGTTTAAGTTTTTTGAAGTATAAGATTGCATCCTAAATTACAGAGGTAATCAAAGGAGAAGATAATCAAATCTAACATTATTTGATTTAAATATTAATTTTAGATCGCACAATTAAATTCTTTAGATTGGCCAACTCCGTTATCAGAGTCTTAGAGATTTGTTTCCCATACAAAATTGATAGATTAAAGAAGGAAACATCTGATTTAACTGGACCAAGACCTGTTGTCTTATAAACAGACTCACCATAAGACCTGTTGTCTTACATTTAAGAATTTTTCACAAATGACCGCAAAACAGTTGAGTTTGGATGTAATTAAGCTATCATCGTTAAGGATCAAGAATCAAAGGAAAAATTACCTTAAGAACTGTAAAATGCCTTGGTTCTTACTATTTATGAAGCAAAAGGATTAGAATTTGATGATGTAATTCTGTATAACTTCTTTAATGATTGCACTACTTCTGTAGATGATTGGAAAATCTTGAATGAATTCGAGGTTAATTCAGTCTATATGTCTGAGGAAGGATTTAAAAATTTCTAAACAGGTATTCTATATTAAATATTTATAGTCCATCAATCTGAAATTGTAACATCTGATTACAATGCTTAGAACAAATTGATCGAAATTAAATAGCTTAAGTTAAAAGAAAGGGACTAAAAAAAAGCAAAATCCTAGGATGCCTTTTCGGAATATATTTCTTTATGTTAAGACTTGAAATAACTGTATGTGGCTATAACCAGACCAAAGAAAAGGTTAATAATATTTGATTAGTCTATTAAAAAACGAATTATAATGCAATCTATCTGGGAGAAATTGGATGTGGTAAATATTGTTTAGAAAAAGGATATCTAGGTTTCTGACACTCAATTCATCCTTGAACATACTGTAGATAATTAAGCTAATTGGAAAAAATAAGGATACAAAATGTTTAGACTCAACAATTATGATTAAGCAGCGAAGTGCTTTAAGTTTTCTGGTGATGAGGAACTAGCGAAGAAATCCAAAGCCTATTTTTTGGCCACTTAAGGTAATATTTTTAACGAGAATAAGGAGAATTATATTGCAGCAGCAAAATTATTTGAACTAGATTAACTTCCCTTTAAGAGCAGCATAATGTTATTTTTCAGGTAAAGAATATATCAAAGCTTATGAATAATATAAAAAAACAGATTGTAAAAGTGAAACAGCTGAGTCTGCATATTTTGCTGGCTATTTTGAAGAGGGTTGCAAACTTATTTTTTTAAATTAATGATATTAGAAGAGCATTAGATTGCTATAAGAAAGCCAATAATTGGCAGAGAATTATTGAATTGTTAAATTTGCATAAAAATGAATTTCCAATTGAAGAAAGAATGGCTTTCTTGAATAAATTCTTTCCTAGTTTTCTTTAAGAAATGACAGATTAGATTGAGTAATAAGAAAAAGAAATGGAGGAGTAGTTTTTAAACGAAGAGCCATGCATAATCTAAGAGGATGTTATAGATTAATCTTAAAGTTTCTAAATTGAGAATTCTTTGGTAAATGAATCGCAATAAGTGGAGAATGCTGAAAATAATCTTGAAACACCCTAAGTGAGCATAGTAAAATAAGACAAATAAGATCTAATCGAAATTGATGACTCAGAGTCTTTTTAAGTTCAAAATGAGGAATCCTTTGATCATCTCTCAATATTTGATCCAGAAGATGAATGGTTGAAAAATAACTAAAAATCCTTAATCAGATCCATTGCTACTTCAAGTGTTGAATCACAGTTTTCAAATGTTCTTTTATTGAATTAACCATCAAATGTTTCACTCTTAAAATCCAGATCTAATATCTTTATTAAGAATAATGTTTTACAATAATTGGTGTAAAAATTTTAATTCTTTTCTGATGAATTCAAGACTCACATTGAAAAGCAGACACATAAGGCTACTCTATTGTCAAACAGAACTGGGGATGAGAAAGAGTTTGATCATATGATCAATTTCCTATATGATTTAGATAATATAGATATTGATACCATCTACTTGATTCTAGATCTATTAGAATAATTCAAAAGTTATAAATTATGCATTTATGTTTGCAATTAATTCAAATTGGCCTAGTATATAGGTAGATACTTAGTATCATTGGCTTCACTCTACACTCCATTAACAAGGACCCTCTTGAAAGATAACTATTAGATTATTATAAATAAACTCTATAGAAAACAAATATTATAGTAAGCAGCAGTTTCCTAATTGGCTATTAATAATATATTAGAATCTATAAATCCTTTGTTCTTGTAATTTAAATTTGAAGAACAACTCAATTTATCAAATAGTTTCGGAATTACTTGTTACAAAGAATTGATTGGCTTAGGCTATTGGAAGACTGTCATTTATCAACTAAATTATGAACACGCATTCAATTTGTGCAAATCATTTAATAGTTATTCAGATATTGTTAATGTAATAGAGAAAGTCAAGGAAAATAGAAAAAATAAATTGCTTAGTGAATAGGAATAGTTTAACTAGAATAAATATTAATATTTTATAGACATTTAAGATGCTCTTTAAAAAAAACATTCAAATTTCAACCCAATATTTTCAACTTCTATTAAATATTTTGATAATAAACGATAATTAACCTAGGATATTATAGAAGATATTATTAAAAATAGTCAACTATAAGATGGTTCAAATCTAAATTACACTTAATAATTGAAGTAAATAGAATCAATAATTCTATCTCATTTAATCTTAGAAATAAGTGCTACATAAGAGAAAAAAAAAGTAGATCTATCCTAACTTGTTGAAATTAAGATTTACTTTTTAAATCAGATCCAATTATTTTGTTAAAATTCAAATATTATTGATTCTTTCTCATTCCTGTATCAGTTTTCATTACCTTAAGGAGAAATCATGGATCATTATTCTTAATATACCCTCGTATATTTAACTTCTGGTTTAATTTCATTTTTACACTCATCATAAAAAGAAGTATAAAAGGATTAAATTTAAATATCATAATAGGAATTAAAATTTATTGATATTGGATTTGAATATGTTTTGACTCCTTATCATGTGGTTCTGAAGGCTATTTATAAATCCTTTATACAGAGTCTCTCTGATCAATTCTTCCAATTATCGGAGTCAATTAAAACTTATTACCTTATTTATGAGAAAATTGGTGAAAAATAGTAATTCCCTTAAATTGTATATAGAAATCACTTTTTGCCAGTCTTTTAACAATTGTATCACTTAGAATAAAAACAAAAAAATGTATTACCTATTATTTTTCTTCCTAAAACAGTCAACCCCTAAAAATTCAAAAATTTCAATGATTAACCAATTAGAAATTTGGAAATTGAAAGACATTCATCTTCAATTTTAAATTAAATAAAATCCCTTCATTTATTAGATTTTACTAAAATATTAATCAAGACTAATATTAGAAATCCAAATCTACCCTCTTAAATTAAATAATTCCTTATAAATGAAAGCATTGCACTACTTCAAAAGTCATAAGATAAATTGAGCCATCAGAAAGTAATTTTAGCTATAAATATGTTAAATTATGTCAACGAATTACCTTTGGCTATTTTTACGCTCTAATAAATGAAGAAGACTATCTTGACTAATCCTTATATTAAATATATGGAATTCCTAGAATGCTAAGAATACAACATTACTGATGATCTGTTTAATTGCTTTGCAGAATTCAGTGCTGATCTTTAGAATTAATTATTCTTAGATGAATGGCTCTATCACTTAATAAGGGTTGGATTAACAATTCTGATTTCAATTCTAGAAGAGAAGAAGTTATAAATATATATACCTTATATCTACGTTGAATTTGTAAAAGAGGTTGAAGATCATAAAATTCAAGCTCCTATATTTAAGATTTAAAATGAAGAATTACTTGTAGAGTATTTATATCTTTTAGGATAATTCCTAGATAATTGCAATTCTGAACATTACGAATATCACGCTAATTTATTGCTTATCATTTTCATTATCAATTTACCTGTTTTAACAAATGAAGTTATCGAATAAATAGCTAAAATGATAGAATTTGATTCAAAATATAAGTTTTATTAAAGACTTAAGGTGATAATATTGAAAGACCTATAAGTGAGGTAAAATGAGTATATTAAACAAAACCACTCATTATATATAAACCATTACTTAGACTTGCCAATTACTAATCTCTAGATAGTCAATAAGTATCAATAAAATTAGCTTGAATAACTTTATAATACTTGTTTATAAAATTGGGAACAATATTAAAATACATCTGAATCTATAAAATAGAATGGATAAAACTTAATTAGAAAATGGTTATAGCATAAATAATTTATAGCCAAATAAAAATTTTTACAGCAGTCTATCCCCAAATTTTAATTATAAACTTATATTGTTAAATTTTAACAGTTTTACTCATTGAATCTTAAATAACTTTATAAAAATTTGAATAACAAAGATATCAAAATAGAAAATAACATTAAAGAAGCTTTTGCCATTTAAGAGTAAGACTTATTTATATTTTAGGGACATCTTAAACCAAAGACATGGAGCAGTTGATTCTATAGACCTTCATTTTTGTAATTCATTAATAGAAAAGCTTTCTTAATTGAATCTTTAAATTCTGAAGGGAGTTAATGTGAGTTAATAATTAATTGAATTATCAAATGAATTAGTTGGTTGGAAAGAGAATATCAAATTGAATTAAGACCTATAAGATGAATTATTGGCTAGAAATAAAGAGTTATTAGCAATAAAATGGAAAAACTTGAAATCAGGTATAAAATTAAAGAAGAGAGTTGTAAAAAAAGTAGAAATGCAAACTATTTAAGAAGAGGAAGAGGAATAATAATGAGTTTATTAATATTTAAAATAAAATGATATTATTATTTCTTAAATTTAATGGTAGCAGAGTATGGTTTAATAATTAGTAATGACAAATAATTGATAGTATGATTTTCGGCTATGATAATGTAATGATAATTCATTTTGTTTTAGATTTCTTCACTTCGCTTTTTTCTCATCTTCATTATTAGATAAGGTCTTATGTAGATATTTTAAAGCGAGTATAGAAAATGTCTATTTATAAATTGATTAATACTGTTCCAACAATTGCTAAGAGTATTCCTACGAATTTTAAAAAGTATTAGTCAGCTTCAAAATATTCAATAATTTATTCCTTGCTGACACCAAAATATTTAGGAGCATTTATTATAAAAGTATTTTACACTTTATCCCAAACAACGTTGCCATAAACACAAATAAAAGTTCCTTCACATAAGATGTCTTCTTCAATAACAACTCCAATTTTTGAAATAGTTGTTAAAAACTTTTTTAACTTTCCTTCTTTAAATTCAGCCTTTTCTACATCTCTAATATTATTACATGTCTTACGTTTAAGGCTCTCTCGTTATTGTTCTAATTTCAGGAGGATTTAAAATTTGATCTGTTTATTGATGCTTTAACACTTTAGGCAAGACTATTGTGCCAGAAAAATTGTTTATCAGCAAGTTTTCATCCGTTTTTAGATGCGATTGTAAAATAAAAGAATCTGTTGTGTTTATTGTTTTGCTGGTTTATCTTCTTTATTATGATTTCCTTCCATTGTTTTCTACAGCCTCTAATTCATAGCTCGATCTCTGTATATAAACACCTGTATATTTGCTATTTGCACTTTTTAACATCTCTGTGTTTTAGGCAACTTCTCCTTCAACAAACAAACTTACTTAATTATCATCTGTTAACAAAAAGGAATTCCTTTAAAAATTAAATGTTATACTTTAGTAGGGAAACAGTAACACTCCTCTAATTTTTAAGAGTGTCTAATTCAATTTGATTTTTATTAACTTTTGCCTTATTTAATTTATATATGAGGCCTACAATAGCTCCACCTAAAGCGCATAGAACAAATTTAGTGAAATCTTTCATTTTATATAAAATTATATTATAATATAAATTAATATAAAAATAATGATCTATTATTGTAAGTCTCAAAATATTGATTTAATTGGAATACTTGATTACATTGATTGAAAAATTGATAAACAATTGTTATTATTCAATTCATAGAACATTTTTAATACTATTATAAAAGTAATTAAACATCAAAATATGACTATAATAATGTTACATTACATAGTTTGCATATGGCTATTTATTAATAATTTTGGATATTTAAATTAATAAAAAACATTTAAATTCCCTAAATTTGTAAGTTAATAAACATATCAAAATATTTTCGATCTCAAGCTGACCATGGCTGAACTATTTAGTAGAAAAAATATTCTAAAATACAAAAATTTTATAATTTCTATTATAAACCATAAAATATGACTTTTTTGTTCGCTTAATCCTTTTACTAAAATTCAGTAGAATGATATAATGATTATAATTATCAAAACCATTTTTATCTTTAGTAAAATATTACTAAAAGATTTATTTTTGATTGTTTTCAATTTGTATTTTGATAACAAAAATAGATTAGAAATAAAAATAATAATCCGTCTACTTTTAAAATTTTTAGAATCTTTACAATTTAAAATAGGTGATCATTTTTCATTTCTTACTTAAAGGCAGCTTAATGGATACTGTGTTAGGGTAAGTCATGAGCTTAACTTTTCCTATTAAGGCCTCTCTTATTAAATCAGTAATTTATTATATTTTAGCAACATTATATTTCTGCAAGAGATTTAATTCAATATCTAAATTAATAGCAGGTTATCCTATAATGGATAGCCTAAATTTTATATTAAATATTATACCAACTCTTTCCAAGAGGAGTGGGTACAAAACACAATCTAATCCTACTAGCAAAATTAGTAACTGTAATCTTGATTTCAATAGGCACTTAATATTCCTTAGGCCATGTAACGAGGAAAATTGTACTTAAGACAATTAAGACTTTCCCTCTAAAAGATAAGTCTAAGTCACATAGAAACTGAAATTTATGAAAAAATAATACTTCATTAGCATCCTATCTTAGTGCTTATATATCAGATAATGATGGAGGATCACCAATAATCTTTAAATCAGATACATTAATCTCTGATAGCATTGCAGCTCTCTTTTTATTTAAAGTCTTATGCAAAATCTTTTTAATCTTCCCTTTAAAAAATTGACTTTCCTTCCAGTCGTTGACTAATACTTTTAATAGTTTTTAAAGCAATAATGATGTTGTACTTACATAAACATCTTCTACCATTTCTTCATTTTGACAAATAGTCACTTCTTTTTCATTTTATATTACTTGCTCCTTACTTTCATTTTATAAGATTTCTCTTTATTACATAATCTAAATATTTTCAGTAGCTAAATTTAATAATAAGTTTACTTTCATCAACTATCATTCTTAGATTAGTAAATATTTAAATAGCAAATCTCCCCAAATCTTCAATTAATGTTTTTTTCATTTTAGCTACTTATTTATTGTGTTTATTGAGAATATCTTCAATTTTCTTTAAAGTATACCCTTACAATGAAATAAGAGTTTTTTTATCTTCTATTAATTTTACCTACTACTCTCTAAGATCATCCTCTTTCAAATTACTCATCTTTTGAACTTTAGATACAGTTTAACCGATAGTTGCATAAAATTTACCGAAATTTAAGGATTTCACATCTGACATATTTTATTTCATCTCATTAAAAAAATGTTAAGCTGCCTTCTTTGTTTTGGATTTATCGACTTAATCATTTTGATACTATTCAAGTGCTTTTTCATCAGTGCTAAGACTTTGCAACTTTTTTAGATCTCTTAATGCACAAGTTTCAAGTTCTTTGCCAATAGACATCTCTAATCTACATTTAGCAATATCTTATCTTTTTCTTTCTATTTAGTCAACAAGTTGTTTATTTGAATCTTTAATTATTTGAATAACACCCACTAAACTTGAAAATAGAACATTGAAAATATCTGCAACTTCTTGTTTTTCTAATTCAATTTGTAATTTCACTAATGTAAAATCTTTATCTATTAATTTTTGATTAAAAATTTATATAGTATCTCTGAAGAAGTACTCTAATTCTTCATTATACTTTTACACTATTTACCATTATTAAAGTAAATAAGTAGTTTGTCTTTAACATTCCTTTATTTATTCATTGATATCAAATTCAGCTATTTAATTTTATTATTAATCCTCCTACACTTGCTTTTGAGGGGATTTTGGACTCCTGTGTTATCTCGAGGGGTATATTTAATCTAATATATAAATGGGAGATATCATTACAATAATCTTCATCCATAATTACTATTAAAGTGGAGATCTAAGTCTAAAATTAACTGGCATAATTCTCAGATGTAATTAAAAATGCTTGGAAACCTTGTTTTACAAATACAACTCTCGACTCTTCATAATTAAGTTAGAATAGGTGCATCTTTTGATTAAATTCATTGATTTCTATTTAATTCTCTTTGATTTTATCTCTGGCATCTGTTAATTTCAATCTTATGGTATCAGATTGCTGCATTTGCAATTTGACTTTCATTTCGCTTTTAATGATTTAAGTTGGATCATCCTTTCTTTTTAGCATTTCTTGATGAGCCAAAGTAAAGGATTACAAATCTTTTTCAATTTAATTGAATTCATTTAGAATCTTATTATAATGTTGATAGCATTCGACCGTTTGATATTTTAATTTCTTTCTTTGTTTTCTGATTTCCTCCACTTCTTTCGTGTAGGTTCTCCTGAGTGATACTAATTGAATACTCACTTTGTTTATATCTGAGGCGATTTCAATATGGCTTTGACTAATTTATTTTAACACTTTCTTAAAGTCTTTCCATTAAGGTAAGTACAAAAATAATTTAGAACTCAACTAGATTCCAGTAAGTTGTTGGATAATTTCGTTTCTTTCTTCAGAATATTTATCTATGCTATTAATTTCATTTTCAGAAAGTAATTTACTATCTAACTCGTTTAATTGTGATCCGAATTATTGTTCAGATTCCTTATATTTTGATAATTAATACCTTGATCCCTTCCAAAAAGTCCATATAGACATCAAGTTTCTTTAAGAATTTTTTTCTATATAATTTTTAGACAGAAATTTGTTAGGATATTTAAGTATCCTCTTATTTAGGTTATGGATTTTCAATTTGCAATTCGGTATTGAATTTATTTATATAATGTTTTCTCTTCTATTTAACTGGATGCAAATATTCTTCGAAGTTTTATTTAACTTATAAATGACATGAATATTTTACAGCTGGTGATTGTAATCTTATAATTCTAATGCTGTTTTTTAAGATAATCCATTATGTAGTTATATTGAACACCAAGGATAGTAAAACATCCAATTATAAAGCCAATAAAAAAGGAATAATTGTACCATTGAAGAAATGAAGCAATAATTACTCCAAAAAGTATTTTATTTGTTAATTACATTAATTATTAATGGAAGAAAAAATTGAATAACAAAAATAATTAATAATTAAAGCTAAATTAACCATCGATAAGTTAAGAGCAGAATTAGCAGAGAAAATTCAATAATTATAGGAAGAAAAACAAAAAAACGAAAATCTAGAATAGATTGTCAATAAATATTTGGGAGATGAAAAGAAAATTGTGTGTGAAAGGGTTTTGGCCAAAGTCAAAGTAGAGGAGATAGAATGGATATGTATTAAAAATAATGGAATTGAATGGGTAAGGGAAAGCGAATTCAATAAACAACTAAACTCTTAATTACATGAAGATATTAAATTACTAGATTATTCTAAATCCAAAGACGATATTTTGGTTGTTGCGTAATAATACGATTAGAGAATGAAAATATTGTAATAAGAATGTTTTTAGAGTGAGAAGAAAAAATAAGAAATTCTTACTTTATACAATGATTTGTAAAACGAATTTGACAAATATAAATAGGAAATCATGCAAAATATTAACGAAGTAGTTAACTAATCAGAATAAATCAGAGAAACTACTTTAACCTTAGTCGATTAAAGTGCAGATTGTGAGGCAAAAATTAAATTGTTATTGTTGCAATTGCTGAAAGTAAATTAATATATAAGCTAAGTCTTGTAGTCCATAATTACATTTCCTTAAATAACACTTAATTACCTTGAATTAAACAATTTATGAGTTGATCCAATAATAATAGGAGCAAAGTAATTTGATAGAGTAAGAAGGAAAGGAGCATAAATAAAGATTACTTGAAATAGAGGAAGAACGAAAGATGGAGCGAGAACAAAGTATTTTTTATATAATTTAAAACAGAAATCTAGCATTTTGAAAATGGTAGATAGTAAATCTAATTATTAGAAAATACAATTGATTAAATTACAAAGGAATTGAGAGAAAAGAATATTAAAATTGATAGATTATGTCAAGAGAATTAAAAGAATGCAAATATTTAATATATTAAGAATGTTATCATACGATTTTTTACAGAGGAATATTCAGTAATTATATCAATTAATCATAAGGTGAAACAAAAAACAATTCCTGTGATTGCTACTGTATTATAATTTACAGAAGCAGAACATGCAATTGTTCAATAGGCATGGGAAAGAGATTCGAAGTCTTTTTTGAGTAGAATTTTCAAATGAGAATAGTAATTAATTATTATCTATTTGTCTTATTATTATGATGAACAATAACATTAATTTCAGAAGAAATACTTTACATATGAATTTTTTAATTTTAGAGAAGTTAATTCAAAAAGTCTCTGAAAATTATCGCTCTTTTCTTTCTCATTTGCCATGAATCCTTTATATGTTGTTTATTATAATTTTTTAGCATCTTTTAATTATTCTAATTCCTTGTGTATCCATTCCTATAACTTGAGATTAGACAGTTCAGTAATTCGAGGTTTGTTTATTTTTTTTGGCTCCTCCAATAATTATGGGTGAGGCATTTGAGGTTCTTAATCTATGCTTTTACTTTTGTATTATCTTATAGGTATTCGAGCAGTCGGTTGTTTACTCATGTCTACAACAGACTTATGTACTAGAGAACTTTCATTAAGTTTGTAATAGCCTATTGGAGGTCGTTCTACTTTAATCAATTAATAGGGAATCAATCTTTTAGTTTTGCTTCTTTCGATAGATTTGATTTATTGTTTAGGATTAAGTACGAAAAATTTCTGAAGTTTCTATTCTCTTCTCATTAATCTGGGCAATTTTTAATTACTATTCTTCTTGACTTCTGGCAATTCAACAGGTACATTGACAAGGATGCCTTTTTCAAAATCATATTGAGATGATACTCCTAAAGCTTAATTTACATTATGATTGATATTTGATAAACTGGATTAACGAGACAAAATGCCTTTCATTAATTATTAGATTTTTATTATGTATAATAAAATTAACTATATATTTAATGCTCATTTTATGAGTTTAATATTCAAATATCTGATATATTGAAAGTTTTAGGTTTGGATTATAAAAAAGAATATCCTAATTTAAAATTATAATCGATATAATTAATAATATTCTATGAATAATATATGACAGCGTTTGAATTGAATTAAGTAGATAAAAGATGTCTATTGTTAATAATTTAAATCTTTCTATTCTCTTGCCAAAATGTACTCATTAAATTGTTTGTATCTGGCATTGACCTTGTCAAAATATCTGATGAAGATATTAAGATTACATTATAACAATGTTGCTTTTGTTTGTATGTATTAGTTAATGTTTTAAGGAATTAAAAAATATAGAAATGGACCTTAAGATTAAGATGATTATTTAAATGAAAATTGATGATAATCAACATTAAAAAGGTTCAACTATAGAGATTATCCAAGCTATTGCATTACATAAAAAAAGGAGTAGTCTAATTCTAGATCACGATATTTTTGATTTATTGATTGTATAGATATTGAGGATCAAAACCTAGGTCTCATTCTTATTTATCAAATCATTTTCTGACTACAAGTAGTAAAGATTCTAAAAACTAAATAATCTAGTAGAAGAATTAGAAGTTATATTAGAGATTAGGAGAGTAAGAAAGTACCAGCCACAAGTGATGATTAATACAAATTCAAGGTCATGATCGTCAGTTAGTAGTATATTGAGATAATTACACAAATGATTAATCTTACGAAGGAGAAAGTATAAAAATAAATAGAAGAAATTGATAATCTGATTTATATTCCCTTTGCCATGATCTTTGAAATTTATTTGTTAATTTATAAGAATAGATTAATATGTTAAATTCTTAAGCAATCGAAATAATAAATAAATTTTGTATTTTAAATATATTTTTTCAGACATTTTACTATTATTAATTCATAGAAAAATGAATGAAAAATTTGAGTAAAATCTATAGGAGATACTTTAGAAGGATTGTCTAACTCTAAACAAAAATCTACTGCTCAAAGGATAAATTGAGTTATTGAAATTGCAGATCAGAGATCAAAGATTAATTAAACAATAGCAAGATTAAGAAATAAAAGAAATAGAAAAGAAATAAGTTATGCAAAATATAAAAGAAGAATAATAGAAGTAGATTGAGGAGAAAGAGACCTAATTGATCAAATAAAAAAAGGAGCTGCATCTAAGATAAGATGCATGTGAAGACTTATAATTTGAAATTGAATAATAATATTAACATCTTAAAATACAATAGGAAAATCAAAGAATTTTAGATGAATCAATCAAAAGACTCATGGATTGTATATAAAAATCCAAAAAATCACCACTCAAAAATCAGCAATTTCATAATAGAGTAGCTACTTCTCATTCATTCGATGATAGGCCCAATTCTTTTGGAATAATGGGAATGCTAAAGTCTAAAAATAATGTCGATGATTATATATAGAAAGTGGAAAAAATTAATACTTCCAGACTATATGATCATTGATTAAACAAACTATTATATGTATGTATATTTAATTTTCATCTCTAATTAATATTTACTTAAAATAATAAAATCATCATTGAAAATATGTGCAAAAATATGTTTAGCATTTTCAAATAAGAATTCAAGTTTATAAAATTGGAGTATAAGATTATTAGATTAACAATTCTAATAATAAATTAGATTTAATTTTATTGAATAAAATGATAAAGGACTTATTTTTTATGAAGTTCCACTTTGGATCTGCATTTTTAATAAATTTTAACCAGACTATTATTTTATTAGATCTGGATTATGATTTATATCTTTCTATATTATTAAATGTTTAGAATATGGTCGTTGATAATTTTTGTACAAACTTTTGTCTACCTATTTGTTAGTATATTCTTAGAAGTTATTCACAGTACTATATCATGATCATATAAAATAACAAGGTAATATAGGTAAATTTATTAGGAGAAAAGACTTAAAAAATGGGATTGAATATTTTACATGATTATATTTTTTTCTTATGAAAAAATAAAAATAAAAAATTTCTTCTCTATCACTTGTTAAATCTTGAAATTATAATTTGATATCTTACAAACTTATTACGATTTACATGCATTCTTATTATAATGAAAAACAATAAAATAGTATCTTAATTTCGAATCGATTCAATTGTTTATATACAATATAAATAAAAATAATTTTATAGTGAGTATTAATAGTGAGATACAGTATTTATAATTACTAATCAGTTAAGCTTATGTCACTAAAATAGATAGCAATATTAAATAATACTTGGTTTAATTTGTTCAATTTAATCAAAGAATATATCGAATTTTTTGCAAGTATAAAATGTTATGGAAAATAATTAAAAATAGCATTTTTATTAAACAAAACACATTGACTTATTCCTTAATCCAACTTACTTATTCAATTAATTATATAAACTCTAATATTATTGAGTTGGGTGATATAAAAATGAATTTAATAATTCTATTAAAATAAAATAGATAGTAATCTGGATATTAGGAACTAACAAAGAATACTTAATTATATTTTTAACTTATGATAGAATCGTTTTTGAATAATTGAAAACAACTCCTACACCTTTTTAACTCCACATATTTTAATGCCTGTTTATTTAATTTATAATTCACATGGAGCCATATCATTGTTATTTAAATTAGAAATAAAGGTAAATTAAGTAGGAAAAATAACGATTTATAATCAGGTGAAAGTTGTATTTAGGGAATAACATTGTAGTTGGAGTTTTGAATAAGATACTTATGGCTTTAATTTTATAAATAAATCCATTTAATTTGTCAATCATCAAATATGATAATACTTAATAGTTCACCAAATCCAAATTTATAAGGTCAATATGGATTAGATCACAGCTCAAGGTTAGAGAAGTATATTAAATAATATTATGATAGAGCTGAACAGAACCAATTAAAATACTATGTGAATGCTTATGATTGTGAATACTTCATTTAATTGAGCATTATAAGCAATTTGGTTCCAGTCATTTTATAGAAACTTAAGGATGATAGCTGGAAAATCGAATTGATTCATATTGGATATATACCCCCTCCCTCTAAAGACTATGATCCAGACGCGCTCTTGCAATAGGTTTTATGTGAGATCCTAAATCCAAAGGAAGAGAGTAAGAAACTCGATATATCTCAGGAGATAACCATTACTTATTACTAAGAGGATTTGTGATATTATTTAAGGGGCATTTTGATTAAGAATTGCTTATTTTTCTAATAATTGCTCCAATAAGTATTGGTTTGAGAGTCTTACGATTGAATTTAATATAAACCTATATCCATTAGAATGGATTAATGGGTAGCCTTGTTTTTAGTAAACTTATCTACCAAATTTTGTAGCCATTTGAAAAATTATATACAAGTTAAAATATTTGATATCCTCAGGTTTCTTTTGATCAATTCATTGAGTTATACGATAATATTAAATAGATAATTTAAACTAGATGTTAGATTATCTAGTCTAAGAATCAAATGTATAATAATTCCTTCCTCTGTATTAAAAAGATGAGAATGGCAATTCTCCCATAGCAGGCCCAGACGATTCATGATTATATTTATCATAATGCATAAACTATCTTATTTAAAATTTTCATTGAATTAATAATTTATATAATATATAAGATTATATTTTTAAGTTATTTATATATAGTCATAAATAGCTCTTTTTGGCTATTTAAAGTCAAAATTTAATTATCTTAACTTCAAGGTATATATTAAGATGAGTTTTTGATGTTTTAAGCAACCAACCTAAAAGGCTATAGAATATCAGTGAATTGACGCTTAATTTTATAAATAGATTTCTTATCATCAAACTTTTCATTTAATTTAAGAATTGAACCTTTGAGGTTATCTGTGATAACTTGAATTAAGTTGAAACTTAAAGGAATGTATATTTTAAGATAAATTTACTAAAATAATCCAAATAATATGGTTGTATGTGTTCAATATTATCATATTAGTATATTTAATAATAGGAAATTTAAGTTAAATTTAATATTTTGGTTAATATATATCAAACATTCAAATAATAAATAATAATAAATGACATACTTTTACTATTTAATAATAGAAGCTAACTTGTAGAGATAAGACAAACAGAATAACTTTCACACAAAATTTTGTAAAAAATAATTGCTTTAGAATAAAATTTAATTACAACATATTTTTAATGGTTTTAATTAACAATTTTTCAATAATAAAATTTTTTGTAATTTGAGGAATAAAGAAGAAGTAATCATTAAATCTATTTTCTTCAATAATACCCAAACTCATTTCTTATTCAAAAATAATAATCTAAGGGTGTTAAATTTTTGAAACAATAAAAGGTAAAATCATAAGGAAGATTGAAATTGCTTTGTTTTTAATAAGTGTGATATTGAATACCTTCGGAGATTGAATCTTATTATTTATATTTAATTATAATTTTTGAAGAGAAGTGGAAAAATTTCTAAAATAGAAAAACAAGTATATTGTTGATATTAGAGTAGTAGATTCTATTAGAAGGGCAATAAAAATAATAATAATAATAAGATCATCACATTTAGGTATATTTCAAATATGGATATGATTAATTAAAATATTCAAATAATTTTATAATATAAATAATAATAAATCATATTCTTCTTGATTGAATGACTTTAACAGCCTTTTTGACAACATCTAAAATTACTGTTAAGTTTAAGGATTTCAATTTCTCTTCTGCTGCTTATTTATTCAATCCCAATCCTCCAATCATAGGTAAGGCAGCATTAACAATTGCTGCAAAAGTACCTGGTATAGCAAATGCTTAAACTCCGATCAGTATGAATGCCAATACAATGACTAAGTATACTATTAAAACAATAAGTCCTTTGATTAACATTGGTTTAGAAATTCCTAAATATTCTAAGCTTAGGAACATAGTTTAGACTGAAATTTCTTGCATGATTTCTTTAAATTCATAGAAATCTATCATGCAAGTCGAGATGTTTACTTAATCACCCTTGATAGTAACTAACACCTCTCTAAATTTATGCTCTGTAATTTCTATGTTAATTCTTCTTAAAAATTCAATCACATCATTAGCTTTAACTTGTCTCTAACCATTCTTATCCAAAACTCTAAACATATCTTCATATTATAATTCTCGGTTGTCATTTAATTTACTCATAACTGAATTCATGTATTGCATAGTTCTAACTGTATTTGGATTGACTAAAGAGGCCATCTTCTCTTTAATCAATTATTGAGGTGATTACAAACCTACTTAAAAGTCTTTCATTAAGTTAATTAGAAGCTAACTATTTGACTGAGATATTTTCATGACTTAAAAGAACTCTGATGTAACTTCATTGAATTTCTTATATTTAATGGCAATGATGGCTTCGATGCACTTAACCAATATTTGTAAATCCTTTTCTTATTTTTGTCCAAACATAGGTTCTAAGACTGGCTTAACAGCTTTTAGCAATTCTCTCTCATTCATTTCTTTTGCATCATCCAATGACTTAATCATTTTTTATGCATTGGATGCAATCAAAAACAATTAGGCCAATGGGATATTATCAAACTTCTTATCATATAACTGTTGATTGCTGAAACACCCTTTCTAGATTTACTATGGCAACTCTTTCAATTTTTCGATGTCTTCAGTTTAATAAAATAGGAATATCATTTTAATGATCTCTCCAATTTCTTTGTAATTAGACAATAAGGTGGATATAGCTTTAAGGAACTTTTCTCCTTTAATATCTTTTGGATCTGATAAACCACTGAACATAATAATGGTACCCTCGATAACTTCTTTTTAATCTTTCAAAGCTTCAATCTTAGTGATTTCAGATATAAATTATTTCAAAATCTTTTGTTCTGGGTCTGCATGAATTTTGTTATTATATAATAATTCAAGTAAACTTTGAATTATTATTTATTGAGGAGGTGGAAGTTATGAAATATCAAACACTTTCCCTTTTAAGAATTCAAAGAATTATTAGAGTTGACTTTCTTAATTTTGTCTGCACCACGCCAAGAATGCCTCCTTATAAAAACCGATATTCTTTTCTGTAATGGCTGATTCGGAATTGTTATCTTTGCTGCTAACCTCATAAAATTTGTTTAACATAGATGAAAAGTCTTCTAGATTAGCTGCTTCAATAAAATTTGAAGAGAAATTAGTGAATTAAGTGAATGGTTCTTTGTTCTTTTCTATAATTGAACCTAGCCATAATATTGGATACAATAACACATTCATAAGTTTGACATTATCAACATCGCTAATAGTAGGAAGATTTGATACATGAGCAATTGAACTCAAGGATACTAGAATGTTTGAGTATTTTGAGAATTATCCTAAGTTATTTTTCTCCATAATTTGATAAGATTTTGAAATTAAGACATTTATGTTTTTAGAATGATCTACTTCGATGATAGCTTTGGCAAGATTCCATGCACTTTTATTTCTTTCATCTTATAAAACGTCAATTTTATCTTCAAATTTTGCAAAGTTAGCATTTGATTTATCACCTTTAAATAACAATTACAAAATAAATTGGATAACAAATATTAATTATTCTTGTCCTTTTCTATCTATATTGAATACTTTAATTAATATTTCTAAGAATCCACTTTATTAATTATCTGCTAATACTTCAGTCTTTCCTTCGAATACAAAATTTAGATATTGAATCAGTTTATTGGTACTCTCCTCTGGAAACTCTTCTTTATCCTTGATGAAAGTATTCATGAGTGCAGTTTCAATAAACTTAATCAAGTTCTAATTCATCTAAGTCTTGAGTATTTATTGGAATGATTAAGATGATACTTGTTATCTGTCTAACAAAGGACTTCTTAATCCAAAGTTCTTGAATTAAAGCAATAGCTCAATAATAAAAGTGCTAATCATTCTTTCAGATAACAATCCAGTCTCTACACGTTCTTATTCTCTACTGAATGCAATCAGTGCGTACCATGCTTCCACATCACCCAAGAAGCATCTTATCATCAATTTTAATGGTGATTTAATTGATGACTAGATTTCATTACAACCTTATATTAATTCATCAATTCCTAAATTCAAGAGATGACTATTGTTTTTAAATTAAACTTGATCTTCCTAGCTTAAATTTTCATATTAATCTCCTATTGAATAATACAAATAACATGCTGGTACTCTGGTAGCTAATGATGAGAATTTTCCAGAAGCTTTTGAGTTTTCTAATTGAACTCTGACTAACATTAACATAACTGCATCCATTATTATAAAATCATTTCCCCAAGTTTTAGTAATAAATTAAGTGTTCATAGCTTTTGGATTATAAAATAGATCTACTAAAGGCTTTAACTCTTTTCTCTCTGTTTCATTTAAAGTTAAACCCAATAAGTTATCGATCAACTAATTTAAATTTACAGGCATTTTTTGTTTAGTTCCTCTAAATTTAGGTTAAGCTCTTTATTTGCTATCAACAAGAGAAAGTGCATCAAAGAATTTAAAGGCTGTTTCTTTGTTTTATTAATTCTATTACTATGGAGGGTTTTCATTTTCCTTTGAAGCAACAGTGTATTGTCCAGCATAGTATTGGATTAATGAAATCATGATTTGCTGAATTTATTCTGAAGATTAATCACTCTCCAAAACTTCAATTTCACTTTGTTTAAATATTTACTTTTTAATCAATTCTAAAGATTTGTCCCAATATTTAGACCTTACGTATCCATATTGGGAGATATTCAACTGGGTCAATTTATTAATCAAGGAATATTGCAGTTATAATTTCTATAATTCTTTTGGTAAGCTTTTAGCCATTTCTTCAAAGTATTCTTTTTGATTAGTTTTGTTGGATTTGCTATTGATATAGATCATTGAAATTGCTGGAATAATTCCTCTTTCATCATTTTTAAACAATGAAGTCCAAAACTAATTGTAATTTTCGAATTCAAGTTTATTGTCTATTTATCCATTATTATCTGGTAAAACTCTGTAAAATACTTAGCAATATTCTTCATATTATTTGTTGAAGTATTCAGAAAGATCATTAAAACTATCACTTTTTTAATTAGTGTAATTAGACTTTGTACCTCTTATTTCTAATAGAGGATCACTGATTCCAGGATATAATATTCCTTCCATTTTAACAAAGTCAATTTGTTTTTGAGATCTTAATTTTGTAGTATCGAATATTCCTAAAGTTAATAATT